TCTAGCTAGGTATAGATCTATTAGAACTCTATAGTATAGTCCTTAGCTAACTTAGTCTATTTAAGGTAAAGTAAGTCTTATTTAGCTTATTATTTCTTATTAGGGTCTTAAAATAGAGACTTTAGGGTAGACTTAAAGCCCTAAAGGCTACTAAAAATATCTCTAACTTTAGTAGAATAGTAGTTAAATATTTCCTTATTAAGGTACTATTTAAGGAAGGGTTTAAACTATTAGAGGGCTTATCCCTTAAGGAAGGTAGACATATAGATAACCTTCTTAGTTCTATTCTTAAAGTTATTATAATAGAAATTCTAGTAGTTTTTAACTTAGATAAGGAATCCCTTAAGCTATCCTAGAGATCTATTAAAAGGATTAAGAGAGTTAAGTTAAAGCTTCTCTTATCCTTCTATAATAGGGGTAGTAATAATATTAATAGTAGCTTAAAGAGTATAGTTCTATTATTTAAGTTTTTAGGTATACTAATTAAATAGGTATATAGTAGCCTAAAGTTCTTTAGTAGTATAGGTATTAGCATTAAATATTTCCTATATCTATTAGATATTATAGTTAGCTTATTTAAGCTATTCCTTAAGTATATTATTATTATTACTATTACTATTATCTTTTATTCTCTAATCCCTAAGTTCTTAAGTAAGGTTCTTCTTAATGGGGGCCTTCCTAGCGCTAGAGGAAGATCTAGTGCTAGGGGTCTTTTTAGAGAGTTATAAGGATATTATAATACTATTAGTAGTTTTTAAAGGGTAACTTACTAAATAGGAGTAATTAAAGTATTATAGCTAGTTAACTAATAGTAGGTTTATATTAATAGTAAGTTAGGGATTAAGAACTATAAATAGTATTAAGTCGTTCTATAAGGCTATTTAAGTAATTATAGGTCTTTAAAGGTCTTAGTAATTAGTTAAGGCCTTAATAAGAGTTATAGAGTAATTATTACTTAGGTATAACTAAAAGTATTATAAGTAATAATTATAAGTTAATTACTAAAGAGCTATAGAATGTTATAGCTAGCTAACTGATAGTGGGTTTATGTTAGTAGTAAGTTAGGGATTAAAAACTATAAATAGTATTAAGTTATTCTATAGGGCTATTTAAGTAATTATAGGTCTTTAAAGGTCTTAGTAATTAGTTAAGGCCTTAATAAGAGTTATAGAGTAATTATTACTTAGGTATAGCTAAAAGTATTATAAGTAATAATTATAAGTTGATTGCTAAAGAGCTATAGAAGTCTGTCCTTAAGCGGACTTAAGTCCATCCTATATATAGGTCCTGGGTAGTCCTATTGCTAGGTGCTGTATATGCCCTGTATGGCTCCCATATCCTTGATATATGGCTTCCGTCTTTCTGGAATATAGATGCTGTATCTTGATCATATAGATCTAATCTCTTATCTTATTGTTATATAACCTATACTATAGTTCTTCCGTTCCTAAGGGATCCTTATGTATTCCCGTGATCCTATATATAAATATATTATTATAACTGCCTAGTATCCTAGTGGGGCGTCCTTTATTGGTTATGCCTAATAGGTTGTAATACTTATTCCTCTTATTTACTTTAGCCTTTAGACGTTAGGTGTTTTAGACTACTAAAAAAGGCGTATAGTTAACAAATTGAGGATAAAATACGCTAAGGTAATACCTATATCATAAAGGAAGACTTCTTCCCTACGTTTTATAAGGCTTTTACGTAAGCCCTTATAGTTAAAAATATCTAGAGAGGTTTCAGAGGGGCTAGGCTTATCCCTCTTAGTATAGAAAGTATACTATTAAAGCTTAATATTAAGTTATATACTCTAATACCTCTAGGGTCCCTCCTAATAATACCCCCTATATAGACTTCTTAGATACTAAACAACCTAACGGAAGCATCTTCTTAGTCTAAACTCATTAAGAGGAGAATTTCCTACTATTAAAATAGCTTACTAACTTTAATTATTAAAGCTATAGAGTATCTATTAAAGGGGGCGTATAGATTCATACACTAGATTGCTTTATTAAGGTCTAAGGTCTAGATCCTTTAAGAGGAGAACAACCTACTTAGTAGACGCTAGAGGGCTAAGAAAACATATCTCAAACAAAGAGGAAGTCTCACTATAGCTAAGGTAGAGGACCTTCAATCGCAGAGAGAGGCTATAGCTCAGATTAAGGAGGAAACGCGCTAGAGTAGTAGTCGCCAACTAAGGATAGAGATGGGCCAATAGCGATATAGCGTCTATAGGAATACTAGTTATAATACGTAAATATATCAATTTGCTAAAGAAATATCTAAAGAAGAAGATCTTAACTAGTTTATATTAAATTAATTTGCTTAATGTTGGTTATTAGTTGTGAATATACTATAGTTGCTATTAGCTAATCCACTTGCTTATCTAATCCACTCGCTTATCAACCACGTTATCTTTTTAAAGAAATAAATAATTTAGTAATAATATATAGGTTATATAACGCTATAATAGAATCTAAACTTATTTATAGCTTAAGTAGTAGCTAGGATAGAGTATAAGCTGCTACTAATCCTTAGCATATTGCAACGCGGCGAGCTATATAACGACATGGAACCCAGCGCAAAGCGCATCAGACTCAACAACGACAAGGATGAAACCGTCGTAGTCGACCAGGACGGCGACCTGCGCCTGCGCGTCGGCTCCGCGCCCAATCGCGTCGCCACGTTCGTCATCTGCTCAAAGACGGTTGGACGCGTCTCGCCGGTCTTCAAGCGGATGCTATTCGGCAACTTTGCCGAAGCACGACCAGCAAACGATGAGGAATGGGTTGTGGAACTCCCGGACGATGATTCGAATACGTTCGAAATCTACCTCAACATCATCCACGGCTGGTTCGATAAGGTGCCGAACAAGTTGAACGTGCGCAAGCTCGCGAGCTTGCTCACTGTTGCGGACAAGTACGACTCGACGCCCTGCTGCAGCCATGGGCTCGGAAATGGTTGACAGCTTTTGGGGACTACAAAGGCAGTATCTGGCTCCTGTCTTTTGGATGGGCATTTGGCGATTCTCAGTTGTTTCACTCGATGGTGCAGTTGCTCGTCACGGAATCTACTCTTACTGAGGATGGTCAACTGCTGTATAAGGGACAAGCGATTCCAGAGACGGCTATCCATCTCAGCCCTCGGGACCTATTTGGTCAGTCACCCCCCGGTTTTGTGATCAGGGATTTCTCGCGCTAACATGTGCCATTGTACGTCGAAGACAAAGCTGCCGCTTTACGCTGCGATCTCATCCAAACTGATCTAAGGCCGTACTATCTGCTTTACTGCAATCTGACTTTCGGCCCATCCCCAGTGTGCAAGGCAGATCATCAATCAGCTTATCATCGAACCCAGTGTGATGATCGACTGGCCGGGTCTCTCGTAAGAGGGCTTGTCCGCAGGGGCGTTCCAATCACAGCAGCAAACCCAATGGAGGCGTATCGTGGAAGTTGGAGGTCTCTACTGGGGAAGCTGAAAGATGTTGAACTACACGTTGACCACCAATCCTGCCGTGAGGCACTCGCGGAGTCGATCGACCAGGACATCGACGTCGACTCGGACGTCGATATAGAACCGACCGAGATCATGGACGCAGACGACATAGCACTTCTGGCGGAGCGCAGTTCGAAGGACTGAATCCAATCCAACCACCTCCTTCGCCTATTAAACGATGATGTTAGTTGTTTGAAGCTATCTCCCGCTAGTTTGATTGGTACCTGTGGCTATCCCGACGACTGTTGCCACCAGCGAGTGTCGTCAACCGGAGCGGGAAGACTGAGGCTTATCGCTGCTCACAACTCTGAGCTCGTCTGCACTCCCGAACACGCTTTCAACACCTCCAGCCCACTACTTTATTCCGCTGAAGAACGTTGTTGCCAAGTCTTGAGGGAAATTTATTGCGAAGGGTTTACCTTTCTGAAACTCAAGACCTACTTTGGCACAGACAGCTCAGCGAATGTGTGTCATTTTTCAACAGAAGTCCTGAAAATTGCGTGGTGTCTTTTTGACAAGGAAGTGCCGGTACCACTATCAACTGGATGCGACGGTTTGGGTACTCCCGCCGGCGACTTCGCAACGACGGAACTCTACTTGCTGCGTTGAAATTCTCAGAGATCGTTCACTTTTGTCTTGAGTTGCGTGTTCTGAGTCAGCCGGGTTACTGTCAACCAGCAATGGTGCTGCAAATTCCGACGGCTACACAGACAAGTCTCTGAAATGAACAAGAAACCCATGGCTAAGAGAGCACACTGGATTACCAGTTACGGCACTTGTCAATGCCAGGCAGGTATTACCATGAAGCACTCGCCACGCTGGAACAGAAGTCGTTTCAGACCTCAGTTCGGCCGAACTTCGTCTCGTCGGCCGAGAGAGCTGATCAAGCAAAGTTTGACCATTTATGTAATCCACGTCTCGAGCAAATCTTTCCCAAAAGACCTTATTCATGTACAACCTAGCGCCACCCGTTTTGCATTTTTTGCGTTTTACCCACGTGCAGTCACCCAGTATTACCTGGAAACCGAACGGACGGCACAGGCAGCAGAGCGCAGCAAAGATGGCATGGAGCGAACCCGAAGTAAAACGACCGAAGCTCGACCACCGCGGCGGCTGCGACGATGAGGGCCGCCCGGTCTTCGTCGACGACGATGGCGACCTGAGCCTGCACGTCGGCCCGGAGGGCAAGACGGCGACCTACGTCGTCTGCGCCAAGACGCTCGCGCGCCACTCGCCCATCTTCCGCAGGATGCTCTTCGGCGGGTTCAAGGAGTCGAAGCCGCTGGACGGGAGCGATTGGGTCATCGAGCTGCCCGAGGACTCGCCCGAGGGGTTCAAGATCTTCCTCGACATGGTCCACGGGTGGTTCGGGAGGGTGCCGGAGGAGTTGTCGCTCGACCAGCTGGTGGACGTCCTCATCATCACGGAGAAGTACGACGCGACGGCCATCACGCGGCCTTGGGCCCGGGGCTGGCTGAAGGCCGTCGAGGACAGCACGTCCGGGTTCGGGTTGTTGTGCGCGGCGTGGGAGCTGGGGGACATGGCGACGTTTGAGAAGATGATTTTGAAGATCATCGATGAGGCGGAGTGTTCAGCGGATGAGAGCCGTCGTCTGATCTATGACGGGTACTACGCGGATGAGATCAAATATCTCGAGCCGCCTGGCTTGTTTGGTAGGTTTCTCAATTGAACTCTTGAGGAGCTGAAGCTGATAAGAACCTCACAGAAGCAATCAAGGAGTTGCGCTCGGCGTTGGTTGCTGCTCATATGGCACCCTATGTTGAGATTTACGATGTCCTTGCCAAACCAGGCGGCTCAAAACTTCCTTTCTGTCCTTTGACAGACGAGAAGGCTTGGCGAACTTGCGACAACCTCGTTCTGGGCTCTCTCATCATGGGTCTGATGAGGTCGAACGTCAACATCACGGCCAAGGACCCCGCCGATGATTTCACCGGCAGTCTAGAATCTCTCAAAGGCATCCTCCGTCGTCTGAGGATAGAGGCGACAGATCACCCGTACTCGCGACGATGCGAGGACAATTTGCAAGGCAGGAGGCAACGGGGGACAGCACAAGAGATGGAGATCAGGGCAGAGCATGTGATTATCAAGCAGGAACATGTGGACTATATCACGAAGCAGGCTCACAAGACTGGGTTGGACAAGATAGACGACGACGAGGACTAGACATACCGTTTCGTATTGGATTTAGGGGAGCAAGCATTTCGCGCGGTTATCCTTTCGGACTGGGGATAGATTTGGTTCAAGATTGTCTATACTACGCCATGCGTAGTCGAGAGATGACGACATACTTTTCACGTTTACTCGAGCGTAGCTTTATGAGATAGAAATGACTGCTTATTTCTTTTTCCTTTGCTCGGCCTTCCACTGAGACTATTGACACGAAACCGGCTGGTCTGGATGGGGGCGTCCGACTTCACTGCATCCAACAGCCTCCCCAGCCCCAAAGCAGACGGGAATGAGAAAGCCGGAATCTCGCGTCGACTTTCCATCGCGAGTATTCGTCTGCTTTTTGCCTGACTCGGGGGGCGAGCCGAGCACTGTCATTCTGACGTTTTAGGGGTCCAGTCGCCACGTTGACTCGACCGGACGAGAAGCCCGGCAGCTGCGTTGGCCCCGGCTAAACTTCATGCCCGCCGCTCACCTGATGTTCGCTGAGTCGTCCCAAACCAGATTGTTGGTCAAGCTTTCGGCACGTCCGTAACTCTAATCGAGTAATCACGCCACCTCGCTGCTCAATTGAATTGGTTGAGAAGGGGAACACTGGTTGTTGAGCTATCGACAATTCTTGAACGTCGGTGATACAGCTGTGAAGCAACTAGGCTTCCTCAACTCGGCATTACATCACCCCTTCGGGAGGACACTTTGCGGGCGACTTAAGGACGTTTCTGTGATTAAGACGTTACCTAAGTTTATTCCTACTGGGCCTGCCAGAAGATCTTTAATTCACGCAATGCTTGTCGCAAACACCAACATGAGGGTCAGTCGAATTATGTTAACTACACAGCTACAAGCCGGCCTCCTTGCTGTCGATTTTGAGCTTCAAAGTACCCGGAATTTAAACATCAAATGATTTATTCTCAAAGAAGCCCCCTTATATTCGTTCTTTGTGACTCGATGCGAGGTTTATATCTGATATTTTCCTTTTCAAATGAGTTTTACTTACAGATGCAGTTGAATGAAGCTAATAAGGCAAACATCCGCCCTTTCAGCCTACCGACTTCTCCGTTCAGTAGCTGCTTCTTTCTGTTCTGTCTTTAGAGGTCTCTTACTCGAAAAGACGTCGGTATGGTGCAAAAAGTCAATATTGCCAGCCTAGAAGGGTAGGAAGTGAATAGGAATTCAAGTGTCGAGCCGAATGTGTATGCTAAGCTAAGTACATACTTTCGTTCCTAATTATAAGTAAGAGTAAATTACTCGCAGTCATGCACGTTCGATTTGATAATCAACACCCAGTCAAAGTCCACACCTCCATTGGTCGGTGGTGTGAATGTCTTGACTCCCTTGGCCTCGAATGTTGAGCTTCCCTCGACAGATAGTCGCTCGGAGGTACGCGGATCGAACCACAGCGCCTTCACATTGACTCCAGGTGCCTCCCATATCGCTGCAAGAGCCTCCAAATCAACGTCGAAGGCATCTCCCCACCCGCTATAAACAGAATAGTACCCGGATGTCATCATTCCAGCGATGTATCTGTCACCGTCAAATGACAGGACATCCTCTGCCAAATCGCTGGGAGATGAGATCAGCTCGCGGGCAGGCTGCAAGCTATTGAACTGTTCTGCGGTCAGGCCTTCGAAGAGTTTGGCGACATATCCAGTCTGCTTGGCTCCAGGCCAGTGGATTGCCTCGTGCCAGCTGGCGTTCTCGGAAAGGCCCAGTTGTGGCTCCATGTAGTGCTCTGGGCTGGCAATAAGTGACATGTTCTCGTATGACTGCTGCACCGGAAGGGAGCCGAAGGTGATGCCGCAAGCACCTGAGAGTACGGCAGGATAGTAGCCGTGGCGGACGTCAGATGCGTTCCAGATGGCTTTGCTTGTGTTGAAAGAGTCGTGGGCACCTTCGTAGTGGTTTTCGACGTCCATGACGGGACCAGTAAACTCTTCGCGCATTTGGATGATGCTTTCGTAGTTTTTACGCGAGTCCCAAGGACGCAGAACGGTGAAACCGGCATCGACACCTGTTGGATCAGGGCTTTCGTGGCCAGATTGAACGGCGTCCATTGTCAAGGTCCCCAAGCTCCCATTGATGTACTGTAAAAAGTCAGTAATCGAACACAAGCATTTCTGAGATGGAACAATCACATTGTGTCCAAATGGAAAGGGCGTAGGTGGGTCGGCAATCCACGGGCTTGTAGGCTGAAACGTGACGAAAGCGTCGTATCCCAACTTAGCTTCTTCCTCTTTGAACCCTTTCATCATTGCAGCCCATATGGCACGTGTATCTTCGATTGGGTTGAGATGAGATTTCGGATCTGAGTCGGGATCGTCCCTCCATGCTTGACGGGCCTGGGGGACGTTGTTTGCCCAGAAGCCATTGGTGTCTCCACCCATCATCTTTGGGATTCCAGGGTAACGCTTCCCCAAGTAGCGCCCGAACCATTCGGCGTTGTCTTCATTGAAGAGTGTGTAGCCGATCGTCCCGTACCAGCCCGAGTTGACGTAGCGGCCCCAAGTAGGAACAAAGCAGATGAGTATGCCGTACTCCGCAGCGCGCGTGACGACCCAGTCAACGTAGGAAAAGTAGCCCTCGTTGGGCTTTGTTACGTCCTCATCATCAATGGCCAAGTCACCGTAGAAGTTCGGTATCGTAGTGACGTTGTACTTTGACAGAACTACCGCTTGGATTATGTTGAACCCCTTGGCGGCGCGGTCGGCGAGATAGAGGTCGACGTCGGTGCGGTTCAACTTGTGGAAGAGTTCCCAGTTTGTGTCAGCGACCCAAAAGAAAGGCTCGCCGGAGTGTTCTCTGTACAGGTACCGTCCGTTTGGCGATGCTGAAATTGCCAGACTGGACCACGGCTTGTTGGAGTGAGGCAGTGCGCAAGTGCAAGTCGCAAAAAGTGCACAGAAACCAAGGTAGACAGAGGACAGCAACATGATTGGAGGTGTGTTTCTCACGGGAGCACTGACTTTTGTCAATAAACTACTGGTTTATGTATAACCGTACGAACTTTCAAAGACCATGACTTCATTTTCCGATCCGGATTAGAATCCGAATTCTCCATTGAGCCGAAGATGCCCCTCGCGGTGGCGGAAAGAGTTCCCATTTGGCCTCGGGATGGAACTCCCAAGCGACTCGCTGACCGCATACTCTGTCTTGGCCCCGGATACCTGCTTTACTGTGAACTCAAGAAATCGCTAGTTCATTAGTGAGGGGGAGGAGAGCAAATATCCACCGCAAGTTAACCTCATGACCCTATCCCACCGGCCTCAAGAGAGTGTCTATCAACCCCTCACTTATAGCGGGTTGGTGATCATTCGACCGGGCTAATCTTACCCGAGGAACATAGCAAGTCCTTGGTTGATGATTGCGCAGAAGAGCTGCGGGGAAGATCTTGGAGATCTTGCATATAGGCTGGGAGAGCAAATCCGGCGATAGGGTGTCTTCATTCGCTACCTCTCAGTTACCTTCGGTCCGTTCCGTATACATTTAAATAGCATTACTTAGGAAATTGGAGACGTCTCGTCATGCGATTGCTTTCACTGACACAATCATCTCGTGAGGTGTCTTTGACTCCTCTGCCTCATGGAAAACACCATGTCTTCAGTCAGTGTTATGAAAGACGACCTGTCAGAAGAAAAGCATGTGGAAAATCCACCGACACCTGACCGCGTCTACGACCAGAAAGAGACCAAAGCCATACTCAGGAAGGTCGATTGGCACCTGCTGCCAATGCTGACGCTCCTCTACATACTTTCATTCATCGATCGAAGTAACAGTACGTTGCATAGCGATCTTTGACTCACATGCAGACGCAGCTAACTCATTAAAGTCGGCAATGCTAAAATTGCGGGCTTGAATGAAGACCTCAAGTTGACTGGATCTCAATACAACATTGCGTGAGCACCGCCGAATATTGTTCAAAAACGATGCTCTACTGACTGACTAGTTTGACGGTGTTTTTCGTGCCGTACGCACTTCTCGAGATCCCTAGCAACATGGTTCTCAAGGTCATGAGGCCTTCGGTCTGGATAGGTATCATGATGTTAACCTGGGGCGCTGTTATGACTCTGATGGGCATTGTCAAAGACTTTTCCGGTCTTGCGGGTGCGAGAGCTGCGGTATTGATACCTAAAATCATGTTGAGTTTATACTGATGTACTTCAGCTCGGAGCCGCAGAAGCGGGCTTTTTCCCTGCCGCCACCTATCTCCTGACAACTTGGTATCGCAGGACGGAGCTTCAGACCAGAATGGCTGTCTTCTTTAGTACGCCTACGCACATTTCCTTCCCCTATGCCGACACTTCTAACTTGAAAAGGTGCTGCTTCTATGTCTGGAGCGTTTTCCGGTCTTTTGGCATTTGCACTGCAAAAGATGGACGGCATCGGTAAGCTGGCGGGCTGGAGATGGATTTTCGTCATTGAGGGCTTGGCAACAGTCGTGGTCGGGATTACGTGCTTTTTCCTTCTCCCGGATGGGCCCGAGAAGGCCAAGTTTCTGGCCCCCGAGGAGCGACGATTTCTGTGTGAACGCCTGGCCCATGACGCGGGAACCAAGGCCGGGAAGGTTGGGCTCAAAGACAAGTTCCACTGGCCCACGATACGCGATGTCTTCATTGACTGGAAGATGTGGGCAGCTGTCATCGTTTACTGGGTGAGTTATGACAAAGCGAAGCTCCTGCTGAACAAACATCTAAATGATCTTTAGGGGAACACCATCTCACTCTACGGCTTCACCTATACCGCCCCCAGCGTTATTCTTGGACTGGGTTATTCTGCCACGAATGCGCAGCTCCTAACTATTCCGATATATATCCTCGGTGTTATTGGAACACCCCTTGTGGCATATTTTGCAGATAAACATGCGACTCGATGGCCATTCATCGCCGGTCCATACTGCATCTCAGCTATTGGTTTCCTAGGGCTGCTATCTATTCCGCATCCTGCCCTGCCCGGTCTCACATACGCATTCCTCTTCTGCATCCCCGTGGGAGTTTATCCTCCACTGATTGGATTGGTCGCATGGGTCGGAAACAACCTAGCGCCTTCCTGGAAACGGGCAGTCGGGATGGCATTTCTCATCATGATGGGCAACCTTGGAGGCGTCATCGGCAGCAACATTTACCTCGAGCAGCAACGTCCGCACTTTTGGCTAGGCTTTGGTTTCGGACTGGGGATCTCTGTTGCAGCGGTCGTATTCACTATAGTCCTGAAGTTCGAATATGAACGTCTTAATCGGGTAAAAGAGGCACTGGGCACAGAGGAAGAGATCCTCACTAGGTATTCGGAGGACGAGTTGCTACAGATGGGAGACAAGAGCCCGCTGTTCAGATACATTGTCTGACAAGCACAATAAGGTTTCTACTCGTCTTCACTAGCTGCTCTTTTCCCTAGACGATTTACATATTTATTGAACAACTTCCCTTCTTTACTATATCTCTTAAGATCTACTAATACTATAGTTTGAATGATTCTGCTCTCTTTAGAAACTAAACGCTCTGTACCTCTCTCCGAATACTTACCCACTTCCTGTTGCACCACTAGTAGCTACTATGCGCTGGACTCATGCAGATATTCTTAGCGAAAACGAACTATATTCCTATTCATTAGAGATAACAGAACCTATTAACGAAAATAATAAGGGCGTATTGCGGCGTCTTGCATTTATGAGACATTTCGGGTTCATCTGAATATACACCTATGCTAAGAACTCCGAGCTACTATGAACGGAAGTCGGATATCGGAACTTCGGTATCTGCAAAGATGCCTGGCTCATCGTCCTCGCCCACTCACCCCAATCGCGCGACCTTAAGGCGGCGGGTGATTTGGCCCCATATGGCGTCAGCCGATGAGTCACCTATAGTGACTATGTAAGCAGACTACTCAACAAACAAAATAACAGATCATTTCATGTTTTCAACACTTCCGAACGCTTTACATGCTGCAGGTTACTGGAGCGAAATTATTTACCCAGAACGATGTCTTCCAACATAATGGAACACCCGGTAGTTGACCTTCTGAAGTCGCTCATGTCGATTGTGAGCACTAGTGAACTTGAGCAGAGCATCGGCGTCTTCTTGGAACAACATCTTCAAACTCTCGGATATACTGTTGAACGTATCCCGATTGCCCCCGGGTCCACTCGGCACAATGTCTACGCCTATCTCGGCGCTTCTCGCAAGACACGCGTGCTCCTGACTGCGCACATGGATACCGTGCCGCCTCATATTCCGTTGACCATTGACGGCGACATCATCCGCGGAAGGGGGTCTTCGGACGATCTCGGGCCCCTTGCAGCTCAGATTATTGCCGCAGAAGAGTTGAGGAAGGAAGGGAAATTTCAAGCTGAAGGCGACATTGGACTGCTGTTCGTGGTTGGCGAAGAGAACGGCGGGCATGGGATGATTGCAGCCAACGATATGGGGGTCACCTGGGAGTCTGGCATTTTCGCCGAACCGACAGAAAGCAAGCTTGCGAAGGGTCATAAGGGGCAAGTGGCGTTTGAAGTCATTGCCAACGGAGTCGCCTGGTGAGCTACTTTCCTTTCAGAATCGAAACACACGGCTAACTCGAAATCAGCCACTCCGGATATCCTCATCTCGGAAGAAGCGCGACATCAGCTCTGCTTGCTGTTCTCAACGACCTCTCCGCCGCTGAATGGCCAGTGTCTGACCTTCTCGGTCCTTCCACGTTCAACATCGGAACCCTCGAGGGCGGAGAAAAGCACAACATTGTCGCCCCGTCCGCTAAGGCACTCTGTGAGGTTCGCATGGTTTCTGACTTGCCTGGTATCAAATCCAAGGTTGCGGAAATAGTCTCTCGGCATCCTAACGTGGAGCTGAAGTTTGTTTTTGAATACCCTGAGGCTCTTTTGGACTGGGAGATTGATGGGTTCGATGCCGCGCCGGTGGCTTTTGGAACTGATGTTCCAAGACTTAGAGACGAGTTCTGTGGCAACCGGGTGTTGTATGGGCCAGGATCGATTCTCGTCGCACATGGACCTGATGAGTATATCCGGGTTCCTGAGTTGATTGAGAGTATTTCTGGCTACAAGAAGCTGGTTCTGCACTTCCTCCGTTGATACGGTAACCTCTGTTGTATTCAAACCATCAATCAATAACATCTCCATTGAGCCACTATGTCTGAAATTACTTGTCAGTTTTGAATAGGGACTTCATGATTAAGAGCCATTTGCAATTTGCAGCGCAAAGCCTTTTAGCAACTCTTCTTATTTACACTTTATCTGAATAGTCACTGTACCCAGCAACTACGTATTTATCATTCAATTCTCAACTGCTATAAAGCTCAATTGGAGCCGGGCAATACTTCCACCTCATCATTCAAAACTTATCATTGAACATTTATCATTCAATATTTAGAAAGACGGAACACGCTTTTGTCTTAATTAGCTTTAGGCATGCGTGATGGCAGGTCACTCTTCTGTTCAGGTGCGACCGCCTCCCTCGACTGCTCACCCAAGCGTTGGTTTTTGAGGGTCAAAATGATGATTATCTGGTTGTGAACTTGGGGTGAGCTAGGTGAGCTGGGGTAAGGGCAGCCAAGTCAGTCAGTTTCCAGCGTTATATTCAACCTAGCGTGGCGTTCGGTTACACGCTACGTGCCGCAGGTAAGCGTTGTGAGGACACTGTGAACGTTTTTCTGTCCGGCTTTAGTAGATTATGGGCAATTCGTAAATACCTCGCATAAATCAAACAAGTCTTAACTATCAACGCTCCACCTTCTCAATTAGCCTCGAATTTGTTCGCTGATACGTTCATGTTGAGTCGCAAGGCAGCTCGCATGTGATTTGGATTTTCGCCGTATGTCATTCGCAAGGCACTACCCAGGTCTTGATCGGCATCAGATCGGTCACGACATCCTTTTCATCTTACATGGTCTCCTCAATATCTCTTCGGATGGAGAAGAGTTGGCGAGGAGAGACGCTGGAGGCTTGGGAAATGCCCCCGACCTAGAGAGAAAGGAAGCTCGCCTGCATGCACAATGGGCCTAGGAATAGGTCTCGCCAGTGCTTGTGGAACATACGATTTCCCCATTGAGACATGGAGCGACGTTACCTTGAGAAGAGCTCGGGAGAGCTTTCGAAGTCCAACACAGTTGCAAGCTGACCCGATATCACTTCCATCATAACGTGAGCATAGATTTAACCTCGTACAATTGTCTGATAGGCCTCCAAAAAGCGTGTCTTGTTCGCCGAATTGCTACCTCGCATCAGGACTAGTGGGAATGGACCTGCTCCTCCGAGCCAGCGGCGAGGCGGACTTGCATGTAATATGGTGGCACAAATCTTCTAGCGCTCACCAGACCTCGACTTGCATGCATATCTCATCGACCGCAGCATGTACAAAGTACAAGACATGCGGGCTAAACGCCAACCAGACTGAGACACTACATTCAATTGTCCAATTAGAGCTTTAGTTGCTCCATTTCTCTGAGGGAAAAGGCGGGCAGGACGTTAGGCTGTTTGGTGTCTAAGCCCGCTGCAGTCGATCATGAGGTTGCCTATGCGGAAACACATTCTGGTGTGCCAAATGAAGGCAACCGGGGCCAGCCTCGTCTGCTCGCGTGATGAGGTGAGTACAAATCTGACAACCACCCCGCTCCTGACGCCCTGAAGTTTTGCAGTCGAAACACACTTCTCGGCCCGTCTGAAGTCGCGTTCAATGGATCCATTCACAGCGCTCGGTTTAGCGGCAGCCATTATACAATTTGTTGAGTTTGGAGTGAAACTGGTTTCCACCAGCCGTGAGATATACATATCCGCCGATGGCCGCACACAGGAGCACGAGACCCTGGATGAGATCTGCTCACACCTCTGTTTCCTGGTGGACGACATTGACGATGCCGCCGAGCTCGTAGGCGAGCTGAAACAGAGAATCGACGAAGAAGTGGCACTGCGCAAGCTTTCGGAAAGATGCAGAAGCACAGCCTTGGAGTTACAGACCCTTTTGAAGAGCCTGTACTGTACGCCCAGCGGGCGGGTTGCCAGTTTGAAACAAGCCTTGAGGGCGGCTTGGGGCAAGCGCAAAGTCGACGATGTAGAGGCGAGGCTCAAAGAGTATCGGCAAGAACTCATGGCGCATCTTGTCGTCATCACGAGGTGAGCACATCGTGATGTCATTGGCGTCCCGTCATACTGCCTTCCCATTGAGTGTTGCTTACAGCAGGGTAGTAATCAGCAGTCAAGCGTGCTGCGCGAGCTTGGGACGCTGAAGGAAGCCACTCTATCGATGCAATCGAATCACTCAGGGAAGCTCGAAGAAATATCTGCAGCTATCCAAAGCATCACATACAAGTCTTCCATTTCGAATGAATCTCCCTCGGGCGCTACTGCGTTTTCTCGAGAAGACTTCCTCCAATTGCATGAGAAGCTCTTAGACCTAACCAACCACGCAAGAGACGTTTCCGTCCAACAGACATTCCTTCGGGGTCTTTACTTTCGATCGATGCCGGCTCGTCACCGCGGCATAGCTCAGGCACATCAGAGGACATTCAACTGGGTTTTCGGCCGTGCAGGTTCGCAGCGAGCGGCGGCGGCTCACGTCAGCAATTTCATAGATTGGCTCGAAGTAGGCAAGGGCATTTATTGGATATCTGGCAAAGCAGGCTCCGGCAAGTCTACTCTGATGAAGTATCTCGGAAACCACCCTCGCACATCAGAGCTTCTCTCAGCATGGGCTGAGCCCCAGGAGTGCATTGTCGCGAGCCATTACTTCTGGAGCGCTGGTACGGAGCTGCAGAAGTCGATCGACGGGCTGGTGAGATCACTGCTTTACGAAATTTTCCGTCAAATGCCTGATCTGATCGACAACGTCGTGCTCGAGGAGTCTGGCCAGAGCGAGTACCGTTTTCAGTCGGGCGAGTATGGTCGGGCCTGGTCAATCTTTGAGTTGGAACGAATAGTGAATCACTTGGTCGATTGCGACAAGTTGGCTTTGCGCTTCTGCTTCTTCGTCGACGGGCTGGATGAGTACGATGGGGACCATCACAAACTGATCAAGATCCTCTCTCGGCTTGCGTCATCGCCAAATGTCAAGCTTTGTGTTTCAAGCCGGCCGTGGAACGTGTTTGAAGAAGCCTATGGCAAGTCGAGCTTGTGGAAATTAGCCCTCCAGGATTTGACTCAAGACGACATCCGGCGCTACACGGAGAGTATGCTGAAAGAACACCCCAACTGGGGAGAATACTCGAAAGCTGAGCAATTCCTTGTGAAAGAGATTACGAAAAAGGCCCAGGGAGTATTCTTATGGGTATTCCTGGTTGTCCGTTCCGTCCACGAAGGTGTAACCAACGGCGATGCTGTTTCAACCCTACAACGACGAGTAAGCCAACTTCCCCAGGATCTCGAGACTTTTTTCAAGCACACCCTCAAGTCCGTCAACCCATTTTATCACGGTCAAATGGCGCAGATGTTCTACATCGCGTTGCAGGCCGAAGAACCACTTAACATTATGCTTTATTCACTGCTAGACTACTGCACGCAGGACGTCTCGCAGGTCTTACAGCTTTCCGTTCAACCAATGGACAAATACGAAGTATTCACCAGGCGAAATCAAATGATCCGCCGACTCGACGGGCGCAGCAAGGGCCTTCTGGAGATTCAAACTGATCATGCGGCGAGCGATTACTTGGGTCCGCGAGTGACCTTTCTTCACCGCACAGTCCGCGACTTTCTCCTGACAAAAGAAATGGCCGAGTTCCTCGCTGAGCGCCTCTCAGAATTCAAACCGAGTACGGTTATCTTCAGGGCGTACGTTGCACTGATCAAGTTGATGCCCGTCCGAAAAGAACACTTCCAGCGTTCTGGGGTGCTCTCTCGTGCACTGGAAGAAGCTTTTTTCTACGCCTACCAGGCTGAGGCGGAATCGGGCTCGTCCGAATCCGAGTTGGTGGATGACCTCCGCTACGTCGTGGAGGATATGGCTGACTCGTTCGATGCCGAGATTCCATGGAGACCAGACTGCTTTGTCGACTTCGCCATTTCGCGAGGGTTGGCTCAGTATCTATCGCAGCACCGGGAATGCAACCCCGGAGCGCGAGACATCGTCAACGGTGCTTTCCTTAGAGAGGCAATCATGGAAAGCCTCAAGCCCGTCAATGAGACCAGCCCAGATCTCACCTCAGTCGTTTCCTTGTTCCTCCGCCGAGGCTCGAACCTTCACCAGGGCGCCCGTGTGCATGAATTTAGAAGAGAGACATGGAATGATCTAGCCAGGGCCAGTGATTACACGTCCCGGATGTTCCGGTCACCTCAGGTTGGCCATCATGGAAATAACGATAGCCACGTGGCTGGGGCACGTGGTGCATACCAGTTCAGACCTAAGGACTTTCTCAGCAATACGAAAGGCTCTATATGGGGTGACTGGCTGGAGATCCTCAGTCTGTCCATGGCAGAGTATGGAATGGACTACCCATGGGCCACCAGACAAAAACGGATTCTGGATCACCTCATCAGCCACGACGCCGATGTCAATGAAACTTCGACCACAGAAGCCAGATGGGGCAAGTTTGTTGATGGACTGTTACATTTGTCTAGGCAGCCATTGGAGAAGAGGGTATCGGATGTATACGTCAGCATGCTGAGAGAGTTATTACGTCATGACGCGAATTGCAATGCGCCATACCAAGGAAGCACAATATCCAAAGTCTTCTTCGCAAAGGTCCGCGGGATGGCTGCTCCTCTGAACATTCCTGAGCTAGAACGGGCTGCACTGGCCGAAGGCCCGGATGATCGAGTTGATACGTCTCTAGCCCACCTTGAACTACTAGCCCAGGTGGCAACGGCTCTCCTCCAGCACAAAGCTCACCCCTCATGTATCATGAGCGCTGCTGAGCTTCACCAAGTCTTTCCTCGGCGGTTGGCACAGCCGATCCAAGACTTATGGGAGTCGAGACGTGCTGAGATTGCAGCAGAATCAGGGTTCATCAGGATGGTTCTTCGTTGGGCTTGGTCGCCTTGGTCGTAAGCGTATAATAGTAGCTGGACCGAAGGAAAGTCAGGAAATGACCGCGCATTGTGTACAACGAGGATGGCCTTGAAGTGTATTATAAAATCACCCTCCGGCCCGCTGAATGTGGTATGCCATCCGAACTTGGCGGGTTCCGCGTACGAGAGTTGGAAAAGCAGTCCTAAATGAGCTTTACATACCGCTTATGGGACATTTCCAAGAATCGCCAGTGGTGAATCCGGCCTTCCTGTTGTGCCAGTTTTACCTCTCCGATCCCGCTAGGAAGAACCGCCAGCGGGTCAGATCAACTTCGAATAAACCATCGTTATCTGCTTGTTAATTGTGAATCTTGACCTCCCAGTATGCCCCAACCGCGGCATCTCCGTGTCCATACGCTCAATAAGCTATTCTCAAAGACCCGAGTTGTAAGCTCGGCGGAGGGCTAGCTTCCTATTCTTTGATACGTCTTGGACCTTAAGGCCTAGAAGAAGGCCGTAGCTACCCGTCTTCGTAAACCTTGTCTTGTCCGCTGTCGGTATCACAAGCCAGGCGCGTCCCCAACATCCAACCATGGAAGTCCCGCAAAGAGGCACGTGCCACAATTATGTCTACTAGGTATCCTTTGTGACCTCACCGTTTGTTGGAGGAATAAACCACTCAGTTTAAATCTCAATAAACGCTCTTATATACGCCTAGTTGGTGACTCGCTTCTTCAACAAAATGTCTTCACCCCCCGAACTCATCAAGTATGATGAGGATGGTGACCTCATCCTATATGTCGATGATGACACGGCCCGGTATCAAGTTTGCTCGAGAACGCTCGCTCGATCATCCCCGGTTTTCAAGAGAATGCTCCGCGGAGGTTTTGCTGAGTCACGCCCTGTCGACGGGAGCGACTGGATAGTGGAACTACCCGATGACAAAAGCGAGCCTATGCAAATATTCCTTAGCATCATTCATGGCCGTCTCATGGACGTTCCCAAGAAACTGCCTATTGCTGGTCTTCACGGCCTGCTTGTTCTCACGGAAAAGTACAATGCTACTGAGGTGTTACGACTATGGGCGGCGGGGTGGATCGAGAATGCCCATATCAATAAGGGAGCCGAAGACCATTCTATCATTGGCATTGCCTGGGAGCTTGGCCAGGTGGAGCTTTTCCGACAGTTGATGGAAAATATCACCGAGACTTGTACGCTTGACGCCAGTGGCTGTGTCCTTTTTGGAGGTCGCGAGCAATTTCTCGATGGGTTCCAGAACGTTTGTTACAAGGGAGAGCATAAGTTGCCACTCGTCCTTAACTATCTGGAACCCACGCGAATGATTGGTGAGTAATGTGATCGGATTGGTCGAGAACACGAAAACCTGCTCACACACTCGTCCTAGACAACATCATCAAGAATCGCCGGTTGCTACTCGAAGCTGAAATCAAGCCTTACCTCGAGTTGTATAGCGCAGTCAATGATAGATGGTGTTATTTTAGCAATAAACACGGAGTCTGCGATGGCGATGATGGCTGGGCTTGCGACTCTACGGTATTTGGATGCTTGGTAAAAGGCTTTGCAAGATGCAAAATCAATCTTGCGCTATCTGACGCCATAAAATCGTATTCCGGAGATGTGAAGGGATTCAGAGGGCAGTTGAGGGTAATTCGAATTGGATCTCCGCATCATGAATGCCGAGGGAGGTTGCAAAAGAAACGGGACTTGGGGCAAGATCAGGCCACGGCGGCAAGGGCAGCACTTGAGTTCGTTTCTGAGGACCAAATGAAGTATCTCAACGCGCAAGCCAAGATGAGATTCCCAATCAAAACCGCCAAAAGGAAATCCTAACGAAAGTCGGTCACTTGATATTACGGCTCTGTATAGTCGTCGCCCATCGATAGTTCACTTCAAGCTTTCCATTGATGTTGCCACTCGGTGAAAGAAGTTCCATCGCGGAAGTTACTACATTCGACACCTGGATGTCTAGAAGCGCGCGTAATCTACAAAAGAAAGACTTCTTCTTCCATTTCTGTTTGTACCCTGTTTTCGTTTTTTTTTCCCCAGAAGGTCTGATGTGGCTTTTTGTTCTTGAATTGAATTTGAAACTGCAAACATACATGTAAGCAAAATATGCACGTCTTGGATGAAGAATGGGAAATGAGACCTGACGGACATCTGGCATACGGAATCAACGAGTGGGAACCTGAAAAGGGACGTCCCCAACGCGGGGGTAGTTATCGCCAGTCTTTTACTTTGGAATCTTTGAATTATTTGGCGTCGCCCGACCTTGTTGCATTGATAAGAAAGTCCGGACTTTCCCACTCCGTTCTGGATAATATTAGTTGACCACCTCGGGCACAGAATCGATTTTGAGCGATGTGGACCAAAGAGCGCTTGGAGGCCGAGCGCCAGATTTCCCTCCCCATGATGAGACGCATGGGTGCCCTTAAACAGAAGGGATTCAGCTGGCTCGTCGGGTATAGTGAACGCTTGTGCGAATTCAGGGTGCACATGTCCTTGATGGGGATTCTGGACTCTGTGTAGTTGCCACGGGATGTCTTCAGTCCCGAAGACACGTTTGACGGCATTGCCGATAACATCGAACTTGTTCAAGCGGCATCCGACATATCGAACGCCAGCAGGAAATTGATGGATTGCACGAGTACGTTCGTGAACGGTCACGGGAACTCGTCATCAACTGGAAGGAATTCTTCATGCACTATAGAGTCGCGAACTTTGATGGGCAAAGCAAGAACACGGGTCTGTTAATGGAGATATGTACCATACATGGGGAAGGAGAGATGGATATGGGGAAAGCTTGACCGAGGGGGTATTCAAGGTAAGTCACGGGAAGTTAAGTCACGGAAAGGTAAATATTCAACAAAGAGATTATGTATATTAGTTTTACGCTCCAAGTCGTACAGATCCTTACAACTCCCGCAACTGATCTAAACCAAGATTTCGGAGCAGGATATGCGATAAGATTGTCCCGCGTATATGAAGAACCAATATTATGAATCCTTCTCTTGCTCATGTTTAGAAAATCTGCTGCTAAAGCTGAACTTAGGCGCTGGCACCGTTGAAGGAAACCAGGTTGGGGCTTCCGCTGAGGGTGCCAGTGACGCGGCCGGTGGTACCAAGGGCCTTGATGCGGTTGGTGACGGCAGCGGGGGTAGAGAGACCCTCGAGAGCCTGGAGGTAGACGGCGAGACCGGCAAGGTGAGGGGCAGCCATGGAGGTACCGCTGAGGGAGGCGGTGGCGGAGTTGCCGCCGATGTAAGAGGACAGGATGGAGACACCGGGTCCGAAGATGTCGACACCAGCACCGTAGTTGGTGAAGGAGGCAGGGCGCCAGCTGGAGTCGATGGCGGCAACGGTCAGGGCGTTGGGGGCGTTGGCGGGGGACTGGCTGGAGACGGGGAGGGGGTTGCCGTTGTCGTCACCGTTGCCGGCGGCGACAACGGACAGGACACCCTGGTTGTAGGCGGCGTTGATGGCGGTGGTCCAGGTGGAGGTGGCGGGGCCGCCGAGGGACATGTTGATGACGGAACGGCTGGCGCGGGACTTGGAGACGATGTCGTTCACGGCCCAGTTGAAGCCGGAGAGGATGGCGGAGGTGGTGGACTCACGACCCTCGAAGACCTTGACGGAGATGATGTTGGTCTGGATGTCAGGGTTAGTCGTGGCTTCATGTGGAGGTTGATCCCCTCGGTGACGGGAGCGGGAGGGAGGTCCCGGCCGAGAGAGAACTGATGGATTTTGAGGCTCAACTCACCTGCTTAGCAACACCGTAGGTAGAGCCACCGATGGTACCGGCGACGTGGGTGCCGTGGCCGATGGAGTCGACGTGGGCGGAGGAGAAGACGTTGTGGCCGAGGGTGGCACGGCCGCCGAACTGGTTGTGGGTGGCGAGAACACCGGAGTCGACGACGTAGGCGTAGGTGTTGGCACCGGCCGAGGTGTCGTAGACGTACTGGGTAGAGCCAGAGGTGCGGTGGGAGATGGTGCCGAGACCCCAGGTGGCGCCGGTCTGGGTAGTCAGAGCGCGCTTGGGGTTGACCTCCTCGACAACGAAGTCGGAGAGGTACATGATGTAGTCGGGCTCAACGAAGGCGACCTATAATGGGTGTTAGCATCTCGAATGAGTTGGAATGGAGTGTGTTGTGGGAGAGCATACCTCAGGGCTGGCCTTGATCTCCTCGAGGGTAGCCTCATCGAACTCGCCAGAGTAGGCGTTCCAGTTGCTGATGTTGAACTTGTTCTCAACACCAACAGTGTCACGCTTGCCGAGGGAGCGGCGGTGGACGTCGGTGACCCAGTTGATGTGGGACTCGACGTTGGCAGCGGCGTCCTCCTTGAGGGTGACGATGTACTTGCCGGGGGCGACCTTGGGCTCGTCGCGCTTGACGGCGGCGGGAGCGGCAAGGACGACGGGGAGCAGGGCTCCGAAGGCGAGGGCGAGGCGGCGAAGGTTGGTCATTTTGGCCGATGAGGAAAACCGTGAGGGATCAGATCAAGAGATGACTGGAGCTTGAGGGATGAGGCTGAGGCTGAAGAGCAAAACCCGATGGAAAGGCGAGGGAAGCGGCCATCTTTATACATGACTGTTGACGATGTGTTTAGCTGTGGAATACGATGATGAATGTTGTCAGCTCGAGCTCTCATTGCGCCTATCAGAGTCGTATCTTGCGTGATGGTTTGCCAAGTCTTGACTATCCAGCTCGAAGCTGTCAAGCTTCCTAAACTGGCTCTAGATCGAGTCGCCCGAGCAAGGAAAGGTGTGGGTTCAACGGAGGCAAACGAAAGCGAGTGTGTTCGTGAGTGGAAACCGTTACCTTCCAAAAGGTAAAGAGTTGGGAAGTTACCCGCCATCACAGGGTGTCAAATGCAGCTCCGATGGCTGTATCCCAGGAACCCTGGCCAAACAATCTAAGCTTGGTTCTTTTGTTGATGCGGGTACCAGCTCCGGAGCCGAGAGGCCAAGCGGAAAAGCTGCCGGGAGTTGTTGACTCGACTCGCCGTGCTCAATATTGTCGAATAAAGGTCCGATCTGGTTCCACAAGGCAATTCCGTGTGGGCAAAGGGACTCAAATGGCTCAGAGTTGTCTCTGCAACACTCCATGGCAATTGATGTCTCTCGAATCATGATTTGCTGCCGCTGTTGCTTGGCTAACTTGGGCTCTTCGATTTGGTTGACAACAAGCCGTTGGACGTTACCCTAGCTGAGGATCCTTAATAGACCAACTTATGCTTAAAGTGGAAGGTCGCGGGCATTGGCGGGATCCGATATAGGCGGGCCAGCACTTAATTAAAGGTGACGTTGAGCCCACACCGCCCCAAGTTGAACATCTTTCCCGCCTGCCATTTCCGTCGTCATGTCCGAGAGAATGGGGAATTGAATAAACTACAGATGGAGGCGGGAGATCCTCCTATGGGCCAATTGCCGACCAGTGCTCGCCTCATTGAGGTTGTCTAAGGAAGAAGGATGCCCCGATTTGCTCTGTTCGTTGAGGCGTAAGAATGCGAGACAGGGGAAGATGAGACATCAAAGTCTTGGGTCAGGCACAGCTGCCAATGCCGGAAAAGACACAGCTGAAGCCTCAGATGAAAGGGGTTGAGTTGATGGTGTGTGAATGGTCTGGGGGAGGTGGCAATGCATTTGTCGATGCGCGTAAGCGCTGATGCATTGGGGGATTGACACACAGGAACCCGCGCCTCATTTCGAGGCTGGAGACCGGAAATCGGAGTTGTCAATGTCATTACTCGTATTCAATCGCTTCAAAGACGCATGTCATCCGCATCACAGCCGGCGCAGTCTCGGAATTGAGTCCAATGCAGCCATCAAGGTCAGCTTCCAAGGCGAAGACACTTGTCCATCTGATTCTGCGCTTCCTGAATAGTCCATCAATTCATCGCCGCGACAGGCACGTCAGGTTTAGACTCTTTTCCGTGCTCGCTTGTGGAGTGACGATGACGGCTTTAGGATTCCCATTTTGGCTGGTCGCAACACCCCTTCAACCTCTCGAATACCAACCGATCCGTACCTTAAATGATGCCATGAACGCTTCGCCCGAGCGGACCAACAAGCTGCCAGTCAGCTGCGAGTGATGCAAATTCCCATGTCCTTGCGGCCGATATGCTGTGGGGTCCCGCCAAGGCTCCACGAGGGAAGCTCGGAAGGCTTGGTCAACTGCCGTCGCGAAATGGAGACCTTGACGGGGCTAACGCGAGCCGAGGGATAAGACATCCAGAGACAGGGACCAAGGTGATTCTGTCGAATGGCGGGTGATAAACAGGCATCGAAGGGTTGCTTTCTGGAAACTGGAGGGCGGCGGGGTCCGGCGCTGATAGGTCGCGTGACTCGTACGCTGTTATCACGAGAAGGCGAACTCCAGCTTGGCAGAAGTTCATGACTTACGCTGCAGCCTGGCTCAGAAACAGATGGCTGACTGATGGCAAAAACAGATGATCATGCTCTGCCTTGCGCTGCCTCTGGTCTCACTCTCAGGAAGCCCTTTTTGCGGGGGACATCACAGGGTTGAGAATCCCGCAGCAAGGAGCCGCAAGGCAGCCGCCGATGGCGGCGGCAGTCAGACAAGTGAGGTCATGTTATGAGACCAAAGAGGGGAACGCCGGGGAACGCGCCGCACTCTCGCAGCAGAGGATTTTGAAGAAGTGGGTAACAAGGCGGCCTTCGGTAGGCCGGACAAGAGATCACAGAGATTCTGGGGCCGAGCCGTCGGAGGAGAGGAATTAGGAAGGAGATAAAGCCAACCCCCGGCGGCGCGTCGCGCGCAGGCCGAGGATTGCAACGGAGACGGAGACGCGCCAATATTGTTCATGTGCTGACAGCAGGATCCCGGTCGGCAGAGAATGAGTCGCTTGGACATCAATCCGCAATCTATCGTGCAGGAGAAGCTGACTTGATTTTCCACTCGTCGCCGGGGGGCAAAGACAGCTATTTTCAGAGTCCTTCCTTTTTGAACGTACGAGCTTTCTTATTTCTCCTGAGTCTGGTGAGACCAGCAAGACAGTGCAGTTTTGGTTGACATGTGAAGGCTCCAGCGTCTCCAGTCGGTCAATATGCCAAGACTTACATACAAGCTGTGGGGCAGATAGGAATTGGTTCCGACTTGGCATTGAGAATGGTATGATTCCGCGATGTGAACTTTGATATCTCGAAGCTTGGATGACAACTGGTGATCGCGTGTCGTTGGTTTTCATGATGAGGCTCTTTGGAATAAGACATCGAGTTTGTTCATTTACCGGTAATGGTCATTTTTAGTGTGAATTGACAAATCCAGGGGTTACAGTCCTTCCCGAGGCCTGGAATATGCACGATCTGGCAGAGCTTGGATAAAGCTTCCAATCACTAGTGAGGTAGGTTGAATAGGGCCGAATATGCATTGTGACGGCGTTTGCACGGTAGGGTGTGATGGAGGGGTAGTTGACTTGGTCGCCATACCTCAGTTGCTACTCACCCTGAAGTCGATACAACCATCACGGTCTCTTAGCCAGTCAGGATAGCTGTTGCCCATTTTGCTGATCCTATGATATTACGATAACTTTCTGATGGCTTCCTTTCGTTCGCGAAACATCAATTGTACCTGCATATTCATTGCGGCGACGGTGCCATGATTGGGAATTAGGATAGGCTGCATCCCAATGTACCAGACTGCAGCGTAACCCTTCGCTGCAGGTTATCGCCGGATCCATGTAAGTATGGTCACCAATGAGACCTGGCGATCTTGATCGCAGCAAGTGTGCCTGCAGTAGCTGATAGGGATGCCGGTACTCTTTATCGGCCAGTGCTACGCCATGAAGAAGTAAGATGTCTTGACACTTAAGACGACAGTCCCAATCGGGAAGGCGGTTCTGCTGCTGTTGGTTGCAGAGTGGACTGTCCTGAGTGCTTGAGTTTAATGTTCCCCTGTGCAATCAGGATTGATGCAAGTAGAACAGTATCGAACTAGAAAGATTGGTGTTAATTAGCTGACGAAGCTGGTTGATACCGAAAACCACATATTGAAAGTTAGGAGACTCAACTTAGACATATGAGATTATATGACTCTACAATGAGTATTATTCGAAGTTAGAAACCAAAGTACATCAAATTATTTCCTAGAAATATATCAGTGTCATCTTAACTTATTATTGTAACCAAGAGGATGTAGACTATGACATTGTGCGGTCCGTCATTTTTGTAAGTTTTAGTCTTCAACTGATGAGTAACATCCTGTCTCTTCCTCATGATACATCGCCTCAACCTCTATTCAAGTCTAAGCGTTTGAACGAAATTCTGTCGTTATGTTTGAGAGTTTTCAATCATGATCAGCATCACCTGTTATGAGTTCTGCTTGTCATAATGTAAACCCATGTGCGTTGCATCAACGTAACGTGCGGGGAGCCTTTGGCAACCCAACAGCTCCAGGCGAATGAAGTAAGATAAATATGGACAAACGTCGTACCATCAAATCATGTTGAAATTTCTGTAAAGACGTTTTGAGAACATCTCATTTTGCGTTCACGACGAGGGGGTAATGTATTTGACTCTGGGTATATCTCACAAATGAGCGAACGAGCTATCACAGATCTCAAAAACAACAACCCCTGCGTGAATGCCCGCAACTTATACCTATGCAGCCCAAGACGTAGGGTGAAACTCCATGAGCGCGTACCACTGAATGATACTCCCGATGAGGAATGAAGTACTGGCAGCGAACGAAGCAACAGCGCTGGCCGACATCTCGTTGGCAAGTAGCAATACTCCCGTGACAACAAACCCAGCCGATGCAATCGTATTCCACACGGCGCCTTGCCACTCAGACGCCCAGAAATTAGGCTTGAACCAACGTTCCTGCGCATTCACGACGAGGGCGGAATTGGCAAGAAAGAAAAGCGACCCACCAATCACTTGCGGCATGAAGATGAAGACTTGTAGGAGGAAGAGGTTGCTAGGATCGATAACGCCTGGGACGCCGGCAACCGCGGCTGTGGAGAGGATAACGCCGCCGGAGAGCATGACCAGTCCCGAGAGGAACGGCACGGTACGGAGAAGGGCGGCGAAGTCGGCCGCGGACGGAGTCCAGACCCACGCTTCGGAGCCGATGAGGGCGGGTCGGTAGATGGCGGGTCCCTCGCCGCTGATGGACTTGGTTTCGCTCTTCTCCAGCGTACCGCGGTCGGCGTTGAAGGCTGCGAAGAGCCCGAGGATGCCACCAGTCATGAACATGACCGCTCCGATCATGATAGTCGAAGGGAGGGCGACCGTGATTAGGGTGTCGAAGACGAGATTTGGAGCAATAACCGGGAGAAGTCCTAACGCGGCGTTGATGACGAAGGCGATACTGCCGACTACGAAGAGCATGGTGACGATCCAGTTCATGTCTCTATATGGGTAGATGGTGAACATGCGCCCAACTTGAGACAATCTGGATTCCTCTACTTCGACGGCGGATTCGATGGTGTATTCTTTGATCGGGGATGGGAGAGATGCTTCTCTTTCCATGTCACATCGGATCCGATATTCGAGGTAGTCCAAGGTCTGGACGATTCGCCGGCGTTCTCCGGTATCGACATCGATTCCCGTCGTTCTCGAGGGTCTTTCGGGTAGACCAGTATTGATACGCGGGGGAGTGGGCCGTACCGGTACAAGGACTGAAGTCCGAATCATGGACGCCCGTAAGTTGGCTGAAGCGTTCATGATGATGGGACTTGTCTTGCAAGAATTGAGGAGTTGTTATTAAACAAGTAATAGTAAAGTCTTAAAGCGATGCCTGCTCGCTGAAGCCCCCAGGCCAGGAAACCAAAAGCCGCAAATGACAATCGATTGTAGAATCAAACGAATACCCTATTCGGGCCAAAACAATTGAGAACGAAATCAGAGCAATACAGAAGAGAGAGAATGATACTAGCACAAAAACATGAAAGCGTGCCAGCACGCCGAAGAAAGGAAGAGGACCATTTTCGCTGTCTCTGTGTGTTATTATGAGGCTCAAGAGACCTGCATTGGCAACGGCCATGGCGCTGACGTTGACGGACGATCTTCCCATGACTATACCCAAGGGCATGAGACAATGCAACTGGAATACTTTTGCCCACATACCGGGCCGACGCGTTGTTATGATCGCCGTACCATGTTGAAGAAGCCGCACAGGCCTTTCTGGGGGAGGTTATAATAAGAAAATATGGTTGACACACCCGCTACCTTAAAATCTATAAAACGAGATGTTCATGCTCTGACACGATGTGCTCCATGCTCCCCGGGAATGTGAATAATGGTTTGGTGGATCGCCCGCTGCGGAGTCCGCGGTCGTCGTTGTCGAGATGGCTTTCGAAGTTTACGTGCATCCAAATTGGGACGTTGTTGGCGAAGATCGGACGAGCCTCCTCGTCAACTGTCCATTTTCGTGGGGTCTGTTGTTTCAACCTCGAAGCCTGTTCCGGGTCAGTGTCCCGGATGCCAGCATTTTGACCCCGGCACGTAGCATTAAGGGTTGATTACGAAGCATGTCATGACAAACTCATTGGAAACATTGGAAGCGTTGGCTCTTTGAATACTGAATCAGCTCAATTTTGAGTTGTTTGATTTGACCCTGACTGTCTTGAACTTCGGAACGAGGCGAGTGGTTCCGAAGATGCGATTCGCTTAACTACCTTGCTTTCCGACTATTATCACCTTCGAATCTAGTCGGAACGTGGTGTCTATCATGCTAATTGGCAATTACTACCTTACAACTTCGTGTTGAACGAAAGCTACGACCAATCAGGATGGGCAATCCAACACAAGTCGAAACGGGCCAAGCTCGTACCCAATCTCCAGATGAACGCCCGAGTATCCCAATCGACGCAAAGGAGCAAGAAAGACTAGGCCGCCAAAGACCTGAAATCTTCAGCAGCACATTGCAGGAGATTGGCTTCTGCGCATCCGTGCTGCTGTCCAACATAATGGCGGTTAGTTACTTTCAAAAGTTAGCTCAGAACAGCCCTGCTGATCTCAACAACTTAGGAGTTTCTGATCAGCGGGTTCAACGTGCTTCTGCCAAATCTGATCTCCGATCTTCACTTCTCCCCTGCCGACAAAACCTGGCCATCAAGTGTATTCTCACTCGTCGCCGGAGCCTTCCTCCTGCCCCTCGGCCGTCTCACAGATATGCACGGCGGGTTCCTCGTGTTCCTCGCAGGTAACGCTTGGATGGCCATCTGGTCTCTAGTCGGTGGCTTCAGCCGCAACTATGTCATGCTTGTCGTCTGCCGCGCGCTCCAGGGCCTCGGTGCGGCGGCGTTCTTACCATCTGGCATCTCTCTTCTGGGGAGCGTGTACCGCCCCGGCCGTCGAAAGAACATCGTCTTCAGCCTCTACGGAGGCTGCGCGCCGTTCGGGTTCTTCTCGGGAATTTTCATCGCGGGCGTGGCGGGTCAGTTCCTGCGCTGGAGCTGGTTCTTTTGGATCGGGACAATGATGTTGGTTGTGGTCTGCCTGCTCACATATTTCTGTGTTCCCAGACAGATCCATCCGGCAAGGATGTCCATGGATTGGTGGGGGTGCGCGACTTCGATTCCGGGGTTGATGTTGCTGGTCTATGCTATCACGGATAGTCCACACGTTGCCAAGGGATGGGCGTCGCCGCAGATTCTAGCCACGTTCATCTTGGGGATCGTGTTTCTTGCGGCGTTCGTATATGTCGAAGGATGGGTATCGACAGCGCCCCTTCTGCCTCCGAAGCTATTTGCTCCGAAGTATACCGTCGCTCTGTTCTGCTGTCTCTTCGTTGCCTTTGGTAGTTTTGGAATTTTCCTACTTTACGCCAGCTTCTAGTAAGTCTGCATGTGGTTTCACGGTAGTGCAAGGACATTACTGACTTCAATATCAGCATCGAGACTATTCTGCATATTGAGCCACTATTAGCTGCGGCCTGGTTCGCACCCCTCGCCACCGGAGGCGTAATTATTGCCATCGTTGGTGGTATCATCCTTGACAAGCTTTCAGGAACCATCCTGCTTCTTCTGTCCGTCACTGGGATGTTGATATCTTCCCTTCTGTTCGTTCTCATCCCAAGCAATCCCAACTATTGGGCGTGGGTATTTCCTTCGATGGTCTGCGCAACTATTGGGATCGATATCATGTACAATGTTAGCAACATCTTTATCACCACCAGTGTGAAGAGTGATCAACAAGGTATCGCAGGAGCCCTCGTCAACGGCTTACTATTCCTGGGCATGAGCTTTTTTCTCGGTTGGGCCGACTTGGCCTCGGCGATGGCATCCTCTGGCGATCTTCAAAAGGGTTACAAGATTGCCTTCATAATGGGCGCTGGCTGCGCTGGAGCAGCTATAATCATAATCATTGCGGGCATCAGAATCGACAAGGCGAAGGGAGACTTGACTGCCGATGAGCGCGAGCAGGTGCAATGAGGAGGTGGTGCAGAGTCGGTCTCTATCCTTGTTTGGCATATCCATTTTGACACCACACATCACGTATGAAGATGTCCTGTAATAGTGCAATAGCGTTGTCTGATACGTTTCTAATACAAAGCCTCGGTACTCGTCATGGTGTAATCTGAGATTGTTCTCAACAGCTTCGTTGTGACATGGATATTGCACTACGTGTAGTATCTAGGCGACCTTACTCTTTCGTGGAAATACGTACGACAAGTCATTAAAGTTCCGCGACCTCCATCGAAAACATTCGGACCTTTGTGGCCAGCGGCTCCCACATATACCCGGAGGAAGATCAATCAAGCCCTCACTCGGCGAAGACCTTCCGAATCAGTCATGAGACATCCCGCCGGCACGAGAACCGTTCCATATGCCTTGGAATTTCGGTTAAGCCAAGACCTAAATAAAGCCGCTCAACCCGTCTAGACCGCGATTCGTTCTCTTCGGCAATCTGTACTTCAACATCCCGCGTCCCAGCTGATCAGCAAAATGCTCCAGCTGATGATCAGATAACGTCAAGGCCGGGCCGCATTCGCCGCAAAATGCGGGAAATGCGGGGAGATGTGGGGGGACAACAAGCCACGGCGGCCACGTCCAGCCCGACTAGGCAACTTTTCGCCGGGTTGGCCCCTCGCACGCGGTCTTACCCCGCGGATTACTTTTCTCTTCAAGGAGATTCGTGGAGGTGTCAGAGGGAGATTGTGGAGGCGAAGGACGTCAGGCTCGGCGAGGATGGCTGTTATTAACCAATATGGGACATCAAAGACGAGGAAAAAAGGTATTTAAGTGTATCTACTGAGACGGGATAGTCTGCCCTAAAAGCATCCTTCACCTGATTTTGAAGATATCTTGCAACTTGTCTGAAGAAACCATCGATACCCCTAGAGGTGATCGTAAGCTGCATCTTGCCACTTAGAGACGAGAAACACCAACGTAAGAACCGCCCAACATGCCTCACGCAGAGTCTCCAACCGCCGCGCCCCCTCCCACAATTGCCGGCGTGAAACTTCACGTCAACGACGACCTCCTTTCCCCCACCGAAGTAGAGCCCCTCATCCCCTCCTACCCGACAGAAGACCTCGAGGTCCTCCGCCAACGCTACCGCGAGAACGGATACCTGCTCCTCAAAGGCATCCTCCCCCGCGAGGACGTCCTGTCCGCCCGAGAATCATACTTCAAGTCCCTCGAGCCGTCAGGCGTCATCAAACCGGGCACAACCCCGCGCGACGGAATCTTCGACGACGCAAAGTCGCCCGCGGATTACCCCGGCATCGGCGCCGGAAGTATCAAGAACGCCCGGCCCGGCGAGACGGACAAGTCCGCTCTCTTCGCCGACCAAGCCCTGAAGGCGCACACGGAGGAATGGTACGCGGGGTCGGAGGACGGGAAGGTCCCGGGCTTCTGCAACCACCCAGTGCTCCGCGATTTCGTGGCCAAGTTCACGGGCTGGGGCGACAGCACGCTGACGGTGAAGCGCACCCTTCTCAGGAACAACACGCCCGGGAACAAGGCGATCGGGGTGCACTATGATCAGTCGTTCATGCGCTACGGCGAGCCGACGTCCGTTACGGCGTGGGTTCCGATGGGCGACGTTAGGCTCGAGGGCGGGGGTCTGATTTACATGCAAGACGGGGAGAAGCTGGGGGAGGAGATTGAGAATGAGTTCATGGCGCAGGCGAAGGCCAAGGGCATGAATGACGAGGAGACGAGGAACGCGTTCAACGCGAACATGATGAGCACGGGGTTTCTTTGCGAAGGGCCTGCGGACTTTGGGAGGAGGTATGGCAAGAAGTGGCTTGTCAGCGCGTATGAGGCGGGTGATGTCGTCTTTCACACGGCGCATATGGTGAGAGTTCCTTCGCGCGTCCGGTCGGATCTAATACTGACATGAAATCGAGATTCATGCTTCGACCAAGAACTACGACCCTGAGGGTCGCATCAGGCTTGGCACTGATTTGAGGTTCGTTGACAGCAGCCGGCCGTGGGATACGGTAAGTCAATGCCGCTGTCAAATTCATGACCACGACTCGAAGCTGACGATGACCAGCGCTGGAACAAACACTACACCTTCAATGATGGTTTGTAAGATGGCGAGTGGAATGGGACTAGGAAGGGAAGACTTCTCAGACAGAGGGCACAGCGGAAGACTGCACGATCGGTACGGCATAGCCATATGAAGATCAATCATCTTGATTGAAAACTATCGAGTTCCGCCCACTGCTCCTTGAGAGTCTTGACCAGTGCCCCTGTCTTCCACTGCACGATGTTTCTCACTTGAGCCAAGTACTTGATTGTGTGTTCCCGCTCGAGCGGATGCCGTACGAGATGTCCGCCTGCGAAGTGGGTTAGCATGATTTGCCCGGGAAGCAGAGTACTGTGAGCCTTACATAAAGACAGCATATGAGCTGGAAGGTAGTATGCATTGACAGCTTCGTTCGAAAGAGCCAGTCCCATTATCGTACAGAGATAGAATGTGATTTCCCGCTGGTCAAGTCATCGTCAACATGGAACACAACAACAGCAGGGTCCTGCAATTCGCTTTATTCTCACCTCGCTATCGAGTCTCTTCTTTGTCCCCTCAAACCCAACGAGGGAATTTGAGCTGTTGTGTTCCTGAAAGCAGAAGATGGCTTTCGCCGAGTAGTAATATCCGAGACCAACCGTGGCTACGTGAACGATGTTAGTCGGCATATCTCATTCCCACGTCGTGGACCACTGTTTGCTCACCTGGATCTGTACTCATCCATAAAGTCGGGAACGGCCTTCCCTTCGTCAGGTCTGCCCGGTCATAGAACAACGGCCGGAACCCGAGAGGTGTGTTCCGATACCACGTCTCCACCTCGCCCTGCAACTCTTCCCATGCCGCCGTACTACTCGCCGTCCCATTCTCAGGGAAGAACAGCTTCAGCACCTTTGCGAATAAGTACACAATACGATTCGAACATGCCGTATCATCGTTCATCTGGAACGTCGACGACCTCTCGAAGTTCTCGAGGCAGATCTCAATCGGCGTTCGACGGACCAGGATCACATAGAGCGCCTGGCGTAAATGAACCCAGCTCGCGGCCTCGGCAAGTCCGCCCTGCGTGACGAACCTTGCGATTGCGTCGTGGTTGAGCAGATTGCGGGTGCCCCGGAGATGGTGATAATGCGAGTCCGTTTCGTTGTCGTATTCTTCATACAACCGCATGATGACGACAGCCGTCAACAGGATTGAGTCCCATGTCTCAGGCGGCTGAGAGAAGGCTTCTATGAGCAGCTCGATGCATCTGTTATGGTAGTAGGTGCTCTCCAGATCAGACTTTTCGGTACCGTCATCTGCTCCTTGCGCATCGAAGCGGCTGGCGAGGGCGAAGATGCCGTTGAGGAGGATGGGCTTGCATAGGGCGAGGCGGGGGACGTCGAGTGTGAATGGGCGTGCGTCGTGGCATGCGTCGATCTGATTGCTTTAGCTGACTTTCAACTTCATGGAAGGTCATTGAGACGTACCGATGGCGCTATCCTCATGATATACGTGCGGAATAAGTATGCCTGCCTTCCAGTGAAGCCCCAATGCTCAGGCTCAGCAGGCCGCAACCGAAGTTCAACGTCGGAGATGAAACTTTCGGCCCGCTCCCGTCGTATTGATCCAGGCTGTGTCGAGGACGGCGAGTCACCCAGGAGGTAGGAGATCTGAAGTTGCGGCTGAACGTCTCCGGCGTTCCACTGACCGGGCTCTGACGTAAGGCCATCGCGGGTAGAGTCGATGGAGGCTGGACTGTAAGCAAACGCAGATGGCTGTTGGGACTCGGCAGGTGGTCCGCGACTCAACATGAACCCGATCGGTGCATTCCCATCGCCATGTGATCCGTGGCCGGTGAATCTCTGCGCTGGTGCTTCACCTCGGAGCCTCTGGCCGGTCGGAGGCGAGAGCTCAAAGGTTAACTGTTGACTTTCGAATGAGTTTGAGCCGTGCGGAGAGGCGTGAGAGCCGATGCTGTTGCTCCTTGCGGCGGTTTGAGTGGATTGGGTGACTGGTGACGACGAGGCTTCGGTGCCCGTCTCATCTAAACGACTTGCTTCGCTCTTACGCCTGGCTGAACACCACGTAAGCCATTGACTCAGAACAATTTGAGAATGAGAAGGTTTAACAAGAAGTTCAAGGAAGAATATGTACGAATAGATGGGGTTCAAGGACAGGGAGCGGTCGTTGTCCACATAAGAAAAGTAAAGATCACACCTCTCTGCTGCTCAATCCTCTGTGCCCGATCACCGACCCCGGCGGCGGCGGCTTTCCTCGCGCTACCGGGAGCGTGCTTGAAGCGTAGGGTTGTGTCAAAGTGACATTCCAGATCGGCCTCGACGCAGGCGCCGCATCCGGTCGCGCCGGGTTGCACGACGCACTTGCGGTGACGCCGCCGGCAGGCGTCGCAGCAGCGTCGGGGCTTCATGTAGGACCGGCAGCCACGGCCAAGGCCTCTCTGATCCCCAGGTCCCCAGGTCTCTCCAAGTGTCCGAGTGTCATCCGAAACCCCCGCGACCCTCCGTTCGTCTTTGCTGCGAATGTAATCACCACGGCCGTAAGTGGTGGGGGATTCCGCTCGACCGTTCCGGGGGAGTTGAGTGATGGGCAGACCAACGTACGATTCCGGGTTGGCTTTTGCGGGGGGATAATTAAGAGTCGAATCCCGCGGGTTACATGGCCTTTTGAAGACATGGCAGACGCGGGTCGGGGATCGGGATCGACGCGATGCGGGGGAAAAGGCGGGGGTGAATCCCGAGGATAAACATGCTGGCTGCGACCTGATTTGCGTCACGATCCAGCGGCCAACGAAGCTTGGCTTGGCGGGATCTCCATATAAAGTAAAAACCTCCGGTGTGTGTTGGAGGATTTGGGGTGCATTTCAGCGACACGGCTTAAGTTTAAAGTCATCGTGAGCGACCGACATCCTTGCGTTGATAAGGATGTCTTCAGCAGAGTCAAGGAACTACAGCCTTAATGAACGACTCAGGGCTCAAGCTGTACCGGCAACTCTGCCTGAATGCAGCAGAACCTGAAGCGGTACTTATATCTCGACAGCCCGCTTCCCAAACGGTTAATGAATCCCGCCTCATCTCCGACCCTCACGATAGGACGAGTCTCTCGGCCAATCACTCCGAGACTCCAGACAGTCCGAATTCGTACCTGGTGGTATCTTGTCGACCCCGCGGATGGCGTCAGCTGTCTACATTAACAGGGCAGACGAGATATATACCCTGCTTCAGCTTCGCTGTATATCATTTTCGACCGATGGATGCTGCTATCAGGCTGAGTAGTTGTTCGGTCTTGTCCTTCAGTTGCCCACTAGGTAGTTAATGCTCCTTCACCTTGCCGACTGGATATCCCACAACTCTCTGAACAAGGACCTAGTCTTCAACAAAGTGGCGGGACTTCCAACTTCCACGATTCGACCAGCATCCATGACAACAACAACATCGAAATCCACGATAGTATCTAGCTGATGAGCAACGGCAATCACAGTCACTCCCTTGAACTCGTCCCGTATGACGCGCTTCATCATATCCGCAGTATGCTGATCCACGCTACCAAAGAACAAATCAGTTAGCCAATCAGTTTCAGTAAGTACACAAATCAACAGACGTACCTGCTTGTGGCCTCATCCATGAGCACGACATTGCTGCGCTTCAGAATCGCACGAGCGAGAGCGAGCAATTGTTTCTGACCCTGGCTGAGATTGTCCAGACTGGCCGCAGCGCGAAGCCCACCGGCGTCTTCGATGACTCGACGCATACTGACCTTATCCAGCGCTGAGAGCAGTACTTCATCGGAGTGGACGCCGAGCGGGTCGATGTTGGCAGCGACTGTGTTGTGGAAGAAGAAAGGCTCCTGGGGAATGGTGTTGATCGCCGACCGAACGTCCGATGGACGCATCGAGCTGATGTCGACACCGTCGAGGTGGATGGATCCCGAGGATAACTCGGTCATCCTCGTCATGGCTGCGATCATCGTGCTCTTCCCGCTTCCGCTGCGCCCGCAGATGGCGACTTTCTGGCCGGCTGCGATGTCGAGGTTGACATCCTTGAGTGCGAGGTTGGCGCTTTCGACGCCCGGCAGAGAGTAACTGGCCGTTGCCGAGCGGAACACCACATGCCCCGCCTGCGGCCAATCCGGCGGCGGTGTTATGTGGCCATCCTTTCCGTCAGTTTGGCGGTCCTCAGAAGGAGTGGTCGTCTCAAAGGCCTTGATTCGAGAGATGGCGGTCAGTGAGGTCTCGAGATTGGTGTAGTTGATGACGATCATCTTGAGCTCCTGGCTGAGCGACATGAGCTGGATCAGAGCGACTCCCATGAATCCCCCAGAGGTAGACGGCATCCGCGGCGCGATCGCAGCGACGAGTATCGCCATGACGGCGATCATGAGCTCCAGCACCAGCTGCAACCATCTCTGGACCATGTACAAGAGATATACAGGCTTCTGCGAGGCGTCCACGAGATCATGGTTCGCCTCTATCGCGTCCTCGGCCCAGCCAAAAGAACGGATAGTAGCGAGGCCCTGTATGGTCTCGAGAAGCTGTGTCTGCAGCGGGCTTCTAGCTTCGAGATCCAGGAAACGCAGCTGTCTGGAGGTTCTGAGATAGAAGCTCTGCACGAGGTGCAGGGACGCCAGCAGGAAAGGGTAGACGATGGCCACGTATGGCGCGGCGACGGCTATCAGGACCATCTGCACCAGCGCCACGAGACCGGCCGAGATTGTCTCGAGCAGAGACATGGGCATGTCGCCGTCGACTAGGATGATGTCCTGGGAGAAGCGGTTCGTGGTGATGCCCGTGTCGACTGCGCCGAAGAATGACTGCGGCGCCCAGATCATGGCTTTCAGCAGGACTTGGTGCAGCGACGTGCCGGCCTTGACTGCGAGGGACGTGAGGGAGAATCCTGAGAACAAGGCGAGGAAGACGAGCGCGAGGACCTGGAAGATGGCGTAGATCCCCAGGTAGTAGCCATCTTGGCTTTCATCGTTCGACGACTTTGCGTTGTTCGAGGACCAGTAGTTGAGCCAGACGGTTCCGATAGTCGAGAAGACGGCCCAGCAACCTGTGAGGGCCAAGAAGACCAGGACCCTCCAGAGCCCAATGTGGCCAGCGAGATACTTATATATGGACGCATCACCGAGACGCCGCGTGAAGTCGTCTGCTGGCTCGGTCGGCAGATAGGTGTCGTCGCTTGCTGGAACACGCGATGGGTTCTTGCTGTCGCCACCCAGCGATGAGGGTATGGTTCTTCCGTCGTCGTCTAGGAGTAAGGGGCTTCTCGAGCCATCTTCAACGTCCATGGTCCGGATCATGAGCGATCTGACATAGGCAGAGCGCTCACGCAGATCGTCGAATGTCCCCATCTCAGCCACCCGCCCATCCGCACCCAACACTATGACATGATCGGCACGCGGGAGTAAAGCGATATCGTGAGTGCACAAGACAACAGTGCAGCCCCTCTGGCGCAGCAATCCATCCGGGCCTAACGCGCGCTCGAATACCTTGATCTTGGTAGCCGCGTCGAGACCCGAGAGAACATCATCGAACACGACCAATTGCTTCCGCGCGTACAGCGCCCTTGCTACTGCGACCCTCTGTTGCTGTCCGCCGCTCAAACAGGTACCTTTGCTACCGACATGCGTTGCCCGGCCCCGTGGGAGAGCTGCGATGTCGTTCTCTAGGTCAACGGCGTGAATGACGGCTTCTAGCCAGGGACTGTCGAAGTCGGAGAAGCCTGTGATGTTGTCAACGAGTGTTCCGTACATGATGAATGGTTCCTGGCTGCAGAATGCTATGTCCGTATTGACGCCGGCTGCGGTAAACATGCGAACATCACCCCGAATATGCGGTAGCTCGCTGATGATTACCCTCGCGAGAGTGCTCTTTCCGCTTCCCACGGGTCCAATAATCATGGTCAACCGCGACGCTGGAATGTCTACATTGACGTCTGTTAGTGTTGGCTTTTCCGATGTCCACCCGAATTCGCCATCACGAATAGCAATGGCGTTTCTGGGCCTGGCAAGGCCACTCTCGTCAGGATGCACCACAGCCTTCACAGGTAAGGTCGTTGACTTTGCCTCGGCATGAAGGTACTTCTCGATTCTTCCCAAGCATCCAAATGATGCCACCAGCAGCGGCACCGCCTGAAATAGCCATACCAGCGGTTGAGTCATCAACTGAAGCAGGCTGAGTGAAGTAAAGGCTTTGACCGTATCCAGCTGCTCTCCCGCACTCCGCGCTTGCAGCACGAAAACCAGAAAAGTGAAGACGGGAGAGAGGAGGAGCGGCAGGAAGGCGATCGTCGCAGTGAGCACCTCGATGTGCCGGAAGTGCCTGGCAGCATGGAGCTCTGCCCCCCTCAGGTTACGAAGCAAGTCGAACACGCCTTGGGATAACCCAAGAAGCTTGATGCTCTGCATCCCGGAGACGGCTCTGGCGGTCACACCAACACGCTCCTGGGTCGCCTCCATCCACGAGACCTGGGCTTGGTCGGCGTACGCGCTCATCAGCATGGAACCCAGACTCGACACGGCCGCGACGACGGCCGGGGCGACGCAGGCTATTCCGAGCTCGCGATAGAGCAGCCACACGGCGATGGCGACCTGCAAGGTGTTGGCCCATATCTCGTGGACATCTTTGAAGCCCGCGATGATGCGTTCCATGTCGGTGCTGATCAGAGGAACGGCCGTTGTCATGTCGCAACGAGCGGCGTCGATCTGGGTCGTCTTGCTGTACACGGCAGACACGAGACTGCCGCGCATTTTGACGAGACATTTGTACGTCAGACGCCAGTAGATGCACCCTGAGATGGCTATACCTAGGTACACGAGCCCATAAGTGATGATGAAACCGTAGCCGGTACTGCCTACGAAGGTCGGATCGCCGGCTAGGTAGCGGAGGAACTCGCGTAGCAGAAGTGGCTGGCAGAGAGTGAAGGCGACCTGGGCGAGACGTGGTATAACTGGCGCTAGGATCGACCACCTCAGCGTTCGAAGAATCACCGAAGCGAGACTTGGAAGATGGTTGCTTTGCTTGTTCCAGACTGCCCAGAAAGAACGGGACAGAACTGCAGTACCCAGGCCCTCACTCAGAGGATCCAGATCGGTTGGCGCCAAAAGTGTCTTGCGACCTTTGGTCAGAATACCACGGAGCCAGATCAATAGACTCCGATTGAATACGCCGGCCGTTTCTTCGGCAGTTTTGTGTCGCCATTCCGGGAGCAGGAACTTCTGCTTCTCGATGAGCTCAAGGACTAGAAGGCCACTCTTGATGACGAGAGAAGCGGTGAACTCGGCCGGGATCAGAAAGATACCAGACGCTTCGTCGTGGGCCTTGAGCCAGAGGGTGCGAGTCTGCACGGCGTCGAAGATGAGTGAGACGAGCAAGTAGACGTTCAGGAGGGCCGATGGACGCGGCGAGTACGAGTGCTCGAGCCACGACAAGACTCCGAGGGCGAAGACATCCAGCAACCGGAAGACGGCGGCAGCCAGGCTGGCTTTGGTTTTGTAGGGCCCTGGGTAGGCTCTAGCCCAGGTGACGAGAAGCGCGATCTGGATCGCGCCGTAGCAAGCGACCGCGCCCAGCTTGGCCCGCCGCAGACCAGTGCCCACGGCCAACCTGGCCTTCCTTTGCTGTCGAGGAAGAAGAACGAAGAAGCGGATGGCGGCCAGGACGAGGAAGAGGCATGATGGTGCTACTGACAGGAGACTCTGCTCGAAGAATAGGGAGAAGTCGAAGTCGCCTCTGCAGCCGTGGACAGGACCGAATTCCGTGTCGGCGCACGTGGACGAGTTGTCCATGATGCTCTCCGAGTCTGCTGTTCGTGTACTCGGTTGTCGAGGTCAGTGGTAGGTATCAGAACATTTGAATGACACTGAAATATTGACCATTAGCCAATGTTTAGTATGAAGTGAGAATTCGCTTGTTGTCTAGCCGTTGGGCGGCGCGGCCAGCGTGATGGGATCCACCTTCGGCGACCGCATATGGCAGGAGGAAGACCAAAGTTCCACGTTTCGCGCATCCTGGAGACTTGCTGGGAGTGAGTATCGCCAACACGATCGTTTCGAAAATGGACGATATGGAATTTCGTCAGATGGTCGCCGGTCAGTTACCGATTCGCAATTCGAAGTTTACAGCAAGACGTGGGAACACGATCTCCTGGCTCTCGAAACGGGGTCACATCGCTGACGACGGCGCGCACGTCGGGCTGGGAACAAGACCGTCCGGGCATGCCCACAAGAAGACACCAGGAGGACGATTTCTCAATCATTCAGGTGGATCAATCTGGGAGATGCGAATGTCTTCGAAAACCGGCCGCATGGAGGCCGGCAAGAGCCAGGCGTAGCGCCGACTTGAATGTCGTGGATCCAGGAGGACGGCTAGCTGTTTGCTCGGTGCGGAGGCCATTGAAACAGTAGGGTCGGATTATCAGCGGCAAATCTTGGTCATCTTATGGCTACTGTGGAAGCTGGATATGCCCGATACTGAAGAAACCGACGTCGTCGAGATTTGGTATCCTGTGCGACGGGTGGCTTCTATGATTGCCCCTCACGATGGGACACGGAGGTCGCTAATTGTGAGAAATTTCGAGATTGTGCATCCGCATGGGTGCGACTGCTAAGCTGAAGGCAAGCCGCAATCAGTTCGCTGGAAGATGGAGCGTTTCAATCAGCGATATCGCCAGAAAGAACTTTATTGTGAGAATCCACCAGATACATGATGGCCGCTATACTTTGCGGATGCCGTTGGTGAAGCGTGAAGGTTTCAGTCCTGGGGATGAAGGGGAAAGCAATTCACTCAAATTTCATCCTCACTTACGTAACATTGAGTGTTTGGTGAGATGATTATCTAAGATACATCGTTTTTCTTCCTATGGAGCCTGTAAAACTTCTCATCTCACAAGCCCCATCACTCTCATTCAAATCTCATGAGCCTCACATGAGCTTCATCAAAGACTTTCAGGGAATGATAGGTCTAGGATGACACTGGCACCATCTTGGCACGATGACAAACAGAAAAGGCATGATTGGCCCACTGAGATGTCACTCTCATGAAATATTCTTGGCAGCTCGTGAATCTTACATAAGAGAGGCCCATCAGTTTTTCCCTAAGCGGGATTAGTGTCAGCCAGGCATCTCCTAGCTGTTCTCAGTGTGCACCGACAAACAGGTGACGGACTGCTGAGATTCAGAGCGGTGAACGAAGAAATTCTCATGTCAACCGCGGTGCTTATTGAAAGTTACTGAAGAATTTCTTACTCAATTCAAGGGGAATAATCCAAGGAGAAACTGACTCCTACGTTCTCTGGATTAATCGTTGGCTTTCTACTTACTGATGTCATCAGCAGCAACATCATCGGATGCTTCAACCAATATGAAGACTTAATCATGCCTGGATGAGCAGGAAGCCGTATCTCATGAGATGAACTCTACACAACATACTTCAGTACATGGCGTGCGAAACTCAATGATCAACCCTCGTGGTCTGTTTAAGCAGCCAAGGACCCCAAGCGCAGGTTTTGCTCCAGTGACGCGTCACTAAAGGGCCACCACAACCGTCTTGGGGCCTGGGCACTCAAAGGCATGACTGGGGGCTGTCACAGCATCGGTCACGACCAGCGATTTTCGCAAGCCCAGCTCTCGTCGGTCTGCCACGAGGCACCTGATGACACCGGGTAAATGAAAAGCAGCTCCTGACAGTCCAGCGAGGACGTCGGAAGTCGAAACTGACTTATCGAGCTATCGTTGGGCTATCGGCTATCTTGGTGCAGCATCGGGACAGAGCGGGAGCGCTGAGCCCCATGGGGTAGGTGGGAAGGCCTATCAGTGGACGGCGGCCGTCGAGATTGGCGATGCCCGCGATGTGACCAAGGCAGGAATGGGAAGAACCGGACGCGGGGCGTATGCAGTGACGTTTGTGGGTTGCAGCGAGGCGCGTGTAGTTCTCGCCGAGTGACGGCTGTTGTATTGTTGTGTTGTGTTATCCTCGGCGTAGTGAAGAGGATGAGGGGAAGATGAGGATTTGGTGAGTGAGAGTGAGCGCTGTAGATCAACGTCAGCAGTGTCAGCCAAAGGGCTAAAGGAATGCCATATGAATCAGTTCGCTGAATGCGGATGAGTGAAGAGGAGCTGATGAGAAGGCTTCATTTGCTATCTACATCGATGAGACGGACTTTCTGATGCTTATTGAAAACTGATAGACTGAAGATGAGAGAACCTTCAAGCTAATGATCGGGATCGTCGCCCGACCGGCAGCCCCCGGAAACACTGGTTCATCTGGGCGCCGAGTGAAGGCCTGGACCCCTGCCAGCCGCAGCAAACAACCCGATCACAAGATAACAGTGAGAATACGAATGATGTCCAGCTCTCCAGGTGTGTTTGATGATGTTCTCTGCGCCAATTCTTGCAATGTGAACCTTGTTGGGTGAAGACATGTATGAGCATCAGAGCAAGAGCCTTCATCCTTGAATCACAACAGCAACAACGGCAACATCCACCTGTCAACCGTACGAACCGTGCCTGCGACCTCGATGAACTGCAGCAGGATCCATGTCGTTCCGAAGAGGTTCTCAATCACCGCCGAGATACTGTCCATTGGCAATGGCAGGCTTGGAGAGTGATCAGGGAGGGAGCTGAGGCTGTGTGACTCGCTTCCGCATTTGGCCGAAGCAGCCCAGTCTCACTCTCCTGCTGCCCCCGCCCCTAAAAATTCTAGATCCCGAAGACGGCCACGGTCTTGTCTCTTTTTTTTTTATATGAAGTACATGGGTACCTGACATCATCATCACCCCTTTGATTCCGTGACTTGAGCATCGAAATCGTTTGAATTCTCTTACGATACCATCACGCTTTCGATATCTGCAATTACTACCGTCAACCCATTTACCGAGTAACAACCCGAACACGAGCCAACTGTGAATCGAATTGAAAGGGGGAATAAGAACTGTGAAAAAGGCCCCGGCCACCAAACCGCCACGATGAACTGTCCCTCGCGTACCGACGACATCACGCTGGAGCATCCCGATTGGAACCAGAACCCGCCGTTCCTCGCCCCCGATTTGACCACCTGCGCGGACCTGAACGGCATCGCCAACGCCCGCGAGCACCGCAGAGGCACCGACGGCGCCGGCGATGGGTCTGACGGACGGGGTGATGAAATGAATTACCAGACCCTACCACGTCTGCAGCCCGATCGACGAGCCGCCGTTTCGGGAGGGTGGAAGTACGGTGAGTCAGCTCTCACTCACACATATCTACATCGCTCACCGAAGACATCGCGAATGTCGCACCCGGACTTCCACGACTGACATCTCAACAACAGGCTTCCATCCCCGAAACATTCACGTGCATGGTGGTGATGACCATACACGTCTTCTCAAGGGTTCCGACCCATCTCGCTCCAGCACCTGGGGCTGGCTGAGCTGGATCCTTTCCGTCGTGGGCTGCTCAGCCATCATTTCGGCTCTCAAGAGTCCCGAGGCCGTCGCCTCGTTCATGTTCGCATCCAAACACACCGCCCAATGTGAGTTATTGTGCCATCACCTTCACATCAATTGAAGTCCATCTCGTCTCATCACAAACTAACACACCTAGCTGCCTTCAAGCGCTCCGTTCGCGCCACCAAACGCTCGACCTGCCCGACTGGCGGTCTCGGCGACGAGGACAGTTACAACACCCCTCTTCACGTCGGCGCTCTCTTCATCATCCTCGGCGTATCCTTCCTCGCCTGCGCCTTTCCCCTCATCGCGTCCCGCATCCCCGGTGTTCGCATCCCGCGGCCCTTCTTCTTCGCCGTGCGCCACTTCGGTACCGGCGTCCTTCTCGCGACCGCCTTCGTTCATCTCCTACCCACCGCCTTCACTCTCCTCGGCAACCCATGCCTGAGTTCGTTCTGGGTCGAGGACTACCCTGCCATGCCGGGCGCCATCGCCCTGGCCGGCATTTTTCTCGTCACCCTAATCGAGATGGCTTTCTCGCCCGCCCGTCAAATGTCTTGCACCCCCGCCGACACCGTCCTGTCGCCGCACCGCCCCGAGTCCGCCGACGAAGATGCCCAGCGAGACCCGGGCTCCTACCCGCTCGAGATGGCCCCGAGCCGCGGCGCCCGACGTAACAGCATCGGACGCACGCTCTCGCGGATCGGTCGCGACGAGGCGGCGGGTCAGGAGCATGCTGGTGAAAAGCTTGCCAAGCGAGTCGACGAGGAATCGCGCGCCGTGAATGTCGGCATGGTCAACGGCATCGCCCTCTCTCCCGCGCAGCAGCACCAGAAGGACATCCTCCAATGCATGATGCTAGAGGTCGGCATCCTCTTCCACTCCGTCTTCATCGGCATGACCCTCAGCGTCTCCGTCGGCCACGAATTCGTCATCCTCCTCATCGCCATCGCCTTCCACCAGACCTTCGAAGGCCTCGCCCTCGGCTCCCGCATCGCCTCCATCGACTGGCCCGCCGGCAGCCTGCAGCCCTGGATGATGGCCCTCGCCTACGGCTGCACCACGCCCATCGGCCAGGCCATCGGCCTCGCCACCCACCGGCTCTACAGCCCGGACTCCGAGTTCGGCCTCATCCTGGTCGGAACCATGAACGCCATCTCTTCGGGTCTTCTCGTTTTTGCGGCGCTCATCGAGCTGCTCGCCGAGGACTTCTTGTCCGACGAGAGCTGGCGCATCTTGCGGGGCCGGAAGCGCGTGTACGCGTGCCTTCTCGTCTTCTTCGGCGCGTTCGGCATGAGTCTTGTCGGGGCGTGGGCTTAAAGACATACGATCGGCAGGCACACGTTTGACATGACTTCACGCCGGTGGGATCGATGTAATCCAGAAGGCTGGATGTGAAATCTCGCCTTTTGATTGATCATTCTGCCCATCTGTGTCTGTCGACCTTTCGTCCGGCCCGCAGCCTCGTCGCGTCTGAAAGGATGCGGCGAGGCCTCCTGGAGGATCTTGACGAGGCTTCATCACGGGACTGGGGTGAGCCAGTCTGTTAAAACCTCGCGGCTTGAGGAAGCCGCTGGTTAAAGCACTCGCTTTGTCTGGAATTTGTTCATTGGCCCATCATCGGCCGTCCGCTCATTAAATGCGTGAAAATGCCGCAGTCACTTAAACCGAGTAGAAGAAAACGACGTCATCGTCAATAAAAAATTATTTTTTTCCCGGCGATTTCTGAAGCATACGGCCCTTCCAGATCTACTTCAAACATGATGCCCATCCACCCTTGTTGAACCGTACCTCGTACCCAAAGTAGAATACCCATCTCACCGCTAACCCACACACATAGTGACGCGTCATACCTCACCTAACTCACATAAGTGCAGTTGCTCCCATCAGAAACACTCGGACTGCCAACATATCCACTATCACAACTCCTCACCCTCTCCCCGCGTCCCCGCCGACCCCTGATCTCGAGACCAACACCGCAAGCCCGCGCCGCAGCCTCCCAGGGCCGCAAGTTCTCCTCCAGCCGCATCTCCTCCATGTGCCGCTCCCTCTCCGCGCGGAGCCTCTGGCCCAGCGTCTCCTCGACCTGGCTCAGATACGTCGGTCCCGCCGCCGTGGCCCCCGTCGACGAAGGCGGCTGCTGCGGAGCATTCACGCCGAACGTCTTCGCCGCGTCCTGCGCCATCACGGTCGCGTGCATCACGCAGCACGGGCTCCCCGTGGACCGCGGGACGGGGCAGCCCGGGATCGAGCAGGAGTGCGCCGCGTCGCAGTTCCCGCCGCTCGCGCCGCCGGGGCCGTGGCAGCCCTCGACGCGGCACTCGTGGGCGAGGCAGAACTGGGCGCCGGGCACGACGAGGGGGTCGGACGTGCGCGGGGACGGACAGGACGGGTGCAGGCAGGCGTGGAGGGCGCAGTGGGCGCTCGAGGGCTTCGAGGGGTGCGAGCAGGCGGACGAGGTGCAGGTGTGCGTGATGCAGTAGAGGGCCTTTGAGGGCTTGGAGGGGTTGGAGGTCGGTTGGGGGCAGGAGGCGTGGTGGCATGTGTCTGGTGTTTTGTCAGTATGAATCACGAGATATGGATATACGGAGAGGGGGGCGTACGGCTGACGCAGTAGAGGCGCGTCTTATCCTGCGCGTTGTCCTTTGCTTCGCGGCAAGGGGGATACATGCAACGGTGCTGAACACAAAACCGGATTCCGCCCGTGACCGTCTCGGGACAACCCGTCTTCAAGCAGGCCGTGGGAAGATCTGTCAAAGTACATATTTCATCAGCAACCGTCAACATCATGGGGAAGCGCGAAATCAACTCACGCTGCCAGCAAACCTCCTCGAAGCGCGCGCCGGCCGTGACGGCCCTCATCTGCTCGCAGCCCTCGGCCTTGCAGACGCGGTGGTCCGTACACCAGTGGCCGCCGTTGATGACGTCGTTGCAGTCGCGGTCGCGGCAGCTGTGGCTCGGGCAGTACATGCCGCACTCGGTGCGCGGGTGGCCGCAGCCGGGGATCAGGCAGAGGGGCGTGTGGAAGACGCACATCTGGGAGACGGCGGAGCGCTTCTGGTGACAGCCGGGGAGGGAGCACGTGTCTGTTTGCATGGGAGTCAGGACGCTGAGTTTGGTAGGAGGGGGATGTTTGGAAGAGTTGAGAAAAGAAGAGGGAGGAGGAGGAGAAGAAGGGAGGAAGTTCGACGTACGTTTCTGGCAGTACGGCCAGTCCTGGCTGGTATCGGCGCAGACGCGGGTGTTGGAGCAGCTCTCGGATTGACAGCGGCGATCTGATATCAACATCGTGAGTGAGTGATCCAGCGAGTTGATGAGTGGGTGGAGGACGTACGGTCTGAGCAGAACTTGGTCATGCTGGACTCCTTGGCGTTGGGACACATGAGGTCGCCCGTCCGCTGGCGGCATGCGTCTAGAGCAAACATGAAGTCAACAAGAGGACAACGACGACCCGGTGGGCTGGTTGGAGAAGGACTTACGGTCTTTGCAGTACAACGATTGAAGCGGCCTGTTTCCCTTGGCCTTCTGCTCGCACTTGACGGCATGGCGGGTGCAGCCGACGTACATGCAGTGTGCCCTGGGCGGAGCCGGGGGAGGTTGCTGCCGGGCGCGGCAGTTGAAGAGCATGGCGATGTTGGAAGAGAAGGATACTTGGAAGTATTGAAGTTTGGTAAGATTGAGAGATTTGGCGTTGGAATGTCAAACGTGAGAAGGATAGTCACAGGCGGGAGGGTGGTTATGGGCGGCCGCATTTGAATATGAATGTCATGCGGATGGATGGCAAGTCGCAAGGAAAAAGGTAGCATGAGAGCGCCTGGATCAACGGATTTGGCGATATGAATCCTGCATGATATCTAAACCCCCGTTTCCTCGCTTCATGAATGAGCCCGGAAAGCCCTCTGGAGTCGCTGTCGCCGACGTGGTGACGGGGTTGTTCGGGATTGCATTCATGTAGGGCTGAGATCATCGGCATCTGGCATACGTTGCCTTCATTGTTGATGTCGCACCGAATGAGGTCGCGGCCGGAACCAGTCAGTTGAGAGGAGGTGTTGCCTGTCTCTCGTCGTAGTCAAGCACATTGTTCAAGTTGTTTCTGGATTGAGCTCCAGGCACAGAATGATGGCATGTCCTGAAAATCTCTATGGATCAGCGACTAGGCAGGGGATTATCAGCTGGATGGTCAAATGTTTCGGCCTCAAATCAGCGTTGAAACTGTGACCAGTGAGAACCTGGTAGTGTCTTGGCTTTATCTCAAAGACTCATTGTTCTTTGATAATGGAAGCTGCCAGAGACCAGAACCACTCAGACACTCCGCGGACAGCACCTATGCAGGCATCCGGGCAGCTTGTCTCGAACGCCGGACAAAGAAACAAGAGCTGAGACTTCCTCTCAGACACATGAGCAACTCTGGAGAAGAATCCAATGATTCATCATGTTGAAACTTACTATGGCCACGCTGAAATACAGCCAAAGGCGGTTTGGCTGGCGCTTGGGTGGCTTCGCGATGATTTTCTTGACCGAGCCTGACCGAACTCCCGCATTCAACCTTGACCGAGGCCCTTCACACTGTACATAGATTAGCCATTGGCGCAAGCATACATGACTAAATCCATAGTTCCCGTTCATCTCAGATCGTTCCAACAACTTCCTACGGTAACTATGCACGCGCACAAGCACCCCGGGCAATTGACTCAGACTGGGGGCGTATCGAATGGCATCGATGGCCGCAGAAACTCCAAGACCCCGAGCAAACAAATTAGTTTATCGCCACTCATAGTCGTTATTCAACCCCTTAACGCTCTCATCGTATCACCTGAGTCGAACTAAGACGTTCTCGTCCTCCTGCTGACCCAACTTGGGTTTTCATTCAGTTGATGTCGCATACCCGCCGTCGGCTGAAAGTCATCCGGCCGAAAAGCTCGCGAGGTTTCCCGATTCAACGCGAGATTTCCGAGGGTTTCGGAGACCGAACGCTTCTGTCCTTGAAGTGTTTGGTGTTGCCCGGACATCCCTGCCTCTGTCCTTGACGGGAGAGGCACGCGAGTACGACGTGATCCTCTTTCGATAACCAACCACACGACGGCAGGTTTGTTGCAGAGAGCGAAGGCGAACACGTATCAAGACAACATTGATATGTTGCGCAGGCCCCCAACGCATACCAAAATCTGTCATAATTGGAAAGTGGGCGGTAGTTGTCATGTATCAAGTCTGTCAATTGTGTGAATGTCTTCCTCAAATATCTACCTACACCTAACGCCGATGAGTAATAAAGCCCCAGGGTATCCCTAATCATTCAAAAGAAAAGCCCAAATATGCAGATCAATCCCCTACAGAGATCTTCTCAATCAGTCCCTAGCTCCAGGAGTGCTTGGCTGTCCGTAATGGTCCCGAATCTCCCAAATAAAATCTCCCCGCTCGAGATCCAAAGTCCGCGGAGTCGGGTCATCATATCCAATCTCTTCAATGATATTCTCCTTGAATCTCGAAATCCTCTTCGCCTTATTTCTCCCCGGGCTATCAGGATCCCCCAGAATACGTTCCCTGCTGGAGCTCGCAAGAGCTGCCCGCGGTGGCTTCCGCAGCTCCAAGTCCACAGGCCGAAGCCAGGCTCCAAAGTCGGCGAAGGTGTCTCGCCTGATCGTCCCCACGCCCGGCCGATCGGGACTCGCGGTCTGACTAGTATCCGCCGCCGAGGTCTGGTTCAACTTCTGCTCCTTTTCCCGCTTCGCTTGAGCGGCCGCCGCCACCGCGGCGGGCGTGGGGAGCACGCCTGCCGTCTTCAGGTCCCGCAGCCAGGGGAACCACTCTCTCAGCAGCGGCCAGACGAGCGGTAGGTTCGAGACGTAGACGGCGACGCTTGCTTCCCGGATGTACCAGAGCATGTAGTTCGGGCTGTACGGGTCGCCCAGGTTGAAGATCTTTGTCAGGAGCGCTGCGACGATGACGCAGATGCCGAGACTGAAGATGAAGACGAGGACGACCTTTTGCCTCCAACAAACGCTCATCTTGAATATCAGAGGAAGGGGCACCATCAACATCAGGGTGTCGGAGGAGATGTTGAACCAGCCCTGTAGAATTGCATAATGCTCGAAGGTCGCACATTGTCGGTTGGGGGGGGGAACAGCCCAATATCCGCTGAAGGGTCTGCATGCTGTGAACATTGTGATCTGGGTCGCCGTCCAGCCAATGGCCACGTAGAGTGATATCCAACGGACAAACCGCCTGGCCGATAGGCCAAGAGTTAGGCGGGTATACAGAATCAGCACGCAGGTTTTGAGTGTGTATATGAGGTTCAGCATTGCCTGCTCCGATACAAGCACGAGCTTGGAACCTTCGATTCGTTCGTCTTTTTCGGAGGCCGACATTGTTGCTAGGTCTTCGGGAGGGAAGAGGTTCGAGCCCCCATTGTCGACAATGACGTTTAGGATTGCTATCAAAATCGTGAAAAGACACTATGTGAGTTTCCATGGTTAGCATCCAATATTGAACCAAGATGGACCTGGTGCTCAGCTTCCCAAAATGTGATGAAATACTTACTGCGGCGCATAACTGCAGATAATCGTCTGCTTGATAGTGCTGTGGCCCCCCAACGCGCCTTGCTCTACTATATCTGACGGGCTATGTTAGCTTGGGCTCTGACATATCGATTCCGGTTCAACTTACAATCTAAGCCCGATGAACGCCATGCCAATGGAATACAAAATCCAACTCTCGTGCTCCAGAGCCTTTGAGAAACTCTGGTTTGTGTCGACCATCATTGCAACGTCACAGAGGGCGCAGCCCCGACGAGGAGTTGACTTCGGTTGCTGTTGCGAAGGCAGGCAAACGCAGTCCGCAGTGCAGTACTGCTAGTGATTTCTTGTAGATACTCCCCAATTTGCCTTCATGTTTGGTGTCTTGGATGATTTCTCGAAACTGAAGATTGAATTGTTGCTGGCTGTTTCCAAAATAGCATCAAAAGAATGTACCTTTTCGAGAAAATACAGAAAGAAGGGAAACATCACATTGCGGTTCCAGCCAAGTGAGCGCCGAGGGCTTGCTGTACAAGTATGTTTTCAGAATTACCATGATTTCGGGCGAGGTGCGCTATGCGCTGAAACTGTGGACCTACGCCCGTACGTTGGGATTCGAACAAAGGGTTTACAATTATTGTGAGTTCATGATGTCTTCCGCCTTTTGTTCAATATGAAGCGATATCCGCCTCGGCCAGCCTGCCGATCGGCAAGAGCACCCTTCCACTGGTGTCACTATCCGACAGTCTCAGATCTGAAGGCTAGGTTAAAGATTGGGGGTGACAGAGATATATCGAGAGCACAGAAAGCCGCATGTTGACTAGATCTTGAAATAGTGGTGGCGCCTGATGCCGAATGCGGCCAGATATTGGGGTTTCGTGGGCTCCCCGCGGATTGCTGAGTGATTACCACAACCCAAGCCCTCGATTTTCTTTGTCCTTACGGAATTCAAAAAACCCCAGATTGCTTCAAGCCGATTAGGTGATTCTCCGAGAGTATGGGTGGCCTAGTGTTGGGCCGGTTTACGTCTATGAGCGGCATCGGCACCCGTCTTCCCGACTCCCGATTTGACGATGTCCTATTCCATCCACGTAGGCTTGGCGCGCTTGACCTCGTTCAAGTCTCGGCCAGCTTGGCCCAGGTCAACGACGTTGGTAAAGTGTCTTGTGGGATACTGGGCCGAGTATCGCGTGGTCGATCACTTCCCGCGCCGCATTCCACATGTTCTCACCTTTGAGACATTCATCCGTGCCCGCTGGTGTAATTTTCGAAGAGCCTTTACTGCTGTCGAAGAGTAAATGAAATACAAAAACTCATCCCAAAACTTGTTTGACAAGAAGTAACCCGCCCTACCTGACAGCGTTGTCTTGACCAACGGGACGATGTTCTTCTCCGAGACTGCGGTAGCTCGAGACCAGACATCAGCCAACGCCGGTGGGACAAACATGTCAAGACAACCTCTACGCCCTAGAGCGTACTAGTCTATTCTAGAGTCCGCCATCGTCGGCGACGGAGCTGACCTCCCGCGACAGTCGGCCTTTCCACGCACCGGATGCCGATTCAGCCGGAAGGAAGTGGTCAGACACTCGACGACCCATGCGACGAACCAAAGCAGAAAGCCAGGCGCTCTGAATACAGGCCTCCAGGATGTTGTTCGATCTTTGCGTGCTTGAGATTGCTTTTTCAACTCCTTCGCTCTCGCTAGAAGCCGATGGATGTCAAGACGTGCCAAGAACATCTCATGTCCAATACTTGCAGTATGCCAAGTGGGTGAGAGCAGATGGCATTAAACGAGAAAACCTTCGCACGTCAAACTGACTTGCCAAACCCGTCTCGGCCAACTAACCGAGGTCGAATGAGACGCGTCGGTGCATCTTCGTTATATCTCGGCACGGGATTCAGTGTAATCCCGCCGGCACATATTCTACCGATCAAGATAAGTTTTAGACCGAAGCCTAAGAGCAAAAAAATTGGAAGATCAAGATCGATCGAGATGTCCTTTGGAATTACTTCTTGTCGACGACTCAGACTATCCAGCATGGTATCTGCTTGGTGATTGCACGATGTTAATGATGACCTTGACTTGAGGCTCTGGGCCTCGACCCATTTTCAACGCGCAAATACACACGAATACGAAAGAAAAGCAGTTCAGACACGTTCCTATGATTCTTCAGCTCGAAATTCTGCCCCTGACGAGGTACGCCAATACCGATCAGCGCGATCTTCCACACGACGGGCATTGCCGTCCAGACTAATGACGGGAGCCCGTGGCCCCGGGTGGCCAGCGCGCGGAAACTGTCTCGAGCTGTCTTCATGGCTGTTCCCAGTTTCTCCCCGTTCCTGCTGCTCGCGTTTCCTGCCATGATATGGTTTTTCTACCCCTCGTCCCGTTTAGACTCTCCGCTTGGACAAGGACCACGTAAACCGCGATCAACCCCGTCCGACCCCTGAAACGGTTGGTGGCTACGGCTCAACTTCGACCTGGGTTCGCCGGCATCTCCTGGACGCAGGAACGAGATTCGCACTTCTGCTCGCACCCTGTGAAGATTTGCTCTGTTTCACTGTCTGCATTCTCTTTTCTGTCAAATGCTCGATGTGGTCATCGTCTAAGATCGTGTTTGGCACATTGACCTACTTCTGCTGGCGGCTAAACGGACGCAAGGTACGGTCAAGGATGGCTTTCGAATGCGTCTGTTCGTCAACCAGCCGCCTTAACGCATGTTAGAGGCGAGTTTGACAGGTAGGCGGCGGCTGCAATCGCAAATAGGTTCCTGCGTTTCCGCCCTGCTTATCACTAGCAATTGGTATGCAGCCAACGCGGGAGGCGTCCGCGTCGTATGCGATCGCTTGCAGATCTGCCTTCTGCGTCTACCAAATTCTGGTCAGACTGTTTCAATCGCTATCAGATAGGTGGCTGTGTATGACTTGTTTGAACATATTGGCGCTATTTCATCGGCTATCTCGGCTCATCTACCTATCAACTTGTCTTTCTGTCTGACAGGAAGGCCACCATTGCAATATGAGACTCTCAGAGATGTGAATCTGAACTCAACCGGTGGTCCGGACGGATGGAGTAGTTGTCTAGAGCTTGCACCTTTTCGGGCAGGAGATTGCTTGATATCTGGTTAAGATGATGCTTGGCAGGGAACAGTTGAGCATGGTTACCACGAATGCATATTTCAATTGCTTAGCCTACATGTATTCGATCAGATTCTCAGTGCCAAACACCATACTACTGGCTGAATATTCTCCTAACCCATCCCATTCTCGTCTCAACCGTAGCCTTAGCAACTTCAGCCCCGATCGGCAGGCCCAGAAAATCAAACCCGTGGAAGCCACCGCTCCACACATGCAGATCCGCCTGAACACCACACTCCCATAGCTTCATCGCATATGCCACATTTTCGTCTCTAAATGGCTCCGCTGTACCGGCATCGATATACGCCGGTGGCAGATTAGACAGGCCCGTTGCCCTTCCGGGCGCTACATAAGGGCTGACTCCCTCCGCAGCCCCCTTCTTGTCTCCGAGGACGCAGTGCCATGCAAAGTCGTTGTCGGTGCTGTCATAAACCCCATCGTCTTTGATGAACTGCTTCTTAGACACGGTCATGTTTCTGTCGTCCAGCATCGGGTAGACAAGCAGCTGTGCGCACAGCTTAGGACCTCCGAGGTCTCTGGCTCTGAGAGCGGCGCCGGCGGCCAGTCCGCCGCCCGCCGATGCCCCTGCAATCATGAGACGACTGCTATCGATGCCAAGTTCGGCGGCGTGCGCACTTGCCCATTCAAGCGCGGCGAAACAGTCGTCTTGCGGGGCCGGAGCCGGATGTTCGGGTGCCAGCCGGTATTCGACGCTGAGTATCACCGCATCCAACTCTTTAGCCACTTGAACGTAGAAAGGCAGCCCAAGAAATGCGTCGCCCACCACCATGCCTCCACCGTGGATGAAGACTACTCCAGGCCGTTTCCCATTCGGCGTTTTGGGACTTCGGGACTGCATGATGATGATGGGTATCTCGCAGTCTGGCCCCGCGATTGCGAAATCTTTGACTGTCAGGTCTGGGTCGTCGCGAATCGAAGCTTGCATGGGAGCCAGGTTTCTTGCCCGGATTCGACGGCCCTCGGCCACATCTTCCTTTCGGAGAGGGTAAGGTGGCGTCTTTCCGATCAGGGGGACCAGCTGCGAGTCATAAGGGGGCCGGGGAAGGGGATCGGTTGAAGACTCTGTCATTTTGATGGGTATTCTCTAGACACGGTGAAATCGTTGTTTGAGGGATATGCGGTGAGAGGGAACTCAATAATATTGATGGTTCTTATCCTGTCGAAGTCATATTCTGGAGTTCTCGGGCTGACGTTCTTTACGCACTATCTCCGTCTCTGATGACGCCGGATCAAGACCGCAACATTAATATTTCCGATATTGTGGCTTATCTACCCTTTGATCTTTGAATACCAGCCGCTACTGGGAACTCATTGCGGCTAGGCCTGGCGTTCGGCATAATGTTGCCGCTAGAAAGGCATTGATCAAGTCGTCGAAGAATTAGTAGGTACTTCACGTTTAATACTTGAAGAGTGAGGCAAACGTTATTAGTTACTTCCAAATTCTCTCTGAACTTACTGGGAGTTCAATACCCAAACATATAGAGAACTACAAGTTCACACTTATAGTCTTGTCATTGCTGTTTCTTTCATTCGAGACTGCACTGGAGAGCATCGTATGTGCGATCAGACTCATGGAAAGTAATTAGAGTTCGTTCTAAAATATGACATCAAGGAACATAGCCATCAAAGCCGTTTGGACGACGAATATCACGAAAACAGATTGACCGTACTTGCTTGAATTGACCTTACTCATTACTGGCTTGTGCTTCGAGGATCAAATTTCTAGACGTTCAATGTTGGTCAGGTGAACGGTGAGCAACTATGCAAAAGATGCAAGTCTCGGCAGTCGCGTTTGTCGACCGTAGTACGCGCCTGGACTTCAGCCAATAACACGAGGCTATGTCTCCGGACCTCCCAATCCTTCGGACATGACTGCGGCTGAAGGCTGGTAAATTGGTGGACGGGTAACTAGCCTCTGTGTTCCAGCCCGACGCACTAGAGAAATTGGGAACCAAATGGCTTCTCGGAACCGTTTCGTCAGCATTTTGCCGATTATTGTGATACAAATCAGAGGTTATAATCTGACAAACGTAACGGCCACACGACAAGACGTGCTGTCAATGTTGGTTGCACGACATCTGATGATCAAAATAAGATCACCCAGTTCGCTCAGCAGCAGACTGCTTAAAAACAACAGCCCTTCAAGGAACTACTTCGGTGGAATCGCTTCCTGTCCGGCGAAGATGATATCATGTATGATGACGTGGGGCATTTGCTTTTGGGTCTCACGCAATGTATCTTTGTCCTTCCCAGAGAACAAATTTGGAAGTCGTGGCACTTTCCCGGCGTGCAGGCGTATTCCTCCCGTCCGCGACTTCCGTGCTCAATTTCTTGACATTCTGTACCCCAAACATCCGTCAAAGTGCTATCACTTGAACTGTCGGCCTGGCTCGGCCATCCAGTAGCGGCTTTGCGTTTCGGCCGACTGAGGAAGTTTCTGTATGCTGAGGCCACCCGCTTGGCCCTAAGTCCGAAGAAGTCGGCTTAACGTGGCGAAGGCTTCATGAAAGCTCTCAGCACAAGTTCAATCAAAAGCCGGGCCGAGGAGATTGGACTTTTCACCCTTGAACACAGCATTGGGATTTTCAGTTGGCAAGAGCCTCGGCGAAAAAGCCCGTTCAAGAGGTTCAGCGTCCCGGTTGAGTTGGTAAGAGACAGAATTCGCGAACAGTCTGTGGGTGAGTTTTGATAACGGCAGTCCTAGTCCGGCAAGTTCAACGAAGTGTCAGTAGCTTTGTGGAAAGAAACATCAAACGAAGTTTTACATCTACTGCTAGCGCCATATTGACTCTGTCCCGATAGAAGAGATTGTTTAGCCATTGAAAGTTGAGAGACTGAAGCGGACCATGAGGATGCCGCAGCTCAGCCTTGGTGCACACCGAATGAACCATGATTGCGCGACAAGACTTCTGATGAAACATGTGAGATTTCCTGATAAACAATTTCGACTACTGGCCAATAGGAAATCATGGAGTTCATTATGTCCAAATATGAAGTGGCTTGTGAAGCTGCCAAGAAGGTATGTTTGACATCACGAGACCTTCATGTGTTATATTGACGGATTAAACCTTTACATAGGCTAGATTTAGAATCTAGGTGCAAATATCACTTTGATAAAAGACACTTTCGGCGGCGAACTTGTCACTTGGTCGTCAGTGCAGCATCCGCCAGGCGCAGCGTGCCAAAGTCCGACATCCGAGGCCGTGCTTGTCGCTTCCTGATAAACTTCCATCACCCAAAGGCAAAGAAAGATAAGTCGGGCTTTCGGAGTCGTGTAACGTATTATCAGGTACGATTGGTGCTGGTGCGGCCCTCTGATGCGCCCGAAATGCGAACGCTGTGCAGCCACAGTAAAGCACAAGGTTACAAGAAGTTCGGCAGAAACTTACCTCATCTTGTCGACGGTTTCCTATCAATGCCGTGTGGGATTTGACGTGTGTTTATGCAATGTCTTCGGGTAGCTCCTGGCACGATATTTTGTTCACGCGTGCTGGCAATGCAACCCTTTCCGTTGACCTGAAGTCCTTGGACGAGGTACGATGTGAACTGGGCTACTTGAGATCGTCATTGTGAAGGCAACTGACGCAAGCCAGTCTTCGATAAGTCCAGATTAACCTGCTTAGTCTTGAACGCATAAATGTTGGGGACGAGATGCCTTCCTGCTGCAGTGTAGCAAATCGTTGTCTCCATTTGCCACCGTTCTACAGTCGCACACTTCCTATAGAGGATCTGTCCGTATCCGAGGCTACGAGCCTGGTCAGCAGGTCCACGATGCCAAGGTTCTCAGCGAATTTGGAGGATCACCGAAGATTTATGAGCAGAAAGCACCGTTCGGCGGGTTTGGCGGGTTCGGGCCTCATCAAGCTTAAATAAACACCGTCAGCACCAAAGGAGTAATCCCAGTTAAAAATAGTAGTCCAATTAAGGAAATAAGTAGACACAAGCTGCACTGGTTCGAGAAACACATGCGGGCAATTGGAGATTAAACGATGCAGCCAATGGGAGGTATCCCCGAGAACTGGGTGCCAGGTATCACGGCTGCCTACCCTCCTCTGCCGATTTGAGCCTCTTCATACAAACATCGATCGAGGAGAGGCTCATGATCTCAAATTAAGCAGCAAAACTTCAGGGATCGTTGTAGAAGTGGTCACATTGGACGGAAAACTGATGTCAGTCTTCAGTCTTCATGTGATGCTGGCTTGTCGCATGGGTAGAATTAGTCGAAGGAGGGGTCACAGTCAAATCTGATCATGTAGGACCCTATGCTCATTGGATATATCGCAATTTATAACATGCCAACCCAGTAGCTTGGTAGCTTAAAGACAACATCAGGTATCCTGAAAAGTGATAATAGACGCCCCTCATAGATCACATGCAGTGTTTCTACCCAGCTGAACTCAGGCGTTGCACACCATTTCAGCAGATGGCTGGCGAAGTGGTGGTACACATCTCAAAAGTTCTGTCAGGCCGGCCCTCATCGCGGGAAATTCTTTCTCGATGCAGACGGCAGTCACATCCCGAAGGGATTGTCGCAGAAGATTCTGGGCTGAGGGTGGTCGGTAAACTTTCCTTCCAGGAATCCTGAATCCCAAGAGACGAACTCCGTATCCGTATCCGTTGGTGAGGATCGGGAGATGACTGGGTCGTCGCGTGTGCACCCTACGCCCTGCTGTCTGCTTACTTCTCTCCTATTATTACTTTCTTCGGACGATGACAGCGACTCAGTTGATGGGTTATCACCAAGGTCACACTGCAGCGAACATTGCACATTTTCGGCGTTAATGATTAATCTTCCCCTTTTCGACGGCGTAGATAGACCCGTTTCATTGGGCAAATTTGTTCCCATTTCTGAATAAGACGATAGCCCTGGAGACCGGGTATGTCGGACGACCATCCCATCTCACGGACGCTGTCACGGAGCTGCCTCAGAACGTCAAAACCCATTGACCGTCTGGGGCGTGATAGGTCGCACTCCTGTGGGAAGTGGCTGTATTGAGGCCGTGAAGGAGGTGTGGGCTCGCTTTTCAGTCAATTACCTTCGCAGTCAAGATCGGACAACAAGGAGCCATAGCGACGAAGCTGCACACGACTACTGCTGCTGCGGCAAGGATCGTGCATGTATCCGCGCGGGTGGCGGGCAGACCCTGTCGCTGAAACCTCTCTTCTAACTCTATCAACTTACACACAGATCCGAGTGACGCATGCCAACAATGGTCTTGACACGGCAATGTTGTGTTTCCGGGATGACCAGACTGTCAACCACCTTGAAAATGGTGCCCGCACACCACCTTAAAGGCAATCAAGTCGTCAACCCTCCCGGCCGACTCTTCCGACCAGGTCCTGGCTTGCTCGAGTTCCCTGGCATTGTTTAACCTCCGATCAACCCACCCTCGTTACGCCGCCCCTCCCTTTCAATATCCATCCACATCGATCACATCACATATCACTGAGGTGGTGTATGGCGATAAGCCGTTCTTTTTTGTTCTTTGCATCAATCTTTTTAATCAACCTCTAATACTTCGGATCGCCTTCACGGGATCTTCACGGTCGTCATACATCTTCACCGCGTGCTGGCATGGCTTCAGATTAATCTTAACGCATCCCGAGAAACAACTTGTTGCGAGGCATACGGCGCCCTCACAACACCACATCCAACATGTGGCTGCTCAAGGTCGTGACTATCGCGACGGCGGTTGCAGCAGGGCTGCAGATTGAACCTCGTCAACGTGACGAGGTGGAATTGGCAATAAGACAACTTGGAGATGCCACATCGTTCATAGCTGAGCTTCCCACGGGGCAAGCAGGAGCGGAGGCAACGTCGTCGGCTCCACCAACATCAACGGCGGCACCAACGCCACCACCTCCACCTCCGCCTCCTCCACCGCCAGCGCCGCCAACGACTTCAACGACAACAACATCATCGTCAAGTCCGCCACCACCGCCCCCGCCGCCATCTACAACGCGTCCGACAACGACCTCAGTAGCTGTGAAGACGACATCTTCGGCACCACCTCCGCCTCCACCTCCTCCGGCAACATCAACTCAGCAAGCACAACCGACCACTGTTCCGCCGCCTGTCTTTTCACCTTCAAACCCTCCACCACAAACGACTCCTCAAGCTCGTTCTTCGGCACCGCCAACAGCTCTTCCTGCTGTGACGACCAGTGCGGGAGCCGCACTACCCCAACAGCCGCCTCCTTCCCAAGGAGGTACTCAACCAGGCCAGCCGCCAGTTGCTCGAATCATCGACCCAGCAGAAGGAGCATTCATCGGCGGTGTTCCGACAACTAACATCGATGTGCCTGTGACGTTCTTGTTCCTGTTGCTCTTCAGCGCTGGAGCATACACGCATATCAGGATTTACCGAGCCAATGCCAAGCGTGGCCACAAATTCTTGCTCTCGGATTTGATGTTCGACTTCTGTATGGTTCGCAATGTCACCTGTATCATGAGAATTATCTGGGCTTTTGAGAAGGCTCGTGTTGTTATTCTCATTGCGTTGATCGTGCAATTTGGAGGGTGAGTCTCACATCAGCTTATGCAACTCACGGAAAACTAATATTTTTCACAGCGCTGTGGTCATAATGGTCGTCAACATTTTCTTCGCCCAGAGAATTATCCGGTCAATCCACCCCAACTTTGGCTGGCATCCCTTCTTTGGCGTTGCCACTCTCTTTTTCATTTTCTCTGTGCCAGCTGTTATTCTGAACAACAGTACAGCTTTGGGCGTCTCGTTCTACCACATCGAAGACCAGGACCGCGTCGACACTGCTCTCAATGTGTTGAAGGCCGGAGTTTCGTGGATTATGCTTCTGGCTGTCCTGCCTGTTGTATCTGTCTTGTTTGCTTCCATCATTCCGGGTCCCAAGCCTGAGCGATTCGGCGTTGGAGACACTCACCAGAAGATCGCTGTCTTATTGACAGGCGCCATTCTCCTAATCGCGGGCCACGCCGTGCGTCTCTCGTCAACTCTCAACCCCGAGCCTCCCGATTCACAGAACAAACTCCTCAGCAAGGAGGTCTTTTATACAACGGGTTTCATGCTCGAGATCTTCGTTGTGGTCTTTTATGCTGTCATCCGCATCGACCTTCTCTTTCACGTTCCCAACGGATCGAGCCAGCCAGGCGACTACTCGCGGAAGCCTAAGCCCGGAGAAGACGACTACGAGGCCGCACTTCTCACAAAGGAGGAGATCGAAGATGAGATTGCGGCAATGGGTCACCCGTACGAGATTGTCGATTCGTCTGGCTTGGGCAGGGATGGCTCTGGTCGGACCATTGTCGCTTTCAGCACCCGCCGTATGAACGGCGAGAAGCCAGTTGTGCTACCGCCTCGACCTCAGGCCTACAGCAGAGTACAGTCCATCAGAGGCTCCGTCAGGTCGGTTCGCGGATCACTGAGATCGGCACGTGGTGGAATATCTCGGATGATGTCTGGGCGGATGACGCCGGCCCCGTACCTCAACCAGGTCGACGTCTCCCAGCCGGCATTCAACGACAATGCGTTCGGCACGAGTCGCCACAGCCAATATGGTGTTGCGCAGCCATTGTTCATTCAGTCTCGCTTTAGCAGATACACGGACCCTGATGATGAGAGATCTGCTTTGAGACCTGACATCAATCGACCTGACAGCCATCGGCCTGAGAGTCAAGCTACATCTGGCGAAATTCCTTTGAGTCTCGATCGCGAAGGCCTTGGTTATGACGACGGACGTCGGATGAGGAGGTCTTCGATACAAAAGTTCAACGTGTTGGAGAGGGAAGGTGGTCCTTTGAAATAGACTGTTCTACTAAGCGATACGCATTAAGAGTAATTGATTTTCTTTTAAAGAAAGGCAGTCGTGTGTGCCTTATTGAATTATAGGTATTTCTCTAGATGTACTTCCAAACGTGAATATCGTTCCGTACGCTTCATATGACGTGAGCTTTCAGTGAGACTGGTCTTACTTTCAGCCCGGTGTCGTCGTCGTGCGGCTATGCGGTCAAACCTTCGTGGTAGAGAGCCGGATTCTACATGTAGGCGTGGCTCAACTATACAGAGCAGCACACACATGAGACCATGTCAAAAGTGACAACATTAGGACATTGTGGTTTGCCTCTCCAGAATCAATAATGTATTAGGATCCAGAGAGAATCTCCAATTTCTTTACCGCTGAACAGCCTTCGACACGGACCCTGCCGTTGTGTACCCCCGCGCCCATGCTTGTATGCCAATATCATCGTACATATACAGTGGATTATCCGCCTTAGTGTTTCTTAAATGGCGGTGGAAACATGCTCATCAGCCCGCCCAAAAGGCCTCCGCCGCCTCCAGCTCCAGAGTCCTGGGTAGTAGTAGTATCAGCTTCGGTCGCGGACGAGGGAGGGATTACGGCTTGACAAACAGTAGAGCTGGCACCGGCGGCACCAGGAGGAACTGGTGCGGCGACAGATGTGCCACCAAAGACGGCGATGCCTTGGTCCAGGACAGAGCTGAGTGCCCCGGCGCTCTTCTGCGCGTCTGCGCTCAATTCGGGAGGGACCTTGCTGACGAGGGCCTGCGCGAGGGCGACACTAGCCGACTTTTGATCCTGTAGCGCAATGGCAACCAGTGGCGTTGCGCCGAGGGAGTCGACGAGAGACTTCTTGGCCACGACGTCGTTGATCGTGACCTTGACGTTGTTGGTGAGGGCGTCGGTGGCGGCCTTAAGGTTCAGGGCATCCTTCCGGTTGAGGACTTCCGAAGCTTGAACCTGCGGGGTCGCGTCCTCGATTGAGCTCTTGACATTCGTGACGGCGTTGAGAAGTTGAATTCCACCGCCGAGAGTCACTGTCTGCGTAGCTTTGACGGAGTTGTCGAGACCTTGAAGCGCCGAGTTGATGGTGTTCAGGGCGGCTTGAATCGTAGCTAAATCGCGCTTATACTTGTTTGTAGGGACGGGGGCGGCGACAACTGTGGCCGCGGTAAAGGCGTAGAGCCAGAGAGAGCGGAGGAGCATCGTGACCTGCCTGTGTTGAGTAGTCTGGCCCTGAAAGGATCGAACTGCTGCCTCCTATAGATTAAGAAAAGAATGAAGGTGCGGTGAAGATAAGGAGGAGCAACTTCAGACCATCACTGCGCGAACCGGCGGATATGATGAGTGAAAGGTGACAGGCAACACAAATTGAAGGTGACCCGACAGCGAGGGTCCATATAATGCGAATGCGGAGGAGGGATGGGTGATGGCACACAGCCAAGGCCATCACAAGGCGCCGACAAAAAGACTTGGCTGCCGCAGGTCCCGATGTCAATAGCGAGCCTAGCCTGATCTTTGGGTCTGGCTGGCTTTCATGAGGCAAAGTTGAGACGGCCTCGATCGTGTGTGGGAGCATTGGCAGTCTGCCGTGAGACCGCTCCCTATCAACGTCCCGCTTGCCGGGTTGTCAGCTTTGCGCGATGTGAAGCCATGGCACGACGTTGAACTACTCGGCGAGCAACGCGATTTGGGGGATAGGAGCCACACACATTCCATGGCAATTCCCTAGATGGGTAACTTTGTTCGAATCCCTGTTTCAAGTTGCGAAAGTCCAGACGATTCAGAGCATAGAGTTTGACATGCTGTATTCGTGTTCTGCCCCTCCCACCGGGTGAGTTGATCGTTGATCACTGAAGTAGCGCCCCCCATGAGATATGTTTGAGAGACTGGCACGACTCCGATGCGTAGCAGCTACTGATTCTCCCAATGTTTCTTCTCTTTGCTTATCCTAAGTTGAGCAATGAAGACCACTCCTAACGACTATGTTGAAGCACTCTGATAGCTAACCAGGCCATGACAATAGAAGACGTCGAGTCATTCATGGATATGCAGATCATTTGATCGGATCGGACTACCCCAATGAACATCGAATGAATTTCCCGATTCAACGGTGATACAACCTTGAATCTTCCCTTGCCGTCTCATCTTTCTCGTTTTCGTTTCAACACTCGCACAGGCTTTGTTTCCTTAAATGGGGAATTATTAAGTGCAAGATATAACCCCGAGTCGCGATCATCAATCCACCGGCTGACGAGCGGATCACACGAGCAACGATCCCCTAGATTGCAGTCTAGAAGCTCCACTCTGTCATCATCCAGACTTGGTGATAGTCTTATAAGTTGAGTTTTTGATTTCAACCAAGAATCCAATGAGTTCCGACCAGGACGAACCACTCTCTCCGTCCCCGATGCATCGAAATATCATTTGGACCGGCCCCGACCACAGGTACCGTTGCCGGGCTGAACTCTTCCGGTATTTGATGTCCAGCACATCCTTGTCAGGTATCCAGAAGCTTAGACACTGACAGCTCACCACGGAATGGCTGTCAGTGCACGTCTATTGGAGATGTGTTCGTCATTTCTGTGCCGGTGGACGGTGCATCACGTTGACGTGAAATGCTCCCGCCTGCCGGCACGTCGAAGCTTGTGGCCATCGGACGCAAACCTCTGATAGACAAGAAAAGGCCGATCTACTACTGGTCTTTAAACTTGGCGTTACAGTGTCGAGATCTGCACGATGGGTATTCAAGACTTCTTGGAGTCATGTGCATGAACATACATCCTGCCGACCTTGGTTGACTTGTGCTCTGAAGCAGCCGATTTCGCCAGTGATTAGCTTCTCTTAGTGCAGTAAAATCCATCAATCGGAGCCATTCGTGTGATCAGAGTAGCAAGCCCCATCAACCAAGAGCAAGAATGCACCCTATTCGGTGAGTAAACTTCTGATAGCTCAGCGTAAGAAAACCAATTGAAGTGATCCCGAGTTTAACTAGAGGGCCAAAGCGAGATCTTCAAACGCTAAAGCCTCAACCTTCGTACAATCCGGGTTCAGCAGGGCTACGCCGAGCTCTCCGAGAAGGTTACCGTTCGACAAGACTTGGCTCGTCATCCTCGGGAGGTGGTAACTGGGCACTCGACCATCATCACCCAAAGCGTATGATATACCGAGGTCTATTATCGGACTTCTCGCACTTTTCGTGTTTTAAACGACTCAGTAACTATCCGGCTTGACTGAGCATGGCCCAAGAAAGGGAAAGCTCATAGCTGGATGCGACAGCATACTAAACAATCGCTACCGCATCGCGATCTCACACATCTCCTCTCAATTTCCAAAGTAGGTCAGACTTCACTAGCGCGACGGCATTGTTTGTACAGAGCTTGAATTTCTGCAAGGCCCAAGTCCTTGAAGTTTGAACTGGTTCAAACCATGAAGTCGTGCAAAGAAGCTTAGATCTGCTGACAGATCTCATGCCTCGGCAGCACACATTACGGCAATACTCGCAATGTGTATCATTTCTTGTCGAAAATTCCAACTCTCTAAATCGCATAAAGCTTGTCAACCTTGACTCTCGTTTCAACCTGTGATGCGCAACAATCTCCGGGCGTTATCTCACGCCACTCGCACTCAGAACGGTGAATCGTGATCAATCAACCCGATAACGTTGATTCAACCAACCAGAAAGTGAATGAAATTAGGCAAAGATTGAGGGCTCTATATCGCCCTCTATCTGGTTGAGAACATCTCCGGTCTGCCGACGTGACCACAAGTCTCGCGCTGCCTTGGGGAGAAAGTAGGTCGAGGGTGGTGTAGGCGACAGTGACGTGGGTACTTCGTTCATATGCTCAATAACGGATCATTGACGTGCCCTGACACCCGCACATGATATAGCGAGTCGTGATGATGCGTGAAATAGCTTTTTATGATCTATCAGTATTGATAATGAAGTCGCCAGCACTCCTTCTTTTCATTTCAGTCCAATGTTTTATGTCTAGCCTACTTCTCTCTCTCTACAGTCAGACATTCGTCAGGCTAGGATGGATCGTTGTTTTGTATAAGCACAGTCGGAATGACATACAATCTAGTAATCTTGGGTATCAAAATGAGTAGTTATTCACATCTACGGGACCGCGTTAACAATTTGTAGACGTATGATGTGAAGGTACTGTGTAAGTGACTTCTTGAAGAGAGTGGCCCACTCCTTCCCAGACTATTAGTAGAACAAATCCTAAATGCATACAATAATGATTGGTCACACATGCAGCTATCTATTCCCGCGGGTCGTGAAGACTCCCGCAGACGGGAGCAGAGGTGTTGCCGGTCCGAGATCCGGCCGATCTGCCCGATGCACCCAGTCATTTTCTCTCACATTGTTGTCAGTTCGATTCACAGGTCAGCCTACTTGCTACATCTTCGAACCGGCAGAATTTGGGCAAATCGAACGGCAGAATTGTTGCTTTGATGTATGAAAATACATGTATTCACCACTTGGTTTCGTGCAATGATCCTTGCTGATGCTGTATTCTCTTACAACACGTGCCCCTGATATTGATGACACCAAAAGACTCCAGCTGTGAGTCTTGTACCAAGTACCAACTTTCAATGAACGTAATAGAAGTCCAAAGTCCCATGTTTCAATGTTCTTTATTTAATATCACACTTCAATTTATTCGGGGTCACTTCTGCCATTGGTCAAGAAGCCTAATGAACCTGGCGGCAAAGCTACTGTAAGCATACCTGCTCGGTCGAATCCCGATAAATTCATCAACTGATAAGTCTACTCTCATTCGAAGCATTCCGCCTGTTTGAAGACAGTACGTGGCTCCCTTCTTCACTCAGAGCTGATAAACAAAATGAATGTTGTCAAAATCAGTCATGTCATCTTCTGCATTTAGCAAGCCCTGGCGGCGACATTCTTCTTCGCTGAGTCCGCTTTCCGCAATTTTCTTCGCACGACGTCTGTTCTGCACAGAATCTGCGTATTGTTAGGAAACGACTGAATGAGGATGTCTGTCCTGCGTTCGTCAACTCACAGTGCAATCTCCAAAGGCTCATCAAAACTGCTTCAACGCCAAACAGTATGGCACAAACTGTCAATCCAGGAATGTATCGAGGTGCATCTTTGGCTTGGAAGACTTGGGCACCGATGGCGTTGCCGGTGCAGTATGACACGAACAAAACTGTAGCGGTAACGGACTTTTTGGTGCGACCGGCGACGTTGGAGGGAAGCATAGTCCAGATCACTGCCCGAAAACGTCCCATCAGCAGAGGAAAACACCACGTTACTGGTTATGAGATCAAAACTTACGAAGACCTGGCAAGTTCCCTGTGACAGTCATCAAGTATAGTCCCCAGCGTACCCAGAGATATCCCGACTTTGGAAGCAGTGCAAGCGCGAGCATGCCAGCGAATGCCGGGGCTAGAGATACTATCATGAAGAAGACTGTGTGTAGTTTGGTTAGCAAGCACACCCAACCTATTGTGTCCGTTTCACTCACACCGCAGGTTGGGCTTCTTCATTGTCACATAGCCCACTAGCAGGAACCAAAGAATCGACACGGCATGCTGCGGAATCGTCCCTTTGATCAGTGTCTCCTCCGAACTGAAGCCGAAAGACTTGTACACCAAGTTTCCGAAAGTCGTGACGCCTCCATTCGGAATTGCGTTCGCGGTGGTCGTCAGAAAGAAGAAGTACGTCTGAGGATCCTTGAACGTCGTCGCGACCTGGCTCCATTTCCACTTCGTCCTCTTCTGTCTATCTGACCCCGTCTGGTTCGAGACAACTCTTGCAGCCGCCATGCGTTTCTCGCGCTCTGAGAGCCACTTGACCTCTCTTGGCGTACCCAAGATGAAGAACGTCAGTACGGCTAGCACAATGGTCAGGCCACCGAGAAAGAAGGAGATGCCTTTCCAAGCAGCCAGTCCGCCCGGATGACTGTCCGCGTGTTTGCCGATGGCGTAGTTGATCAGGCCTGTGACGACGCTCATGCCTGAGTTCGCAGTGCCCCAGATGATGGAGCGCATGGTGTGTTCGCGTGAGGTGTACCAGGACCCGGTGATGATGAGGAACGTCGGTGAGATGGTGCATTCAAACATGCCTTGGAGGGCACGCAGGACCATCAGGCCAGCCCAGTTGTGTGCGAAACCAATACATAGCACAACAATACCTGCGAAATTTCGCGTCAAAAAGGATGGACTATTAGCTCGTGGCTCACGTACCCCAAAGAAACATGCAAACCCCAAGAAATCTTCCCATGTTGAACTTCTGCATCAGGTAGTTACCCGGCGCTTCGGAAACCATGTAGGATATGTAGAAAATTGTCGTTAGCCCTGTCCCTGTCAGCCAACATCCAAATCTTGCGCTGGAGTTACAGACAGGAGAATTGCTGTCCGTGGAGGTTGGTGTCTTCCTGCATGCCAAAAACGGCTTGCACACTGACAGCAGTTTTGTCGGCTTGTTGTGTGCCGTAGCATAACTGAACATCGGGTGAGTTGTGTTCAATTCTTTGCTTCACTGGATCGCCAAACATACCCACATCAGCGGCAGTAGCCACAGGTCGATCTTCCATAGCAGCCGCCTGTACTCCTCGACTGTGTACTCCGACTCGGCGTTGATAGTATCTATGGCAATTTTCTCAACCACCTCTCCGTCGTCAATCGACATACGGGCGATGGTCTCTGAATCAGGCTTGGCGTTGCCAGCCTCGGGGTCTTTGGCTGGTTGTAAGCTCATCTTGGGGTCATATGTTATGAATAGGTAGGTAAGCACAGTTGATGTATGAAGTCGGTGTTGCCGTTGACTAGGAACTGGGAGATGGAGTAATAGAAAGATGCTTTAGTTGTTGAACTTCTGAGAAGAGCAGGTGTTCTTGGGTTTGTAGAACAGCTTGATAAGCCAATGTCCCCCCGAATGCTCACCGGCCGGAGCTGGGCCGAAGTGGGTACTCGCTTTCGCAACCGAAGCCGCGTATCTATGGGCTTCGGTGCCTCCTCTACCCACAATCCGATGCAATGTTCTTATCTCCCGGGATTTGACCTATCGTCGGGGCAAGGGCCGCTGTCCGCCGATAGCATCTCCGCGATTACATCCAGGGATTCAAATTCGGCAGTGATCGTTGAGTACCGGAATGATCGTGATTGGTGAGTAGATCCCGGCACTTGACTGACTGATAAATACGCGGTGTGCTTTGACACAAGTAGGTGGAAGCATCACCCATTGCGAGCTGTAAACATTCGACCAAAACTTTACGATCATGGCTCTTGTTCTTCGTGCCCATCGACTGTTACTTGACAGCGCAGCCGAAGTAATACAGAACGGTGCCGTCATAGTCAGCGGCGATCGCATTCAAGATGCAGGCTCATGGACGGATCTGCGGAACAGGCTGCTATCAGACGCCACGGTCCAAGATCTTGGAGATGTAACTCTCATGCCAGGCCTTTTCGACTGTCATGTATGTGTAAAGTCCTCATACAGCTATCGCTCTCTCTCTCACCAGATACAACCAGGTTCACCTGTCCATGGACCCATCCTCTCTGAACGCAACAACAGACTCCAACTTGAGCGAACCGGAAATGCTCGACCTGATGACCCTGAACGCGTCCAAACTACTCGATGCCGGGGTAACCACGGCTCGTGATCTCGGTTCACCAGGTGTTGTCGGTGCCATCATCAGAGATCTTATCGCAGCGGGCGAAATCGAGGGCCCAAGGCTACAAGTAGCTCATGCTCCGATTACTGTGCCCGGTGGACATGCATGTGCGATGGGTGGCGAGGCGGAAGGTGTTGACGGCGTTAGAGCCGAGGTCATCAAGCGGGCTGCGGAGGGAGCAAATCTCGTCAAGGTCATGAGTACCGGGGGGTTCATGACGGCGGGCACGCATCCGGGAAAGGCAAGATATTCTCTGGAGCAGCTGAAAGCGATTGTTGAGGAGGCGCACAAGCATGGCATGCCGGTCACAACACACGCCACGGGAACGGAGGGGATTGAGAGAGCGGTTGATGCGCGGCTGGACTCGATTGAGCATTGTGCTTGGATATCTGGTGAGTCTCGGATATGCGCAATGTACGGGATCTGAAACTTATGGTTATTCTTTCAGGTGACAACACTCACTTTGAACAAAATATTGCAAAGAAGATGGTCGAGTACGATATAGCAGTCTGCCCAACGGTAAGCAACACCGGATCCGACGGGGATGAACTTGTCATGATGCTGAATCCTACTAGATGAACACGGCTTGTGTCGAGCACAACTATTTCTGCCCTTGGGACTCGCGGAAGGCAATTGTGTCCAACTTGACGCAACTAAGAAGTGCTGGCGTCAAGATGATTGTTGGTACCGATGCGGGCATTCCTCTCTGTCGGTTCGAGAGATACTTTGATGGTTTGACTGTTCTTGCCGACGCTGGATATACCGTACGGGAAATCATTGCCAGCGCAACGTCCATACCCGCATCAATCTGTGGGCTAGCCAATGAGACTGGAAGAATTGCCTCTGGCTTTTCGGCAGATCTAGCAGCGTTCGAAGGGGACGTTCTTGGAAAGGGTGGTGTGCTGGCCTTTGGAAAGCCAAAGTTCGTCATGGCTCGTGGACAAGTTCATAAACTACAGGAGATCACGGAGGTGGGGGACGTGGCCAAGCAGGCCCAGGATACGGTGAGAGCACTTCGAAAGGGGGCTGGATTGCCTGATATCTTGTAAAGCCTCAAAGTAATTACAGTGTAGCACTCAAGTCTTCTTTACGGGTGAGTCCGTGCGGTTATTCTGCGGATGCTTCAAAATTTACTATTTGTAAGGCTGACATGATGGTAAGAGCAACAGATAATAGATTCAAGTTACTGCAGTCCGAGCAAGCGATCCAGGTTTCCATGGGTGAACAATTCCATCTGACTCTTGTCGAGGAAATCGATGCTGTTGATGAGCCTTTTCCCATCTTCGTTCGAAGCGTATGGATAGTCAACTGAGAAGCAGATTCTTTCCATAGGCATAACGTCTACCAAAGTCTTCAGAGGCGTTGTGGTAAACATGCCACTCGTCGTGATGTAGAAGTTCTCGCGAAGAAATTGCAAAGGCCCCCTGGAGTACCCGAAATGTTTCATCACCTTTCCCATTGTATCTTCAATTCGACCGATCATGACTGGGACCATTTCACCCCCGTGACCTATGATAATCTGGATGTTCGGAAGCTTCTCAAATAGCCCTGCAGCCATGAGCCTGACTACTGTCAAACCGACCTCGGAGTGCCAGCCCCAAGCGCCAGTGGAGAGCATGAAAGCGGCTGCTGGCTCAATGAGATCACCGGTGAACAAGCTCTCTCGCAGTTCAGGAGTAGGAAAGCTGGGGTGGATGTAAATGGGTACCCCGAGTTCTGCAGCGGCCTCAAAGATTGGGAAATATTTCGAGTTATCCAGAAACTCTCCGTTCACGGTGTTGTTGATTAGAGCTCCCTTGAGTCCCAAGTGGGTGACGCAGCGCTTGAGCTCTGACGCTGCTTCGTGAGGATGAGCTGTCGGCAGGCAAGCGAATGCGGCGAATCGTTCCGGGTTCTTCTTGACAGCTTCGTGCAACTCATCATTCGTTCTGTAGCAGGCTTCGACATTGTTCACATCGTAAACCGTTTGAGAAAGAACCTGTAGCGTATTTAGACGAGTTAATATTTGTCAATACGCGGGGTCTTACCTGAGTTGTGATTCCACTCCGGTCCATGTCCGCTATGCGACCATCGGCAACATCCAGCAGCTTATCCGTGGGGTAAGCGAACCCAGGATGATGTCCGGGAAGTGTGCCCTTGAAGGCGGTGGAACTGAAATGCTCTTCGGCTGCAATAACTCTCATCTTGGTGATCGGTGTGTGAGAAAACGTTTTACGGGGGGAACATAATAGATGATTGCGTAGGGCAGCGAAGTCTCGGGGTTTTATCGCGGTGCGGCTTACAGTGAAGTACCGAGACCGACCTTCCATCCGAAGGTATCAGACTAGAATCTGTTGTTCATCATCAACTCTATTCATGAGCATGACGTACATAAGCGAAGTTCGGACCGGGACCCGCTTAAGCCGAAGAAGGCCGCCGGGCTTGAGGGATCCACTTCGCCGAAGTTTCCGCATGAGCTCGGGCGATTGAAGCCGAAACGGTAGCGAGAAATGGATTGACGATTTGTAACAGTGTAGCATGCGGATGTATTGACGGCAATTGAATTAATAATGCATGTAGTCTAGGAGTGAAACTGTCTCACTGCACCAATACCGCCAAAACCCATTCGCTGGAGGATTGCAATCGAGCGATGTACTCAACCCATCTTTGACCACAACGCAGCAAAACAAAAGCATTAGCGCTGCCTCGAGGGCGAATCGAACGCCCGATCTTCTCATTACGAGTGAGACGCTTTACCACTGAGCCACCAAGGCGTACCGAACCGATTCCCAGTCGGTGGAGCACATCTGCACGCTGGTGACGAGCGCGCGGAGTTCATGAGCTGCAAGAGAGCCATTTCATGTTCTTTGCCGCAAGACGTCCATTTTCTCCAATTATCGCTGTCTACAAGTTATACGAGCGGATACGTTTGATTCGTTGGAGCTAAAGTTAGCGTTCTGACCGACTGATTATTACCGCGCGCCTCGTCTCGCCTTTCCCCCTCAACAGCGGTACTTCGCGTCGCCTTTCCTTCATTCATGTCCTGCGAAATGGAGAGTGTCGGCGCTAGCCTACACAGTAAGCAGCCAAGCTTTGAAGCTTTGAAATCCGCGATCCAGATGCTAGCGTAGATCCTGCCACAATTGGGTCATTCCAGCTGGAGGACGAATCCCATGCTTCCTGTCGTAGAACTTGCAGCTCTAGCATTGCTGTGCCATGCGCGCGGGTCCTCCTTTCCGCGATGACGACTTCGCACCATCTTGGCGACATCCACAGATTATGGAATCGAAGTTTGTCTTGACTGAGCGACAATGGACTTGTCGAGTCCTTTCAACAGTGTGATTGCAGGCAACCATACGGGAAGTTGAGGATGGAGGTACACACACAAGCATGGGGGCAAAATGCGAATCCGAGCAAACGGTGGCCGTGTCAGTCAGGATACAACTATGCTCATGAGTATAAGTACAGCTTTGGATCTCACTAATTGACGGGAAACAACTTCACACTCATTGTAATCATACTCAATCGTCTCGAGCTACTCATATAATCAATCATTCGCCTTCGGAAACAATCCATCACAATGAGTGTCGCAAAGAAAGTTGCTGTCATCGCAACCAGCACCAGAACCCCCAGAGTCGGGCCCCATGTTGCAGACCTTGTGAGAAGCACCATCACCAAGGACGCAGCCGAGAGCAACATCGACGTCTTCCCCGTCGCAGTCGCTGACTTCAACCTCCCCGTCTTTGACGAAAAGGCCCTCCCGGCCCAGGTTCCCGCCCTTGCCAAGTTCGAGCACGCCCACAGCATCGCGTGGAGTAATGAGATCGCCAAGTACGACGGCTACGTCTTTGTCATCCCAGAGTACAACTATGGCATGGCCGGCGGCACAAAGAACGCGATCGACTACCTGTACAATGAGTGGATCGGAAAGCCAGTGGTCATCGTCAGCTACGGCATCGGGGGCGGCAACCGGGCCTCGGAGCAGCTCCAGGGCACGCTAGAGGGCATGAAGCTCCGTGTGGCGGGTACCCGGCCGGCGTTGGCGTTTTCGGGCGGCCCGGGCCCGGATTTCATCGCCGCCATGAGCAAGGGCGAACTTGGAGAGGAGTCTCGGAAGGAGTGGGAGGGCAAATCGGCGGACATCCTCAAAGCCTTTGGCGAACTGAAGCAACTCCTTCAAGAGCCTCCCCAACCCAACGCATAGGATGTTACCTAGCGGTAGCCCGGATCGACCGAGTTTGGCACTTTTGTTTAACCATAAATACCAGTCACCTTACCCATTGCTGGCGAAGATCCACCTTTTAATATCGCTTATTCGCCCCTGTCAGCAGCGTTGTGATCCTTTCGTGTTAGTGTTCCAAATGCGTTGCTATGTTGCTTGGCTGCCTACGAGAAATGCTGCTGTGCCGCGTTCTGTGCCGCACCGTTGTACATTGCATTAGCCTAAAAGTTCTCGCGAATTCCTCTGCATCCTCCCCTCTCTCTCCCTCCTTTCTCACCCATTAGCTCTGTTATGTTGCCGTCACTCTTTTGAACATTTTCCGTCCCATCATGAGGACATCCGCTCTTTGCGCGGTGGCCGTGTGCGCCGCTGCGGCATCGGCTCAAGTTCGCCTGCCGTTCACACGTCAGCCCTACCCAAAGGTAGACGGTGGGAGCGTCAGCAGCAGAGCGGTGGACGAGCGCCGCTCCACCGTCGACGTCTTCACGGCAGACACGGTCTATCTTGTGAATGTGACCGTCGGCACGCCGCCACAGGGGCTGTCCCTGATGCTCAGCGTGCAAGCCGGCGAAACATGGGTTCCTAACGACTCGCACTGCAGCTCGGATGGCTATTCTGTCAGGTACGGATGGTGCAAGTACGGGTCCTTCAAGGCCAACGAGTCATCGAGTTACGTCAATCCGGGTACCGAAGACTTCATGACGAGCTACACCGAAGGCTACGCGTACGGCGAGGTCATGAGCGAGACGCTCGGCATCGGCGACAGTAAGCTGGAGAAGGTCAACATGGGCTTCGTCAACTCTGCCGATATCTACATTGGTGTTTTAGGACTGGGCTTCAACACGAGCGCGTACATCGCGAGCTACAGTTCCAACTCGAGCCTCTCGACTGGGCTTCCTACGGTCCCGGATCGCCTGCTTACAGATGGCCAAATCAAGTCGACCGCGTACAGCCTCTGGCTCGACGATGATACCGCCGAGTCTGGGAACCTTCTTTTGGGTGCAATCGACAAGTCCAAGTTTGAGGAGGGTTCTCTCATCCGGTTCCCGATCGACACCAGCTTTTCGTCCCAAAAGATCTTCGACACCACCATCTATTCGGCGAACGGCAGCAAATCTTCCTCGGATCCTCTCGAACCTCTAGGAGATCTGGGCTCATTCTACATGAACAAGCCCAACGTGCGCCTGATCCCTCACAACGTCGTATCCTGGTTTCCTGATGACCTAGCTCGGGATATTTACAAGGTCGCTGGGGCCGTGTGGTACGAGTCGAGAAAGAGCTACGTCGTGCCCTGCTCTACCAACACGTCTACGGCGCAGTTGACTATTCAACTTCACGGCGTGGATGGGCCTATTCTTCAGGTGCCCATCTCCAACCTCATACTTCCACCTAGTGTCTGGTCTTCGGGGAAGTGGTCTTGGGACACAGAATCGGCCACTACTTACTGTCTCTTCGGAATACAGTCGTACAACTCGACAACCTCCGGAAGCTCGAGCAGCTCAAGCGACGTCTACTCTTTGGGAGGACTGATGTTGAAGCGGGCATACGTGGTCTTCGATCTCGCAAACGAGGAAATCGCCATTGGAAAGACCAAGTTCGGAGGCACTGCAGCGGAGGACATTATCGTCTTCCCCAGCTATGGAGCCGAGATCCCCGAATCTACAAGCGTTAGCGTACGCTCAAGCCGGTGTTCCGAGTACTCTACCTCCTCAGACTGCAGTTCGGACTCCGGTGGCGACTACTATGGAGGGTACTACGGTTCGTCTGGCCTTTCGAGGGGTGCCAAGATAGGCATCGGTGTTGGTGTCGGCGCTTTTGTGCTGACCGTCCTTGGCCTTACTGTTTGGGCCGTCATGAGATGTCGGCGGATCAGACGAGCAGAGGCCGAGGTGGCTGAGAAGCAGGGAAGCATGGAGGATGGCAAGGCGACCGAGAAGCATGGAGACACCAACTTCGGCAAAGATGGTTCTTTACCTCTGAAAAGTCCGGTCTCAGTCTCCTGTGACTCGGCAGCAGCTGAGCCGGTGACGACTTCAGGGGAACCTACGCAGGAAGGCCGTGACATGGGGACAAGGAGCTCAGCGCGTTCCCCCGGGGGTTTGTACCGTTTTCAAATATTGTTTTCTCGCAAATTCTGGGGCATCAAAGCCACCGTTTAGAGTCACCCCATGGAAGACCTCTTAGGATTCGACACAATAATTTAATGCAACATATAATACACCTCTGATGTGTGACATGAGATGAAGTCACATTGCAAGGCAATTTTGACCGCCTCCAATCGCAGCATTTCCTCACTCATGTCATAACGCGGTAGTCAGGGGAATGGGTGTCAGTCGCTTAGCACGTAGCATGCGGACCGATCCGGAACTCTGCTAATCCAGTTAGAATGTTGAGATAACAATACTTCCACATACGCGATGATGAATATGATGGTGGGTGGTAATTCTTTTCAAGTCTGTCAATGACTACATGTGATGACGGTGCCGTGGTTCGTTGGTGTTGGCCGATCATCATCTGCTTGATCTCGGTGTTGCTTCCCTCAACTTGCAACGTTGCAGATCCTTACCACTGCCTAAATGCCCCATGAACCGGACAGATGGTCTCCGCGTTGCAATAACAGGCGCTGATGCCACTCTGTAATATGCAAGAAATCAGATGGCAGTGGCTGGACCAAAGATGAACAATTTCAAGCAGCCACTTCGGAGATCAGGGGACGGGGCGGGTGGCGTGCCGATACCGTTTAATCAGATCTCCAACTTCCGAGAAAGTGATAGAATTTGCAGTGTCTCCGGATTAGTACGGATGGAAAAGTAGGGTGCAAGGGATATCCTCAACTTGATTGCCGAGTGAAGCCGACTTGAACTACCCAGCTCTCAATCTTAGCAGCGACGTAAAGGTATCAAGGTCGCCACAGACTTGGAATATCGTCCAGACAACTGAATGCCAAACTTACCTGTGTCTTGCACATATTGAGGAATAACTACCGCGACAAGCCAGCAGAGGACTCCCAAAAGTTCATCGTAATGGAAGCATGTGCTCACGTTAGTCCTGCCCCCAAAAAAGCGATAAGGGCTCAGAATGGAGGGTCACATTCGGCTCCGACTCGGTCATTCGCTCTGGGCTCACAGAATTTTGAGCACATGGCCATCGAGGGTAGCTCCTGAAGAATCAAGGATTTTGGCCAATCCGTTTTCGAGACTTGGGCTGCTAGTAGAGAGAATGTTGCTACACCTGCATTAGCCTGGACCCCTCACCTTGCCTCCACCATTCACCGGGCACCATCACCAAGTCTTCACCTTTGGTGTTGGCGCTACAGTGCACACACAATTCACTCGGAAATTCGAAGTCTTCTTCTACAGCCAATGCAACTCCAAGGAGATGTCATACTTTGGTGTGTAGATGGCACGCTAGGCCACACGCTCGACAGATCGCTGTCAAATTAGTCGTCACCACCAAAGCGTGACGCGGCGAGGACACCACGATGTTTCCACGCGCATACTGAATTTATGTTATCTCATTTCTCGCTGGTTCCTAGACTTACTGAGTGAGAGATTGGTTAATAATGTTTGGCTTTCCACAGAGGAGGTAACGTTTCGGGCACAGAATGCAACTCAAGTCTGCTTTCAACTTGCAACATGAACATGCCGATTGCCAGGGCCGACTTTCAGATGACAGGAGCAAAGACAGGATGATGTTGACGCCAGTAAACCGACTCCTTTGATAGCGTTATGTCCAGGCCACCGGACAAAACTAGTATAATATGATCAGTTGATCTTCGCAAGTCCAGTGACTTCCGGTTGAGCCTCAGCACTTGCGATTCTTACACTCCTTTACTAGACTATTTAAGTGGTGGCTTGAGATATTTGTCAAGATGAAGTTTTTCCGTTCCTTAGTCGCTACAGCTTTCATCATGTCTCCAGCAGTCCGTCTCTCAGAAGCCGCGCCGGTGGACCTTACCACGCCAGGTGTCGATGGCTACACCAACGCGGTGTATTTCACCAACTGGTATGACAGTACACCAAGCTTTGGGGCGAATTAACCATTCTAACGTGAGACTAGGGCGATTTACGGACGCAACTACCAGCCTCAGAACCTACCTGCGTCTCAGATCACCAACGTTCTCTACGCCTTCATGAACCTTCGGCCAAATGGAGAAGTGTATGTAATTTGATTACGATTCGCAACGCGAACCAAATTGAGTGACCATAGATACTAATAGGCCATAGCTATACCGCCGATACTTACTCTGACCTAGAGAAGCACTACCCCACGGACTGTGAGTTGGCTACATACGCATGAGACAAGCACGTCTGCTAACCTGGCGGCAGCGTGGAACGATGTCGGTACCAACGCATACGGTTGCGTGAAGCAACTTTACCTTCTGAAGAAAGCCAATCGCCGTATGAAAGTCATGCTCAGTATTGGTGGTTGGACTTGGTCGACGAACTTTCCGGCGGCTGCCAGCACGGCTGAAAGCAGAGCCCTCTTCGCCTCGTCGTCAGTTACTCTCATGAAAGGTAAGTACCAACCTTCGCCGATCTATCATAAGAAGGCGGCAACATGGAACTGATACCACTTCGAGATTGGGGTTTCGACGGCATCGATGTAGACTGGGAGTATCCCGCCAACGCGAACGAAGCAGCCAACATGGTTCTTCTCCTCCAGGCAGTTCGTGCTGAGTTGGATGCGTATGCCGCTCAGTATACCCCTGGTTACCACTACCTCTTGACCATTGCCTCTCCCGCGGGCCCGAGTCATTACAACGTCATGAATCTGAAGGCCGTTTCAGATGTTATTGACGCATTCAACCTTATGGCCTACGACTACGCTGGCTCTTGGGATGCCAACAGCGGGCATCAGGCCAATCTCTACCCAAACCCCAACAACCCGTCCTCCACCCCCTTCTCAACTGACGCCGCAGTGACGGACTACCTGAACGCCGGCGTCCCGGCCTCCAAGATCGTCCTCGGCATGCCCATCTACGGCCGCTCGTTCGAACAGACGAACGGCATTGGCCAGCCCTTCTCGGGCGTTGGCAGTGGGTCATGGGAGAATGGCGTCTGGGACTACAAGGCCTTGCCACGCGCTGGAGCGACAGAGCTGTACGACTCGACAGCGGTTGCCTCCTACAGCTACGATTCCAGCAGCCGTGAGCTTATCTCGTACGATACGCCTGCTGTGGTGAGAAACAAGGTCTCGTACTTGAAGGGCAGAGGACTCGGGGGTTCCATGTTCTGGGAAGCCAGCGGAGATCGAGCTGATGATGGAAGCTTGTTGAAGACCAGTTTCGACGCCCTTGGGGGTACCGCCGGGCAGGACAAGAGCCAGAATCAGCTGAGCTACCCCAACAGCAAGTACGACAACATCCAACAAGGTGTGCCTGGGGGCTGAGAGGGAATCCAAAGCTTATTGGATCATTGTCTTTCTTTGGCGTGGCGCACATCTCGAGAAGGCCTAGATTGTTGCGGTTTCTTTATTTCATTTATAACTTTGGCGGCAACAGAGCTTAGCACGCACACTCATTATTCAGTCAACTTCCCATACCAGTCTAGAGCAGAACGAATTGTATTATCTAGTGTATGTCGTAATTGAGCGACCCAAGCTCAGTGTTCTTTGCATCTCAAGTTTTGGAGTCTAGATTGGATGTTCGTGTGTGAAGCTTCTCATGGACCATGTAACTACCTGGAGTTGGTCTTTAACTGCAAAATCTGGCGATTTCTATATTTCTAAAACCTTCTGCCCATACACAACATGACTAGAAGATGCCGTTAGTCATACATTTACAGGACTCCATGGGAACAGATGGACATTGGGTCACTTACTAATTCAGATACGCATGGAAAGTGTTGGACATCAACTCATCGCGGACGTGTTCCAAAAGGTTGATGACTTCCTCTCTTTTCCATCCGAGGACGCTGATGAAGAGCTTCAGAGTAAACGCGTCGAGCCCTTCCATCGTCTGTGCCAGATTATGCCAGCCAAGATCCTTCATATGAGGATTCTTTGCCCACGGTCCGAGGGGGATCTTGAAATGATGGTGACGGATGTTTTTGAAACGAGCTTGTCGCACCCAGCCCTCCAGCTTTGGTCCAGGGGAGTGCTCTCTGCCAAGCGTGTCGCAAGCTTCAATAAACAGGCGGTCCCATTTCATGAGCGCGTGGTCTTCCGTCAGAGTCCCGTCGTCACAGCCGTAAAGGACGCTCATGTCGGAGAACTCGGCCCAGCCGTTAGGAGTAAGAGCGCTAGAGCTAAGATGAGTAAACGTTGTACTAGCTAATCTCAGGGCTCTTACTGATAAACTCTTCCAACGAACGTTGGCCAGTCACGCAAAGACGCTGCCATATACCGCGTGTGAATGAAGTCATACGACCTGTGTTCTATCCAGGAGCTCTCCACATCATCCACTTCGAATTTGACGTTTGGAGGAATCCTGAGAACTGCTTAGCCACGATTTCTTAGACCAGTTCGTCCCAGGTGATGAGGGTGTTAGAGAGCAATACCACTCCGGCTGAATAGCGCTAAGGTCATTTCCAGTCACCTTTGTTCAATACTATTAGTCTCCCTGGGCAATCTTCAGTTTTCAACTCTTGTTGGGTATTGTTTACTTGTGCATTAGGCAACATATCGCCGACTTCACACGCCCCTAAAGACAATGATATCTGTCAGATGCATTACACACAAAAGGGTCGGTGTAGATGATAGATTACACATCGTAACCATTTCAGCATACTTACAAATCCCTGTTCCAGTGCCCACGTCGAGAATGCGATGCGTATTGTCGGGGTCGATTGGAGCTAGAAATAGATTGCGGCCAAGTGTCTTGAAAATCAATTCATGCATGAGATCCAATCGTTCCATCTCGCCCTAACATGTGCAACATGTTGCGTCAGTCAATGGGGAACATCAAGAGCCGCATGGTCTATGTCTACCTCATCGTTGGGAAAGTTATAGGCTGTGTAAAGTCAGCTCGATGGAGGAAACAAGCCAATAATGAGGCCTTTCGATAGGACTCGTGAAACGAAAAAGCAAGTTGAGCTTACATCCTGCGCGATAGGCATGATACCGTCGACCGAATTCCTCGGGATAGTCAACAACACTTCTCGTCAGAGACTTCGTGTACGTCGAGCTAAAGCAAGTCAAGCGTTTATTAGTGTCTTTCTCGAAATTTTGGTCATGAAACCCAATGTTGCGGGTTGTCTTACAGGCGATCGTTATTGACTGATTGACCGTCCATTACCTATGATCGCAATTACGACCAAAGGTCAGCAGCATTCTTGCGGGGTAAACGAGTCCAGGAACACCAACGCTGTCAACATCATCAACCTCCAACGGGGCAGGGTCTAACGGAACTTGAGAATCCATGGTCAACGGGCTTCAGTCTGATGAGGCTTTCGATATTCCGCTGAGCTTGTTTTCCGCCAAGACCCATGAGTTGAGAAGTTAGCGACGGATACATGCATCACAAGGCCAAGGATGGGGGAGCCCCGGAAATACTAAGGCTTTTATCTATGCTCAGGGTGTCAATCCTTGAAAAAAAAGACACCCGCAGCTTGCGAATGAAATGGGCTAGAACGGGTGGGCAGATTTTTAATTTGTTGTTGGTTGCTGCATGTACAGGGCGCGCGCTCTCTGGATATTTGCGGCGTTCAATCGCTGTATCGCGACACGCATGGCCGGGTTTAATATCGCAGGCTCACAGACTTAGGTGCCTTCAATGTTGTTTCGTCCATCACTCTGGTCAGGACTTCAGTGCATTTGCAGCTCAACAGCTCGACTTGTCTGAGAACCTTCCATTCAAGTTGATTGCTGCGGGAAAGGTTTGTATGATAATGTGGTTGGACACTACGTAAGCTGATACGGAGATTGGAAGGCCGCGACTTCCATACTCTTGTTGGTTGTCTCCCGAGAATACTGCAGATTACATCGGGTCTCATGCGGCATCGTCGCGGTGGAAGGATTCTGGCACCTCGTTGATGACCAATGAACAATACGCATGCTAGCTAAGCGATCGTGACGTCCCCTGTAGCCTGCAGCGAGTACAAGCCTGTCAGAACCGCTCAACATTTCGGCCTCCACCAACAAGACAGGGGCACGACTATGTGAGCCGGAAGGGGCTCTCGAGGAAGATCATTTTATATCTAGATGAAATAACTCTTCAGTTAATTGCATTAATTATCCATAAACTTTTGTGTTTTGCGACCGATAAAACTCAACGCTGCCAATCGCTCTGATGTCGAAGAACTCATGTTGCCTTGGGCTTCTTCCGCGCCACGACAATCGTTGCCCTCAGCGCCTTGGACCTTGCAAACCACACAAACAACTTCCCGGCAACTTTGTACTTGGCAATTGAGATTCCGTATGGTTTCAGAAAATTCTCTTGTTCGTTGATGTGCCTGACCAGTCCGGAAAAGACATGGTCAGTGACGTCGCGAAACTGCGTCTGCTTCTCATCATATCCTGCTTCCCTCAGCTGTCTCGTGTAGGCCTCTTCCGTCACAAACGTATTGATGGGGCATTTCATCCCCAAGCTGATCAACTTTACCACAAGCCTCTCTGTGAAAGACGCAGTTTCGCTCAGAAGCAAGTCAAAAGCCATCAAATTGGCGTCGAGACTTGCGGCCGCATATTTGAAGATCGGGCGGCGCGACGGAAAGAAGTGATACAGACTGTCGAGGCCAAGAACCCATGTCTCATAGCTCTCACGTCGATCTCTTGTCAGAGACTCGACGGCAGCCTTAGTGTCTGGCGCCCAACTCTCAGGTTTCGCGGCGTCGGCCTGGAAGACTTGAACCGCCTCACGTTCTTTGTCAGACTGGAGCCCATGAAGCATCTTGGATGAAGCGATTCGCAACTGAGTCTCGTTCAGTGTGAGGCCCACGTAACGATACCCTTTCCATTCGCTTTGGCGGAGGAGACGGGCGAGTTCAAGGGACTGGTCACCACAGCCGATGCCGAGGTCGAGAATCGCCAGCTTCGAGGATGTGATGTTGTTGAGAATGCCGGATGAGGCGACAACTTCTTGAAGAAGGCCCCGACAGGCCTGCTCGAAGTCGCGGATGGGTTGTCCGTCGTGGCTCGACCTGCATCATACGGAATTAATGACATGAGTTGAGATGAATGTGAGGAAAATGAGACGAAAGTTGAATTAGATGAGATGGAATGCGATATCACGGCGGTTTTGAGAAAGAAAACCTCACAATAATGAGTTATGTGTATGCATGATGAGTTGTACTTACCAGTATCCCAAGTTCATCCACATGGTGGTGGTGAATGGAACCTTCACATTGAGCTTCCAATGGTCGGCATTATAGATGTCATTTTTGCGCAGGAAAAGAGTGGCTAAGATGAGTGTGATGAAGACAAAAAATAAGACACCGCTTAAAGCACCAAGCAAGAAATCCGACTGAAGAGTGAATAGTGACCTCATTGTAGGACAGACGTCGCCAGCGCCTCCGGCGGATACTGTGAGACTGGTGAAAGAAAGCGCCAGCTAGTTCAATGGCTCGCGAAAAGGCAACTCACACATGGGTCTTCAAGTCGAAGGATTTTATCCATGTTGTCACAGTCGATAGTGGCTGCTGCTATTTTTTTTAGCAGTAAAACTGACACATGACGAAATTGTCACGTGATCTAAAACCGATCCGAAGTGACTTCCCTTGAACCAAAGTCCCTATTCGTACTTGATTCCGTCTAGAAACCTTTGCTTTTATCTCCATTTCTTGATATTCTCTGCAGGCTTTCTCCCATCTTCATCTCTTTGCTATGCCAGTCCGCCAAGGTACCTGAACGCCGAAGTCGTCAGCTATTCTCATCGCAGAGATCAGGCAACCTTCAAGAAGGACCATTCCATCCCAGCACCAGGCTCCCGTTAGCCAGACATTATCCTCTCCGTTCACCCACGCTGCCCCGTCATCCGCTTCCGTCTTCTTGTCCGTCTTTCCATCGCTCTTCATGATTGCCTGGATCACAGCTCTACTCTCGACCGTCCGCAGGGTTCGGGTGAACCTCGCCGTCCGCAATACTCTCTTAGCTTCAGCTGCAGGATTCAACGAGCAAGTGCTGACCACCGTTCCTCCAGGCATAGTATGCAAAGCCTCTGTTCGCGCCTCCTTGCCGAAGTCGGTTCTGAGGCAAATCGCCTGAGACGGCATCGTGCTGCCTTTGTGGTGCGCACAAGTTTTCGGACCGTCGCCAACATCTTCGGTAACACTGAAAACATCGCTCGCGGCTGTGCTAGCCGGCCGAAGGATTGAGCTCTCCACACGGATCGTCGGGATCTTGCCGAGTGTCTTGCTAAGCGGCTTGAAGATCTTCCCGGCGACGTCCGGCGATACGGCGAGAATCACCCGATCGAATTCATCCTCCAAAACCGACCCGTTCCCATCTCGTGTCGACTGCCAGGTGATCCTCACCTTTCCGCTCGTTGTTGACGCCACTTCGACCACTCGCGCCCCCAATCGAACGTCCCTCATTCCCCTTGCCAACCTCGATTCCACCTGGTGAACCCCTCCGCAGACAGTGTAGTGCTGCTGACCGTGCGACATCTTCTTATAGATGACCACGTCGCTCGCCGGAAACGCCAACAGCTCTGCGTGTGAACATGTCGACACGCTGCTGATGAGAGGAAGCAGGTAATGTGTCACATATCGACGCGGCAGCCATATCCTCTCGAGATACTCCGCCAGCGACTCTGCGCGATCGCAGCCTTCGGTTATGGGCCGCACCAAGAAACACGCGACAGTGAACCAGAATTGGCACACGATCAGGTACAGGATCTCGACGAAATGCGACACCATCCCGCGACTCCCCGGCCAGGGAGGAATCTGGTGCAAGTTCGAGGCATGAACGAAGTATTCTCCCGGCACTCCGCCAGCTCCCTCGAGGTTTCCTCCACCGGTCTTCCCAACGGTGGGGTCGTGCTTCCGTGGCGGCAAGGCTTTCACAAATGAGAACAGAAACCGGACGGGGTGATACGGGATCCCCAAGTGGTCATACATCCCCATCACGTTTTGGTAATATCCTCCAGCGAGTGCGCGCATCGGCAGGTCGATCCGTTCGACGTCGCCAGACCGTTCATCTCGTACTGCGACCGAGGCAGAGTCGAAGGAAAGGCTCTCCGCCTAAGACTGTCAGCTATCCCACCCGACGACAGACTCAACTAATTACTCACCTGCTCGAAAAGCGTAACAGCATATCGTTGTCTTTCATCATTCTGCAGAAGGTACGCAGTAGTCAGACCGGCCAAGCCAGTGCCAACGACGGCCACTCGCAAAGGAGCCTCATGACCCATGTTGTGTTGAGAGGAGCCCAGAATCCTACGATCTCAGGTGCATTCTCGGTGGGGTCGGCTGGAGTTTCGCTTCCGGTCTGCGCACACAGTCGACAGAGTTTACAGCCTCAGAGCTTCTATGTGACAGCCTCAGAGTTTCAGAAACGAGCTGGTCTTCTTGTAGTTCAACTGAATGAACGGCTAGGAAAGTTCAGACCGCCACGTTTCTCTGTCACTCCACTTGCATCGCCAAGCTTCAACAATCGGGACTCCGGGAGGGCAATTTCATTTATGCGCATCAAAACCGTTCCCTCGATGGCAAACTCACCTCAGAAACCCGGGCTGCTAAAGGGGCACCTCGCAGCGGGCGTCATCCCTGAACAGAGAAGACGTGTGCCGAGGTCAAGACCCGACCGGTCGCTCCAACTCCATGTGCGCCCACATCCTCACCCCTGTTCGCGTCGTACGGTGCCTGAGCAACGGAGACTCTGGCGGTGATCGAGGACTAAGATTGCCAAACATGTGCTGGGACATGATTTGGGACATGAGTCGCGTCAATATAACCTGTTGGTCCTCAGGTCAGTCGATGGTGCAAAGTTCTTCATGTTGAATTCATTCCAAACGCCGTCTCAAGAATCGAAAGGTTGACGCTGTCAGAGCTGTGGTATGAGAGATCGTGTCGCTCACATCTCATCTGACCTCCTTTTATCGGATGGAATGTTGCCCCGACTTGGCTGATGTGTTCTCTCAGCTTCTAAAAGTTTTCTCCCGTTGGCCCCACATGCCATCAAATCTTAATCCCCGGCCCCGTCCCGGCATGTCCGGTCAATGCCTCCATTTGAGAATAGGTTCCCTCGTTGACATCAAATCATCATGTGAAAGCTCATACGAACGGGCATCTGATCGTTTAACCGCGTGGGCTCTCAACTGTCAGTGATATGTATGGCAGTTTCGAGCACCCTGCCGCTGGCCATCTTCGCGGGCTACATGGTTCTGGCCGTTCAGGCGTGGGGATCACGGGAGACACCGCTGGGGGCCACTGCGGTGGGGAGAGTGGTGAAAGGATACATTGCTCTTCAAGCAGGCGTGGCCGTCAACTCTCGACACGGGGCCCAGAGCTTAGTAGTTGCTGCAGATTTCAGGTTTTGCGCCAACTGGAGCAGTTGTAATGAAAGGAATCTTTGATGATAGCAAGGGTCTGGAAGTTGCTCTGAGTACCCTGTACGAGCATCCGGCTGCCAGCAGCGTTGGCTGGGTCGTCAGATGCTACGGGTTCAGCTTCTGCTTGATCTGAATTTTCGCCGTGGACTACATGGACGCCCTCAAACAATCCACAACAACAGAAAGCACCAAAAAAAAGACACAACACCAGACGTATTGCACCCAGCTACTAATCCGGCCCTCACTGGAATCATCTAGATGGAGCGGAACATGGTGCAGCCGACCGAGGGCCGACTTCAGCGGTGAAATTTCCGTCAATTGGACTTCTGATGATAGCAAGCTAGCCCTCTTGGAAGACTAATATTGGATGACACGCCGCTCCAAGAGGATCAGCAACAGGCGTTGCAGGTGACCGAGAGAATGCGTGATGAGGGAATGGGCAATCTCTCGACTAAGCCCAACCAGGTCTAATTGAACGAACAATGGTAGAACCGCTGGAGTGAGAAGGTTTTACTCGGTGCCGGAGATGATAGATGACATACTCAACGCGGTGAGGTGCTAAATGAGATAAGTATCACTGTGACTCCTTAACCCTTCAACCTTGAGAGCAATGCTCTTCATAAGCGCCACCACATACGCCAGGAAGCTTATCGGGATAGAGTTTTATTCTCTTAAAATATTGAATATCAAATGTGTACTTATTTGGTATAGCGAGCTAAAATAATAAAGGTGCTTGTATTATATTGCGCAGCAAATTACGGTAGTTATAATTGCCCAGATAACACCTATATACTATATCAAGATGTGTGTTTAGACAGGTAGAAAATCTATTCAAACAAGCCTAAAGAGGTATTAATAATAGTCCTATTTCTCTTAAGGTTATTTTGCCTCTTATTAACCCTGAGAGATACTCATGCGTGCTTATAAAAGGTGAGTGATTGAAGTATGCCGCCCATATCCCTCTCCATCAGGGTGAATAATGGGGTTTCTTTTTCTTTTGGAATAGTTACGCAGTGCAGCCAGCATCCCTCGCAAATGCCTAGACTGAAACTTTCCCACATCTCGCTTATCTGAAATCTCAACTTCAACAATGGAAGCCTCACGGCCAGCACTCAGGCCTCTTCCCATTATTCACCTCAACGGTTTCCCAGGTACCGGCAAGCTCACCATCGCCAGCGCCCTACAGAAGCAGCTCGGGTCATGCTGTCGCCTGGTGCACAATCACCTCCTCATCAACCCTGCCGACGCGGTGCTGCATCGCTCTGAGGCCGGCTACCAGGACTTGCGGCGGGCCATCCGCGGAGTCATTTTCACGTCCCTTGTCGAGAGCCCACCCAGTCACCGCATTGCTTACATCTTCACCGACTTCCAATCCAGTGATGAGGTGGGAAGCGCAGCGTGCGCCGAGTATCTGGCGGCTGCGCGTGCCCGTGGTGCTGCGCTGGTCTCGGTCGTCGTCAGCTGCGATGAGGCAACCAACCTCGCACGGTTGCAGTCTGCTGATCGTGAAGCCCATCGCAAGATCGTCGACCCGGAGCTCTTACACATGTTTCGTAATGGCGTTCAAATTCATCGATTTGATGTATCAGAGTCGACGAGTCTTGAGGTGGACGTTTCCAAGTTGGCTCCTGCTGAAGCTGCGACGCGTATTCTGGAGCATGTGCTCAAAATCTGCCCCGAGGTTCAAAGAGAAATGGCATCGATCGATCGTTCATGAAGAAAATACAAGAGAAATGTCCCTGGGACACCACATAGATGGTTGTAGATGCTTAGTGAAAGACATATCAAATATGATGATATCTCATTGCATGACTTAAAGTGATTAACCTTCAGTCGCATCAATAGGGTTTGAGTCGCGATGCAGTCATTCACCAGGTTAAAACTCAAGTTACAATACCTGAGACCATAGGCCTGAACTAATGAGCTTAATACACGATGCGAGTGCAATGCCCAACACCAGAACAGCAAAAGAGCACTCAAAACATAAAACACCAGATATTCACACAATACCGCTCTAATTAGCCCTTATACCCTACGCCTGGTTATATGTACATGCAGCCTGTCTCAAAGCCTCGCTTACTACCAATTCTTCTGCGTGATAGTCCTGTTCCCTGCTGCAATCTCCGGCGCATAATCTGTGCCCAAGTACTTGCAAATGGTCATGCGGACAATCCATCCCCATAGCCGCATATTGCCCATCTGTCCCGTGCCACGATTCGGGCCCAGGGTGACGGCGAACACGAAGGTGTCGTCGGCCTTGTACATCGGCATAGAGCGCCCCGCCAACAAGTCTTGTAAGGCCGGAGCCAAGAACCGCACCTGTGCGTCGGCGTGTTTTCCGGTGGCCGTCTGGGCGTTGGCGGCATCCCCCAAGGCAAATACGTTGGCATGGCCAGAAACCTGCAGCGTGTCACGATTGACCTTGATCCGGCCATCACGGTCGAGCATGGCCGCGGCCATGAAGGCTGTGTTGGGACGGACGCCAAAAGTGGGGATGTAGAGATCCGTCACGATCGTGGCCGTCGTGTCCGCCTTGTCCGTGTTGCCCTTGGAGCTAGTAGCCAAGACGATGGAATGCCTCCCGTCCGACTGAGTCGTGGCGCTCAGCACGCGTGTGTTGGATATAATCTTGACTTTCAGCTTTGCCAGCTCGTCGGCCACCGTCTGTCTCACGTCGCTGCGCGCCTCGGGCCACAACGGGAGGGCATCGTCGGCTATTAGTGTTATGTCCTTGGTGCCCGCCATTCCGTACACCTGGCCGAGCTCCGCTGCGACTTCAACGCCCGTTTGGCCGGCACCGGCTACTACGATAGATGTTGCTGCGGCAATCTTGTTGCGGAGATTGTGAATTTCATTCTTGGTGGCGGCTGTGTCTGCCAGGTTCTTGAAGGGCATGGCATCCTGATATGAGGAGCCTGTTGCAATGACGAGGGTGTCGTAGTCGATGGTCCGCAGTTGCTCGTCGTCTTTCGTGGATATAACGACTTGGTTTTCCTGGGTGTCCACATGCTTTGCAGTTCCCAGAACATACTCAAATTTGGAGCTGTCATACTTGGCCAGGGCAGGGCCTAGCGGATGGAATATTCTTTCATCGCCGAATCCGTCTGGCAGAATGGCACGTACAGTGGCGTAGGCCCATAGCAGCTCGTCATTGGGACTAACCAGCACAACACGCAAGCCCACGGATGCAGGCGTGTGCTTGAGCAGGTGGTGGACGAGGGGGACTCCTGCCATGCCGGCGCCGAGGACCACCAGTGTGTGCGATCCGGCCTGCGACGTTGTGTCTGCATTGCTGAGCCTCTCAGGCTTTCTGCCCAACTTGAGGATCCGAGAAAGAAGCGGATAGGCCAGCACCAAACAGCCGGTGATCCAGGAGATTGTGACCGTCAAAGACATGTTCGGCTGATGAGAAAGCTGCAAGAGTGACTGACTGATGTTTGACATAGAAGGAAGCAGATTTTGACATGTAATGATTTCGTTAAAACTGGCCACTTAAATACACCTACCTAGCCCTCGAAGTCACCTAACCCACGGAGGGGAATGGTTTGTGTGATACCTGCGCCGCTTGGCTACATGAAAATCCGCGCGCTAAGCTGCCGCTCCGTGGGTTAGGTGTGCTGGTATGTGTCTGTGCGAACCGGGCCCCCCGGCCGGTAGTGTCCGTGTGGACGGGCCGGGGCCCGGGGACAAAAGGAAAGTGGGATGGGTGTGTCTGGCTGCGCCGTAACAAGATTATGTCAAGGTATCGGAATATCTCTCTACGCAAAATTCATGAGCAGTTATCCAGAAAACGTGCGGGACTCAAGCGTATAAAAAAGAAGAGCTGCACTGGTACTTGGATATGTAGGGAAAAGGCTACATCAACTGTTCTGTCGTTTTGCTGCTCGAGTGAGCGTGGAGCAACGATGGCTTAGTTCCAATAGTCTGACATACCGGGCAGTAGCGTTCCCGCGCTCGAGGGGCGAACGGCGGAAACCACCATGCATGCTGCCTCAAAGTACGAGTAGTCGGCTGTGCCTCAGCAGGGATCCCAGTCAGCCATAATGACGTGGGTTCTACATGTATCTTCCGCTCAAAGTGGCTGGTCTCTGCCTTTTCAGAAAGGTCTAGCAGTTCATCAGAAACACCAACGATGGACGGGATGGACGCGACAGACGCCATCTTGATGCTCGACATCGCTGCGCGGATTCTTGCCGTCACGGAATTCATCACGGGGCTGCTCTCAGCTCCTCCGACCTCACAATCGCAGCAGCCAGCATCAAAGACCGACGAAGACGAGCAAAGCATTTTAGCCGTATTTCGTAACCTGAGGAGCCGACTTCTCGACTTTCAAATTCCTTTTGGGACGCAATGTTCATCAGCGAGTCCACGAACACCATGCAGCCATTCGGCGCTACTGCGAGATGTCATCTCTTCCAGGGATGATTGTGTGGAACTGCTGGACGATATCATCAGTGTACTGAAGCTATCGTTCGAAGAATCAGGAATGCCGCCAAGGGGAAATGACGCAGGAGCCTGTTTTAGGCTGAGGCTTCCGGGCACGCTTTATTTGGAAAGATCAAGGCGGCTTTCTCAAAAGATGACGCAACAAGTCAGCTTGACCGTAAGGTAAGCGCAACGAACACCAGGCCATTGATTATTTTCTCTACATTGTTTCGCCTTACTATCCCTTTCGTCACCGTCCCCTTTGTGAGATTTCCGGATTAGAGCCTCCTAACGCCATGTGTCAGTTCACGGATATCCGAATTAAGCCGGGCACTAGGGTCCGCGGAGACCGAGAGACAATACACAAGACCAGAGCATGAGAGCCGAATCGAGACCATGTCTCGCGACTTGGAGGAGTTGAGACGACAATTTCGGCAGCACTTGGCAGATCAAAACACGGATTTCTCGGCCACAGTCACGGAGGCCATCGTCAAACAGTTCAAAGACCGAGTGGCACGTTTGACCGAATCAAACAACGCGCTGTTGGCCGACAGAATCGTCTCGAGCCTGAACTACGACAGCAGGCCCGTCCGCCACGACTCAGTCCTACAGGCACACAAGGACACCTTCCAGTGGGCCTTCGACTCGCGGCTGTCAGATTGGTTGTCATCTGAGAGTGGTATATTCTGGGTTTCAGGCAAGCCCGGATCGGGAAAATCCACCTTCATGAAATTCATCGCCAAAAGCCCCCGGACCAAAGAGCTGTTGGTAAAATGGGCAGGCTCGCCCGAGAAACTGGCTGTCGCCACGCACTTCTTCTGGATCGCAGGTACGCCGATCCAAAAGTCTTGGCAGGGACTGTTGCAATCTCTGCTCTACGATCTGCTTCGTGGACATCCAGATGTGGTATCCTTGACCAGTCCGGACCGTTGGGAAGCCGCCAAGGCCGGACAATGGCAGATGGCCGCTGCGCCCTGGTCCGTTGACGAGCTCGCCGTTGCACTTAGAGCCCTTGCAAGTGCTTCCTGCGTGCCGTTGAAGATGTGCTTTTTCATCGATGGGCTCGACGAGTACGACAGTGATCACGCCGAACTTTGTCGAGTTCTTCGCGACTTGGCAAGCTCAACCCACATCAAGATATGCCTATCCAGTCGTCGGTGGTCTGTGTTTGAGCAGAGCTTCGGCAATGGCTCCTATCAAAATCTGGATATTCACGAACTGACACGAGACGACATTCGTAAATTTGTGAGCGACCAACTTGACATCAAATCCCGTTGGAACGTTGAGATGTCCCAAGACGTCGATGATGAGATGACTCAGCTTGTAGACCGGATCGCGGCTCAGGCTTGTGGTGTATTTCTGTGGGCTTTCTTCGTCACGCGGTCCTTACGAGAGGACCTTTCCAACGGAGAAGAGATTGGAGGCCTGGCAAGACGTCTCAGCCAGCTACCATCGGATCTAGACCGGCTCTTCCAGCACATGTTGGAAAGCGTGGACCCCTTCGACCACTCTAAGATGGCTGGTTTCTTGCAAGCCGCGGCTCATGCTTTGGAACCTCTTCATATCGACCTGTACTGGCATCTAGAGAGAGAATTCGAAGGCCATGGTTTTGGCTCAAGGAGCGCGATGGTAGCCACGACGCTTGAGGATATAAGCGCACGCAGAGAGCAGACCATTCGCAGTATCAACGAGAAGACGAAGGGTCTGCTCAGGCTTGTGGACAATCGTGTCGAGTTTCTCCACCGAACCGTCAAGGACTTTGTCTTGACCAAAGATGTCGGCGAATACCTTCGCAGCAAGCTCCCGGCGAACTACGACGGTTTCATCTCCATCACAGCCGCGTATCTTGGGTTTCTGAGAACGAAGCGTACGGGGCACCAGCTTGTCGCGGACGTCATCAGGCAGGGACGCGGGATGAACAGTGGCCCGTTCATCGCGCACTTGAATCAAGCCTTGGTTTACGCGTCAGAAGCAGGCAAGCAAGCAGCTCAGTCCGATACTCGTCAAAACAGGCAAGTAGAGAATCTGTTAGATGAGTACGAGGCAGTCATTGAATCCATGGTAAGCCTCGGCCATATCAACGTCAAGGGCGTCAATTCTCGAGGCTGCCACCCCAAATTGGTCTTCCATGAAGAGCTGCTGAGGCACGACCTAAGACCATATCTCGCAGGGAAGATTCGCCAACATCCAGATTTCTTCGACATGTTCGACAGGTCGCCGCTATTCGCGGCGCTCATGCCCATGTGTCGCAGCAGCGGCCAGAGTTCTTCGCCGGTGCCCGGGGTCCTCGATCTTCTCCTTCAGCGCGGCGAAGATCCCAACGTGCAACCACGGCAGCGCGTTGTTGCGAACGAGGACGACGCGCCCTCGCCGTGGGTACTCTTTGCGCGGAGCACCATGTCCGTCTTCAACATGCTGTCGGGCCCTTGCATGTTCCCTGCCCTCCGTTGGAACGAATCTCTGAAGGACGCCACCTTCGGTCGCCTGATGTCCTACGGTGCCGATCCAAACATGCCTTTGCTGAGCCGGCCAGCTGCGCGTACCGTATTTTCGCACTTTCTGGATATATCGCTGTCCAAGTTCCTCGGCGAGGAGTGTTTCGAGGACTATCTCGGAACTCTGGACGCTTTCCTACGGGCGGGCGCGAGCCTCGGCGTTCCCGACCTTGCGGGCAAGGTCGACCCGGATGCCGGAACTGCTTTTGGGAATCTTGCCAGATGGCGGCCGGAGGAGTCGGTGCTGGCGTCGTTCTGCTCCGAGTTGAACGGCCTTATGGCGAGATTGGCAGCAGAGCCGCGGAGGGCTATATTCGTCTCGCTTGTTGTGGAAAAGCTTGCTATGCATTGCTGCCGAGAAGAAGACCTCAGAGAATTGGAACGCGCAGTATCGCAAGGCTGTCCCGATCATACTGCTGCGCCACTGCTGCGTCTGATTGCTTCTAAGATTATGAATTGTGAGGACCAAGGTTCTTCGCGAAAGAAACGTCAGAACGCCGATTCTGATCGGCAGTTTAGTATCAAGCTTAGGCGTATATAGAGTAGCCAGTAGAAGAAAGATTGTTGGTAGCAGAAACGACACCGAACAGATGTGAGCATATAGGCATATACCCTCCGATTTGCACTGTCCGGGAGTCTTTTGACGTCAAGCGTGTTTCCAACCAATGTATGAATCACTCGGAATTGGGCTTACATCGTGAATGGATGTCATAATCAATTAGTAAGATGAGTGAGCATTCGGCATAGGTTAATGGTGGTGAGGACTGGAAGAGGAAACCTCACAAATGAGGATCAGTTAGCGGAAGTATATAGAAGGGGAACTGCCCTTCACAACTTCACCTGATCGATCATGGCTGCCACCAACCTGAGCATAATCTCGCAATCTCCGAGGACGATAGGATTATATGGACATCTTGGGAATTCCATTGAAATCATGCGGAGATCTCATAGCGAACATCTGAAAGAGGAGTAAATTCGTCGGGCTAAAACATAAGAAGTCGCCAAGCATAACGAGGTTTTCGAAATCGGCATGTGCTATGAGAGAGATACATCTAAATCGGTGCGATAGAGACCGAAACTGAGAGAACCTCGCCAGCTTTAATTAACGTCTTTACGTATAATAACGTGTATGGCCACGCTTATTTCCTGCATAGAATTGATGGATATAAGTTCCTGTTCCTTGAAAGTCGCGTAGAGGCAACGTTTTGATCTGTCCATAGATGGTATTTCAGCTTTAGTGAGATAAACCAGGCTGAGAGATATCTAACCCCTTTAACTATACAATCTCAACTTGAAAGCCACATTGCAGCCGTGTTCGTTTCAGCCTGATGTTGCATTCTTGTTTGGTTTTCAACGTTGAGACTTCATTCCTCTTCTCGACTCAAAAGAAATCAAGAAATAGCCAGATCTTCCGAACACTTCCAACAACAAAGGACAAAAGGCCAGATAGTAAGTCGTACAGGCCCAAAGCTCATCCATTTATGCTTATTAGGAGGTCATGAAACTCTGCCTATCTGATTCATTAGTATCAATCCATGCACATGAAAATATTGAAATCAAAACAACAGAATATGTGTTCTAGGAGAACACGAGTTCTTAATGATCGAAGACAACCACATAGAAATATATTAACCTGGCTTCATAACGAACAGTCAGCGTAACTACTTCGTCAGCGCCAAAAGTTGGTACCGAAGTTTGCCCATTTCGTTCTTCAGGGTTGCGAGTCATGATACCGGCTTAACTATGGGTCAACAACATGCTCGGGTAAAACATCGACTGATTTTCAGGCAACATCAAGCGGCAGCGTCCGACGATTTGGTTAATATCTCCAAATCTGGACGATATCTTAGCCGGCGTCCCAGCCGCGTGGAATATAATATTGAATGTTGCATTCGTTGTTGCGAAATCAAGGAGATGTCCTTGATCGCGATCCTACCTCGAACGGGTTGCAAGGACGTGCCAACTTCCAACATCCACGCGAGTGAGCCAACCAACACGGACAACGACCGAGGATGCTCACAGACTTCCGAATAGGGCTTTTGAAGGATCTTTGGTCTTCATTGGCCAGCTCGCTTTTGTAGAGGGCCTGAGTGTCGCAGTTCATGGGGCTCATCATCATGAATCCATGATGACAAGGTCAGACGCTCGGGGATCGACCTGCCCCTGAGCGTTACACACGCACGACGCGTTTTTTGACAACTGATTCTTTCTGCCCACACGGAGTCCAGTGCAACATATCTGCAAGCAATACCCGCCCGGAATTCACCCGGGCGGAGGCCGGATGTGATCTTTGTGAATCCGGTCAATTTCTACATGGAATGTATTTTTCAGTCAAGCATTCGGCGTGGGAGCGGATGTTCCGCAGATGTTCCGCTAGGTGTCCAATGCTCCTCGCGTATCGTCTTTCGCGACTCATGATCATAACGCCATAACATGGCCCATCCCAAATACAACAGGGCCTCCATTTTAAGCATACTTCTTGACCATCTTCAGCAGAGCCTCCTCTACCTCCTTGGGACTCGTCGCGTTGAGGTAGTGACCACCACCCTCAACCATCGTGAGCGTCGCCTCGGGAGATGAGGTGAAGAGCTTGATTTGCTCGACGGGGACGTTGACGCCGAACACGGGGTCGGCGGTTCCCTAAAATAAGCATCAGCGCACAGTTCTCTTCGCTTATTTGCTCTCGGAAGTCGGGGTTTGGGGCCCGATTCCTTGCAGGTCCTCGTCCCCATGGGTGGTTATGCACGTACCTGAAGCCAGTAGACGGGGCACTTGATATCCCTGAGCCTCAACAGCAGGCCGTCGCGAGAGAGCAGGTTGCCGAGGGCAATCTTGAGCTTCTTGCGACCCTCGTCGCCCTTGTAGACGGACTTGAGGGTGTTGGTCCAGAACGCCAGCGTCTCGGGGGGGACAGTGCCGGAGAAACCCAGGCTGCCGACCATACCGCACCAGATGTCGTCGACGAGGAAGTCGGGAGTCGGGACGGGGCTAGACCAGGCGTCGTAGAAGGCCAGGAGCTGAGCCTTGGGGTCCCAGCAGCCCTTGCCTCTTGACTCAGCTGACTCGTAGTCCATGGAGGTGCCCAAGGGCAGAAGACCCAGGATCTATCAACATCAAGCGAAGTCAGCTCGTCAATCCACAATATCAACGTTGGAAACAGAACCGCAGGTGGAACTACTGCAAGAACTTGCAGAGCCTGTGGCCCAAAAGCGTGATGGATCATCATGCGGAGGCAGTGCTACGTACTCTCTCGGGAGCCAAAAGCGCCATGCGGGCGACCATCCAACCGCCCTGAGAAGTGCCGAGAGCAAATGCCTTCTCGACGCCGAGCTTGTCCATCACCTGCAGGGCCATAGTAGCCGTGTCCCAGTAGGTGAAGTGCTCGACCGGGCTGCTGGTGGAGCCATGGCCAAGAGGCTCGATAGCCAGCAGGTTGACGGCATCCGTCAGCGTCTTGCTGTTGAACTGGTCATTGTAGAGAGAGACGGTGGTGCACATGGAGTTGATGAGCACGACGGTGGGCTTGGCGGGGTCGACCTTGTCCCCGGAAAGACGGTAGCCGGCCGTGATGCCGCCGAGGTGGGGGACCTGGATCGTAGTGGTAGCGGCCATATTTGCGGTTTTTCTGTGTCGGGGTCGGAATCCTTTGGAATGGACGAAAGCGTTCGATTCAGGAAAGAAGAGTAAGCTTGGCTGGGGTTCTGACAGAGAAAGTAAGGTTTAGTAGTAGGTTTGAAAGAGAATGCGGGTTTCTTTCTTGTATTCCCGCTGCAAAGGCGCTCGTGGCACCTCCTGCGGGCTGCCATCTGGACATGGCAGCGGTGTATTTCAAACCACCGGCTCCGCCCAATACCCTTCGAGTTGCAACGTCTCTTGCAGTTAATTACCGGCTCATTTCCCCAATAGGGTCGGTTGACGGCGAGGCATGTCCCTGCTCGCGAGGTGTTGTGTGGAGGGGGCAGAAAAACGACGGTGGTGAGAAAGCCCAATTCGCCAGAGCCGGTCCGGAGGGTTGAGCGGTTTGTCAATGCCCTCTGACGTTTCCTTGACAGGGTGGGTAGCGCAGAAGCCCAAGAAAACGATCAACGAGCACGCGTCGGGCCTTAGCATCGTCAAGGGATAACCCCCGTGCTATCGCCGAAGCTGTGGCCATCAACATGGATAGGACATGACTCGGTTTTCCCCTGCCGAGGGGGCGAAATGAGCCCAGTCCACGTTCACCTTGTCTAGCGCCCAGATTTTGACGCTATTGGAACCGACGAGTCCGAAGACAACATCGGCAAAAAGCATTGGAGGGCTGCATTTCGGTCCCCTAGAAGTTAGAACTGCTGAACTAAGGGGCAGGTGGTGGCGGGACCATCAATGAAGCTGCAGTGAGGGTGGTGAGACGTTCATCCAATGCCGTTTTGAGCGTTGGGATCTCAGGGTTCAAGAGGACGCCGTCGTTTTGGAGTGAGTGAACCGTTGAAAGTCAAAACACTTCCCGTTTGTCTAGGAGAAACGGCTCTCGGGAGCGACGGGAACATCCTTCTCCTAGTCTCTGCGTGTCTGGTGTAGCTGTCTTCAAGTCTGTGTGGTTGGCGCGCTCGACTTCAATCGCACAACATCAACGTCTCTCAATCTAACCCATCTGAGAGGATTCTTCAGCGGGAAGCGGCTAGGACCGATCGTCGTCTGCGCATAATCACTGGGTTCCGGCCGACCGGCGTGGCCACTGACAATGCACAGCGTGTGCAGTACCGAGACATCGCTTACGACCCCCGGTCGTGTGCGCGTATCGTTCCTGGGCGGCCAAAAGCCGCATGCGGAACGACCAAGAAGAATCCATTATCCGTCAGCGAGAACGTCTTTCCACCCGGAAAGAACCCCGGCCCGACCAACAAGCATCCAACGGTGACACCACAGCCAGTGGCCAGACGTCCTGGCTGGAAGGTTTGGAAACACTGCCGATACCCAATCGAGCATCCCATGGAGACGGTCTAGCACCGGACGAGGCATTCCGGGATGATCCCCATCAAGGCGTGCCATTTGCCCCCAAATTTCTTGTCGTTCTTGTGGAGAATGACGCCGAAATCACCAACGTCGTTCGACGTTGAAGGACCGGACTCTTAACTGCGCTAGTAACCCAGTTCCACAAGGCGTGGAAAACCACGCTCGTATTGTGGTCTGTCAGATTGGAAAAATCAAAACAAATATGACAGAACATATATGCGGCGAAAAGACAAGAGTTTGATGACAGGAGTCGCATGTCTCGTCGCGATTTTGCGCCGGAGTTATGGCGATGTTCAGGGGTGGTGCCTAACATTGCCTCGTGGCATCGAAGACTTTCTGTATGTCATCCTGAACAAACTTTGCCGGGCCTGTCTCGCAAATCCCTCCCAGTCCACTCTTTAGATTTCGTCCTGCCGTTGATCAACTTTCCTATTCAGTCACCGGCCTCGTTTGACATAAACGATAATTCCCCTCTCACAGCCGTTTTAGGAATGATCAAGCTGCGGTTGAGCGGAGAGTTCCCTCACACACCACAGAGTTTAACCGGATAAACCACGAGAAGAGAGGACGTTTTCTCCATCCCCAGTTTTCGAACCATTGTTACCACGTTGCCCAGGGGTTCGGATTCCTTGACAAGCCGTCCAAGGTTCTGCGCCGCTCAGGGGTCAGGGTTCCAAAACCGGCACTTCGCACAGGTTGAAGGATCGTGCCTGTAGAATAAAGCGACCCAGTGGCCCTACCCATACCAACAAACGCGAGAGCGTACCTTTCCCCCGGGTTCACGAGATATCTGAGAAGCGAATTGTGTTGACCCCTTTTGCCCCTTCGGTTGAGAGCTATCAGGCTGGGTCCTCCCCTCATTCCGAAGGAGTTCTTGTCTTCTCCTCCCCCGCGATCGACTCTGAGTCTATTTCCACACAGCGAACCGAGCGTGGGAACTTGAAAGGGGCTTCCGGTAGCCAACCGAATCGAACAAGATGTCGTCCTCTGATGCGTCGCCGTTGCCTGGTCTGCCCGGATATGACCCAAACAACATCCAGCCATGGACCGTCGAAGTCGTCGTCTCAGTGACGGTTCTCGCCTTACTATCGGTCATCCTTCGTCTCTACAGTCGTAACCTCAAGGGTCAGCAGTTGTGGTGGGATGACTACCTGATCATCTGGTCGATGGTGTGTACATGCATCTGCGTTCGAGTCTTGAACAGATTAAGACTGACTGGACTGTAGCTATGGAATCTTGTCGTTGTGGGCTTCATTTTTGGTATGCACCATGTGGTACGTAATATGGAATGAGTCTGTCTTTGGACGCCAGAATACTAAGTCCTACTAGGGCATGGGAATTCACGCGGATAAGGTCAAGATGGACAACATCGTCTTGATGGCCAAGTATCTCGTCGTGGCAGAAATTCTGTACGCGTGGAACTTGGGCTGGACGAAGCTGAGCTTGCTGCTCATGTATTACCGCATCTTCCACATCCCCTTCTTCAAGAAGATGACTTGGGGTGTCGGTGCCTTCGTCTTCGCCTGGGTCATTTGCATCACATTCCTCTTCATCTTCATCTGCGTGCCCGTCGAGAAGCTGTGGTACCCCGACATCCCCGGACGCTGCATCAACCAGGTTGCGACTTGGATCGCCAACGCCGCTTCGACAATTTTCACCGATCTCCTTATCCTGATCATGCCCCTCCCACAAGTTTGGAAGTTGCAGCTGCAGAAGGCTGAGAAGATTGCCCTGACCTTCGCCTTTGGTCTCGGTTTCTTGTACGGAGCCCCTTTTCTCTTGGTGTACGGCAAGCTAATAGTCACATAGTGTCGTCTTCACCTCAGCATACCGAACCAGCGTTCTCTTCACCTACAGCTCCACCGATCCCACGTACACGCTTGCCCCGACCGTCGGCTGGACCGCCATCGAAATGTCCGCCGGCATCGTCTCCGCCTGTCTCCCGACTCTGCGACCCGCCATGCAACGCATCGCCCGCCTCTGCGGTATCAAGGGCAGCATGGGCGGCATGTTCCGCGCGACCACCGCCCTGGGGTTCGGCTCCAAGAACAAGTCCAACTTCAGCAACGGCCTGTCCTCGGCGGACCCAAACGGAACACAAACCAACAGGAGTCTTTCGACGGCGAAACACGGCGCGGGGAATGATCCTTTCTACCGCCTCTCGGACGACAACGGCTCCGATAGCAGAAGCGGCGAACACACGCCCCCCTTAGCCGACTCGAAGTTGAGGCCCGATGCGAATGGACTTGGTTTCGGTTACAGCGTCACGACATACCCCACCAACAAGCCCGACAACAAGAGCGAAGACGAGATCCCTCTCCACTCCATCCGGGTTCAGAAGGACTTCAAGCAAACGACTTCATGAGCACGTCATGTCAAGATTGGACAAGTTTTGGTTGCAAAAGAGCTGGAAGTGTTCTCACGTCTTGAGAATCGACCCTCCTGGAAAAGGATTATTCCATCACACGACGCAGTCGAGGGAACTAGCTCTGCCAAACCTAGTCCAAGCAGCGAGACGATGCTTGATGAATGTGTTAAGCAACTTTATGAAGGCAATACATCATAGGTCAGGATACATAGACCTTTAGGCCACGGTTCATGTTGGGCGGTGTCGGCGTGGGAAGGGGTTAATCAAAAGGTGGCGTGCATATCTCAAAAGAAAATCATTAGCTGTAATAAAACTAGAATTGTGTAATACTAGACGACGGAATCAGTTAGGACGAATGAATGACATGTTCAAAAGCAAAACACCAAGCTCATAGCCCACATACTCATTCTATGATAACATGAATAGAAACGAGGATGTTGAAGTGAACACTGCCTCATGGGCTGGCTGATCGAACCAGAAAGTATCGGCAGAGTTGACAAAATCAAGCCGCGGGGCTTCAGGCTCGTTCTCGTCACTCTCACTACCATCATGGACTCAGACAAGTTGGCGTCAGTTTTCACTTGCTTAGAACCGCCAAATATCTTCCCAGCAGACCGTAAGAAATATCCCATCATCCTACACAAACCACAGCTCGTCTTCTCAAATCAGTGTGCATTGAATGGGTTCGTAATGTCGTTCAGTCTAATGGTCTTCTGAGGTTCGGGTATCGGCGTCTATGCCCCAATAATCCGTGAAATTTTGCGTCACTTGGTGCGTCACGGTGGAGAGATCTACAGCAGTTCATGGGAAATTGCCGGGTTCCACCATTCCCAGTCCCGTGATGATCATGAAGACGTTTGAAACGACTTTGACAAGGTCACCATGGTCATAGAAGTACAAGTTTCACTCGTCTTTCGCTGTCATGTTTAGGGCAACATGAAGAAATCTGTCTTGTGGATGTGGTGTGGATATGCCGTTCTTGAGAAAAGGAATTTCACACGAACGGATGAGAAACCAGGAATAAGTGCTCAAGTGCAGAGGCAGCCCGAAACCACCAAATGGTTTCATGATGTTCCACTATCGCTGAAAACTCTTCATGAAAGAGGAAGTACACATCGACGTCAGTAGAGAATCCGCAGTCAAGCTGCCGGAATTCGATATTCAGACTGGAACCTGAGAAGTCAGATGAGCTACAGGAGCAATTTCGTCGTTAATTCCAGTTCATCCTTGAATGATTTGACTGGTGAGTTCGTTTCATCAGACTGATACTTATAAATTTTCAGTAGACATACAATTTTGCGGCCAATGTGACAAAGGCTATTTTGCGGTAGTATGACGACGTTCAGTGGCTGGCCTTACTGCTACGAGTCACTTTTCAGGAGACCGAGACATGAAATTCCATGATTTTATGCGTGTTTACCAGAATTCACGTACGCGGGATTGAGTTTTCAGCGATGTGGGTTGATATAAATTTTCAAGTGTGGAAAACATGAAGACCTGACTTGTAGTTCACGACCGCTTATGTGGCAGATGATTGACTCAAACCATAATATGTCAGATGAAAAGAGAATCGCTCGTGTGTTTTAAGAAAACAATAAAAAGGATAAAACTAGCATGATGAATTATTGCCTTAGGGAATGACTTATGTATTCCTATGCCTATGTACCACTCACACGACGAGCCGGAGGCGGCAACTGAGCCGATTAGATCAATTACACAAAGTTATATAAGTCACTTAATGCTTTGTTTTTAAAAGAGGTCCAAGGATGAGTTTATCAAACACAGGGGTTGTTGATAAGTAGAAATGAATATCTTTCAGAATGGATGCGTTGAACCTTATGTTTTGGTGATATCACGGTAAATAGGTCAATTACCTTCGTGAGAGCATTTGTGTGCTCTGACGGGTGTTGGCTTTGGAGGAACTCTAGACTGTTATATGTGATCATGACAAGTCAGAAATATTCTCTTTGCAGTATGAGTGATCAATATGACACACGAATACATCTCCAATAGATCTACCTCATATTGTGAACAAATATCTGCATGATCGTCTCATATCAGCGTATCGCAATAGTGTACGCCATGAGGACTGTTCAGCTTCGAACCATTTTTGAGCAGATCACACAGAAATAGTTGATATGATTATCTGATTTTGAAAAAGAAATACTCACTCAACTCAAGGCAGCATTTCAAACGTGATTGATTGGCCAGTTCTGGGTCAAACTCAATGACCTGTGATTGAGACTTACGTCTCATAAAGACATGAACCTTTTGACAACAAGTTTTCAGGTGTGAAGATGAAGATGAAGATGAGATGATGTGTAAGCAGAAGTTCATGTAACTTTTTCCGAGCCACGTAATGCAGTCTCTCCTCAGACGCTTCGTTTCATCCAAAACAGATACAACATGAGATTACGACAACGGAACATGTTTCATATTTCTCGGGTCATCCGCTCAGCTTTCAATTTGGATTAGTGATCAAGTTCATGAACCGCCAAGTCAATATCATCCAGAATCATAGCGCTTCTGTTTTTCAAAACAGGGCGCCTTCCGGTCTCTACAGAAATCTCGAGACAACTAAAGAGGCTTCGCTGCAAGCCAATTGTGCCCAGTCTCGACTCTTGTCACTTCTCAGTCGTAATTGACGACGTTCGATACGCTTCTGACTGCATGTGTGGATGGCCAGACCCGCCACATCTCCCACAACTTTTGAGACCTAAAATCACGCAACACAGCTTTTCATCGTTGATTGTTCAATCTCAAAAACAGGATTAGACATTGGAAAAGGTCCTCGCATATCCGTCCGTATTGTCGTAAAATTTGGGCGCGGAGGTGGTTCCGGATACCCGCCGCGACTGAGCTCTCATTGGACGTCTCCGGTCTTCACCGATGTTCGCGATATTTGCAGGCTCTGCAGCCCTTGCAGTCGAATCAGCTTTCAAGTTTCGTCATCAGACTGGCGGTCACCGAGAACTCGGGAATTAGTGCGGGGTTTCGTGTCGGTCGCTATGCTGAATCCCTGCAACTTGGCGTTGCACCTGTTGGTTTGAACCAGAGCAACAGCAGTTGGCAGGGATACAACTCCTTCAGACACATCTCATCTTCGTTCCTACAGTCTAATGTGTGATCCCGTGTGGACCGTACCGAACCAGCGAGCCATCATCTTCGTACAGAAGGTGACATTGAAAACATGCGTCTTTACTCGCATGACATTGTCCGCTTGGTTCGACCAGAGACTTTTTGTTTGAAGGCAATGTTCGAGATCGTCGTTTCGTGGGGCAGTTGATGGGTTTTGCTGCATACAAACGACCTCAAGTGGACTCCAGCCCGGTTTTCGATGCGTATGTGCCTGCCTCGGCGTCATGCACCATGTAAGTAGGCCAGCAAACTTATTTGTGCGTTCCTTGCATGTGCTTTCAATTGGCATCGAGCAAGCTCTACTCAGCAAGGGTAAGACTACCCTGTTGTTTGCAGCAGTTGTCCGAGACCTTTCTATCCCCCACAACCTTTTGCCAACTTTGTTTGTCGTCAACATCCGTTCTGGTATGTACGATTTATCCAGCAAACAACAAGTAGTCTCTCCGGCGCATCTAGAGATAGACCATAAAAGGTTTCGGGGTTTGCCAAGATCGACATAAGGGAGATGTTGTGCTACCGCGGAACGCACGCTCTCCGCGGCACAATTGGATGTTAACAGCTCATAAGCCGGGGTTTCGGACAAAGAACAACGCCGTACTTGAGCGTACAGAAAAGCAATCAGCTGAATTGAACAAACTTTAAGTATTGAATGGCCGCCGCGAAAATGACTGCTTGTCTCAAGTCCATAAAACAACGAACGCCACGTCGTTTGGACATCTGATGTCTGTCTCCTCACACTGTCACCCAGTTTTACCCATATTTCGACAGGGAGAGCAGCCCCATCAGCCATGTTACTCTGTCGTAAGGCTACAGCTTCTCGACACCTTATCACGACAGTCTTCCCGGTGTGGGGTTTCACACGCCTTCGATATTTGTCACACGGAGCTGCTCCATCTCGTCCCACGGGCGCTCTGGAATCAAACCCAAATCCGGATGTGATCGTTGTCGGTGCCGGGGTCGCCGGCGTGTGCGCAAGTATCGCCGCGGCTGAGAATGGCGCCAGAGTTGTCCTCCTCGACGACGCCCACGGAGGCGGCGCAACGGCACTCTCAGGTACGCTTGGAATTACCCGCCCTATGGGTACCCATGGGTTACCTAAGAAATGGGCTGGGTAATTAGCTTACCTATAGGTCTAGCCTAGGTAGTCTATAAGTTTATAGGTACCTAGAGTATTTACCTATAGGTAACTTTAGGTACCTAAACTAATAGAAGAATAGGTAATAGGTAGTAATAAGTACCTAGAAAGTAGATCTAAAAGTACTTTAGATTAGTAAAATAGGGAAAATTATAATATAGTTTATAGCTATTATTTATAGCAATCTATATTAGTTTTAGTATTCTACTACTACTTATAGATTAAAATCTAAACCTAGTAGCTATCCTCTATTTAAGTTTTCTCTCCCTATTAGCTACCCTCCTACTGCTATTCTTACTATTACTACTACTCTTATTCTTAATAATGCTGCTATATCTCTAGCTTATCTTTCTTATACTAGGCCTAGGCTTAGCTATATTATAGCTTATATTACTATTTACTAGTACTTTTAGTGGGGCGTGAGGTATAGAGGAGTTTAGCTATTTAACTAGGAGCAGGAGGGCTAGGATGGGTAATATCCTAAGCAACCTAAAAGGGGTTTAAACTAAGGCTAATAGTAATATTAAGGAATTAATAGGTAAATTTAATATCCTTATATATAATAGTTATACACTTAGTATATATAGTAGTAAGGTTATATACTAAATAATAATAAGTAATAATATTAAAAGATATTAAGTAGTATAATTTATACTTAAATATTTTAATAAGATACTACTTAGCTACCTCTTAGAGAGCCTCTATTATAGAGGCTTAAAAGTAG